GGAGAAATTCGTGTATTGGACCCCTGGCAAGAGAAGGAATGCTGGGCGGGTGGGGACTCGGTTTGGGGGTCCAAGCTGACTGTCTTCTTCCCCCTTCTAAGGACCTGCCTGCTGGCTCCGGGAAAGGAGCCCCTGGCGTTGGGGGCTGCCCAGGGCCCCAGGAGAAGCTGGGCTGTGTGGTACCGCCGGCCCCGAGGGGTGGCCCTGCCCTGCCCCTCAGGGGACCCCCAGCCTGAGGGCCCTGTCACCGGCTACCGGCCCCTGAGTGCCTCCAGCCAGAGCTCCCTGCGCTCACTCGTCTCCGCTCTCTGACCCGGATGCCCAGGGTCCAGTGGACCGTCCACCAGCGAGATGGACATCTGAGACACTGCCCCGAACCCTACCTCAGCCTTCTGCCCCTCGAAGGGCAGCTTGGCTTCTGGTCATCTGGAGGAGACCAGAAATTGGACAGGGGGCATCCGTGCTACTGTCAGGGACTTGGTCCGCCCCTGGTGCCCTGATAGTGGAGGCCAGAGGGCAAGGGGAGCCCGGCCCCTGCATGGGCCTTGATGTGGGGGGGGGTGCCTGACGTCACAGGTCTCTGGACTCCTCCGGGTGGTTCTGCTCTCCTGCCCTGGAAAGGGACCAGAGCTCAAGCAAGGGGGCCCGGCTCACCACCGGGGTGCCTGCCACATCCCACGTTGGAGGGCCTGGGGTCAGCTTCCTCTCCAGCTCGCCTCTGTCGCACACCCTAGGAGGCAGCGGATGGTGGCCCGAGTACTCAGGGTCCTGCTACCCGCGTGGGAGGTTCCGATGGAGTTCCTGGCTCAGACCCCACTGTTTGCAGGCATCTTGGGAGTGAATCAGAGGGTGGAAGATCCCTGTCACTCTGCCTTTCAAATAGGCAAATAAATAAACCTTGAAAAAAAAAGAGATCTGCGCTCCAACCTTTGCATAGAGGGCCTCTTTGGGCACAGGCCTCAACAAGCTCTCGCGTGGTGGGTGGGGCTATGGTAATCTGCGCGGGATCGAGGGTGCCCGTGTCCATGCAAATGAAGGGCGTTCCGAGCCGAGAGCTCAGGGGAGCCGCCCGAGATGCAGAGGGAGAAGGCGCAGAGAACGCGGAAGGCCGAGTGGGCGGGTCCGGAGTCGACCTCTGTGCCCCGCCTCCAGCCGTCCCCTCCGTTTGCTGTCCCGGGCGGGGCCCGGGGTGCGCCCTGGGGTCCATATAGGAGGCAGATCGGGAAGGGTGTAACCTCCGAGCAGCCTGGTCCCAAGAGCAGGGCCTCGCCCGACGGTTCCGCGCGTCTCAGCCTCGCGTGTCTTGCTGCGCTCTGGAGAAGTCGCGCAGGTGGGGAGACCCCCCCAACCGTGGTGATGAGCCGGCTGGAAGCCGGACCCAGTCCAACGGGTCGGAGTCAGCAGCACCTTGGACAGAGGCCGGGCCGTGGGGTGGGGCTGGGCAATGGGGCTGCGCCCTCCAGAGTGGGTGCCCGGAGCGTCAGTGGGAAGCCCGGGTGAGCAGTACTGGGCGGGGAGCGAGGGGCCAGGGTCGCTCCAGCGGCCTCTGTGAGACCCACAAAGTCGGGTCCCAAACCCACAGCCGCCTCGTGCAAATGAGGCTTTAGTCGTACATTATGCTGGGACTGCCCAGGCGGCCTCGAGGCGGGGCCTTCCCGCCGGCCGCACCCATTGGCCTTTGCAGCGCCTGCGTCAGGAGCCCAGCGCGCGAAACCGGGCAGGATGGCGGGGGCGAGCAGCCGGGGCGGAGCCTGGCGTCCCCTCCAGCGTCCGGCCGCGCCCGTCCTCCGAGCTGCGGCGAGACGACCAGCCGCCTCCGCCGGCGGGAGCCATCGCTGCGGCGCGCCAGCCCCGGTGGAGCCGACCGCACTGCGCCCGGACACCCAGCGCGTCCCCAGCCTCCGCCCCGGAGCGGGGGCGTCAGGCTCGCGCGTGCGCACGGCTGGAGGGGCGCGGGCCTGGACCCCCAGCGAGAGCGTTCGCGGATCCTGCGAGGGGTAGCGGGCGGGGATGCGCCCCCAGGCGCCGCGACCCCACTGAGGAGGAGGTCGGGGACAGAAGCGCGGACCGCCGGTGCTGCGCTGGGCCATGGCGTTCCTCGCCGGGCCTCGCCTGCTGGACTGGGCCAGCTCGCCGCCGCACCTGCAGTTCAATAAGTTCGTGCTGACCGGCTACCGGCCGGCCAGCAGCGGCTCGGGCTGCCTGCGGAGCCTCTTCTATCTGCACAACGAGCTGGGCAACATCTACACGCACGGTGAGCCGCGCCCCCAACACGCAACCCGCACCCGGGGCTGTCCTGCCAGCGCCGCGCCGGAGGCCAAAGGCAAGGGAGCACCCCGGCGCTAAGCTCCGGCCTGCCCCTGCCCTGGCAGGGCTAGGAGCCGCGGTGACAAAGTTGCCATTGTCCCGGATCGCCCTGCAGCTTCCGCCTTCTCAGCGGGGCTCCAGGGCAGGAGAGGGGAGCCGAGAAGGGCCCCCGAGCCCGCTTAATCCCCCCTCTCCCCCGGTGCGGGGGTTGCGAGGCCTGATGTCCCGCCCCTTCCTGACCCCAGCGTCCTGGGCACCCTTCCTCGCCAGCACCCGTCCCGGAGGTGGGTGCTGACTGCGTGGAGGAGGGGTTCAGGGCGCAGCAGAACCTCCCACCCCACCCCCGGCCTGTTCCCAGCAGCTCTGCCTTGGGGCACCGCCTGGTGGCTGCTCCTTCCTCCCCCAGCGGGCGCGCGGCCCCTCCTCCGCGGCCGGCCGAGCTCTGCTGACACAGCCCTGCCCGCCCTTGAGCTGCCCCAGCCGCGCGAGGGGCCCTGCGCCGGTCGGCCCAGGCTTGGTAGTGCCCGGAGCTGGCTTGGAGAGGGGCTGGGCTCCATTCGGCCCCCTCTCTCCGCCCGGGTGTGCCGGCCACTGCCAGGCCTCACTCCTTTCTGGTACAAGGCCCAAAGCCTCCCTTTCTGGGCGCTTCTGGAGAGGCCCTGTGTGAGCAGCTCAGGAGCTCTGGGCTGGTAGCGTCGCCACTGTGTCCGCTTCCGCGCTCCTGCAGCCACTCTGGAAGCTGGCAGGCCAGGGTGATGTGGGAGTAGACCCCCGGCCCCATGTGACTTACGAGGTTCTCTGGGGCAGGTCCTCCCAGCACCTCCTGCAGGCCCCGGTGAGTGACTCGCCTCCTGCAGCGTGACGCCCTTTCTGTTGTCTGACTTGGTGCTGACACTCATGGACACCTGTGTCCCTCCCCCAGGGCTGGCTCTGCTGGGCTTCCTGGTGCTGGTGCCGATGACCATGCCCTGGGGACAGCTGGGCAAGGACGGCTGGCTGGGGGGCACGCACTGCGTGGCCTGCCTGGCACCCCCTGCGGGCTCTGTGCTCTATCACCTCTTCATGTGCCACCAAGGGGGCAGCCCAGTGTACGCCCGGCTCCTGGCCCTCGACATGTGTGGGGTCTGCCTCGTCAACACCCTTGGTGAGCCGGGGCCCCGGTGGGTGGGAGCTGAGGAGGGGGGGGCCCTGGGAAGGGGAGGGGAGGCTGGGCAGCCTCCCAGACTAACGTGCTCTTTCCCACTCTCCCACTACAGGGGCCCTGCCCATCATCCACTGCACCCTGGCCTGCAGGCCCTGGCTGCGCCCGGCTGCCCTGGTGGGCTACACCGTGCTCTCAGGAGTGGCTGGCTGGCGGGCCCTCACTGCCCCCTCCACCACCGCCAGGCTCCGAGCCTTTGGTTGGCAAGCGGGTGCCCGCCTGCTGGTGTTTGGGGCCCGGGGACTGGGGCTGGGCTCAGGAGCCCCGGGCTCCCTGCCCTGCTACCTGCGCATGGACGCACTGGCGCTGCTCGGCGGGCTGGTGAACGTCGCCCGTCTGCCGGAGCGCTGGGGACCTGGGCGCTTTGACTACTGGGGCAACTCACACCAGATCATGCACCTGCTCAGCGTGGGCTCCATCCTCCAGCTGCACGCTGGGGTGGTACCCGACCTGCTCTGGGCCGCCCGCCACGCCTGTCCACCGGACTGAGCGGCCTGCTCCCCTCCTGCTGGTCGCCAAGGGACAGACTTCCTGCTGGGAGCAGCCGTCTCCTCTGTGGACTGACCGAGTCCCCTCCCCCTGCCCTAAGCTCCAGCTTGCGCTCCCTGCCTTCCTCCCGGTACTGTTTACTGTTAGCTGCAAAGAACCACTTCCCTTTTGGGCCGTTTGCCCTCTGACCTGTGAGGGCTGGACCAGAGGGACTCTGGGGCACGTCTTGCTCTGACAGTGGGGAGTCCTGCCAGCCTGCAGCCATCACCCACCCTGACCCTCCCACAAGGCCGCCCCTCCAGCCCACGCTTCCTGACTCCCACCTGTCTGCCCTGCATATGGGCCTTCCCGGCAGCCAGCAGCTGGCTGGCCCCACCTCCCTTCTGTCCAGGCTGCAGCGTGAGGGTCTGGGGCAGCAGGGCCAGCCCCTTTGTCCAGTACCAGGTGGGCGCTGGCCTTCTGTCCAGTAGGCAGGGTGGTTCAGGGGTTAACACTGCTGCTCTTTTCAGGCAGCTGCCACCCATGTGGAATGGAGTGGCCAGGGCCAGGCCCCAGGTGGTTAAGGATCTGCCTCTGTCTGAGTGCCATGCGGACAGCACAGCCTGCCTTCTGGGGACACGCCCACCTAAGACATCTATCCCCCCTGCAGGGCGACTCCTGTCTGCAGGCTGGAGGCCTGAGGCCCCGGGTTCTGCAGCAGGGTCAGCCTCAGACCCTCTCCCAGGGGCCAGAGACCTGGTGTCAACTGCAAAGGGACAGGCGGTGCTGTGTGGCCATGCCAGTGAGCTTGGGTGCTCCCAAGGTTCAAATACCTTTTATTACACATGGCCAGGCAGAGGCCCCAGAGGGACCCCACTTTCCAGGGAATGAGAGAAAAGGAAACAGGAGGTTAAAAGCAGCTATGTGGGGCCCGAGGCCCAGGTTGGGTCTAGTGAGTCCTCAAACAGGCTGAGGAGGTTCCGAGGCTCAAAGGAGGGGAAGGAACCCCGAGGTGGCTCTGAGTCGATGTCACTGAGGTCCAGGGCATCCCTGGGTGAGAGAAGAGAGAGATGACACTCGGGACCCGCAAGCCAGCCCCGCCCAGCCCCCTGCCCCTGGGCCTGCTCACCTGGGTGGGTATCTGCTCCGGGGAGTGGAGGTACTGCCAGCAGCCCGGGCCAGGGTGGCCTCTGAGGAGAGCGTGGCCCTGCAGGAAGGGGCGAGACAAACAGTGTTGAGGGCTGGGGAGTGCCGGACGGAGCAGCTCTGCCCCTAGGGAGGGCCTGGGAGCCCACCGTCCAGAGCGGCAGCAAGCCACAAGCAGGAAATAAAACATGGTGCACTCTGCCGGCCTGCAAGTCCTTGCACTCAGCCACGCGCAGAGACCGCTGTGTCCCTGTGCACAACACACAGGCTCTGAGCCGGACATGAGTGGACTTTCTGAGTGAGGAACTCCGGTGCTTCACGGCTGCTGTGAAAGGGTGGGGTTGCTGTGGGACTTTCCAGGTTCCCGGGATGAAGGAAGACTTCCCGGGGCGGGGGCTCGCCGGGCCTTAGGGGCTCCCTCTACCCAGGGGAGGGACAAGGCTTTGTCCCTGGGCCCTGGCAGCCTCTGCCAGGGCGGGAGCAGAGGGACGGCACTGAGTGCCAGGCCTGCTCACACCCTCCTGCCTTGGTTGTACAAAGGGGTTGAGCTCTCCCTTCACCACTCCTCCTAGGGCATGGTCGTGGAGCGGTCACTCTGCCCTGCCACGTGCCCTGCCCTCACCTACCGTAGACTGTCCTCGTCCCAGCTGCTGGAGAGGCTGCCGTCCAGGAGCAGGCTGCAGGGCGGTGAGCCGGGAGGGGTGGCTGGCGGGCCTGGGGGCTGCAGCCAGCTGGCAGGGTGGGCTAGCCCATGCCAGAGCCAGCACAGCAGGGCAAGCAGAGCCTGTGTGGGGAGAGAAGCCTCAGAAGGTGCTGGCCCTGGTCAGGGGGCAGGCACGGCCACCTGGCTATAGAGGGTGCTTACCTGCCACAGGGCCCACCCACGGCTCAGGGCCTCGGCAGCCAGGAACCACAGGACGCTCCAGGGCCGTGGTGGCCTCAGCATGGGCAGGGCCAGCAGGGCCTCAGCAGTGGCCCGCAACTGGGGGTCAGGCTCCAGCATCATGACGAGGACAGAACGGAGCTCGGGGGACAGACCTGCCATGGGGTGGGGCCACATCAGCGTCCCAGAGCACTGATGGCTCTGAGCCCACCATCCTCTCCATGGCAGCCTGCCCCTGCCCGCACTCACCGGCAGTGAACTCAGGGGGCAGGTAGCCCTGGCGCAGCTGCTGCCAGCCCTCCCCACCATGGGGCAGCTCCATGTTGCATGCCACTTCCAGGATGGTGAGACCCAGACTGGGAGGGGCAAGAGGGGACAGAAACAAGCAGGGTTGGCCCCGAGCCACAGACCCAGTCCCAGGCTGCCTCTGCTGGGTGGGAGTGGATAGCTGACTCCCACCATCAGCCAGGGAGGTGGGGAAAGAGCTGGGGAGGGCCCAGCAGCACAGGAACTCCACTGTGGAGTGTGAACCCCATACTCAACACAGCCCACACACTGCTGGGGTAGGTTCACCCTGTGCCCCACCTACTCTGACAGCACCCTGGCTGCCCCATGACTGCTACCATCGCCCCATGGGACCTGCCAACTGCAAGCTTGGGGCATGGCCCTCAGCTCACGGTGCACCCCTCCCTCCAGGCAAATGGCAAAGGTGCCTGGTGTGCAGCAGCAAGGACGAGGCTGATCTGGGCACAGTCGCGCTAGAAGCGGCCTGGTCTGGGAAGCCGCCCCAACTGGGAACTGGGGCAGCACCTCCCAGCGGAGGCTGATCCTGACCTTGCCCAGGAGGCGGCATCCCTCCCAGAGAGGCCTTCTCTCTCCTGATCTCCTCCAGGAAGGCCCCCCCCAGCCCGCCACAGCCCAGCCCTCACCTGAAAACATCAGCTGCTGTTCCACAGGAGCCCTGCAGCAGCTCGGGGGCCATGTAGCGGGGGTCTCCCTCCTGGGCCTCGCCAGCCCCGACTGCACCCAGCTCCACCAGCAGCCCAAAGTCACCCAGCTTGCAGCGGCCCCGGGGCCCCAGGAAGATGTTGGCAGGCTTGACATCAAGGTGGACCAGGCCTTGGCCATGCAGGTGCGCCAGGGCGAGCAGGGTGTCCCGCAGGTAGCCCCAGACCTGGGCTTCGGGCAGGCTGGCACCCCAGGCCTCACAGTGCTGCTGCAGACTGGGCCCACACAGCTCCGTCTGCAGGTACAAGATGCCACCCTCCTCCCAGGCCTGCTCCAGCCGCACACAACGTGGGTGCCGCCCCACCTTCTCGTGGCCGCCCACCTCGGCCAGCTTGCGGGCCCGGTCCTTGGGGCCCCGGAACGGCGACATGGAGCGCTTGACTGCATAGAGCCGGCCATCCTCCTTGGAGCGCACCTGGAAGCAAAGTGGTAGCACAGGTGAGGTAGGGGTGGTCCACGAGGGGCGTGGCCACGTGGAGGACAACAGGCAGGGTCTACTGAGACGCCACCGTGCACAGGGACAGCCAGCTGGCAAGTGTTCTAGAACCCCTGCATGCTACAACAGTGAAGCCGAGACCCAGCATGCAAGCGGCAGGCTGAGCTCTAGGGCGCATTGTTCAGGAGAAAGGCTGGCTACGGGACACAGCGGGCAGTGTGCTCAGTGGGTGAAAAGTGCTTTCCTCCGGGGCGTGGCTGATCCAGGCGCTTGCGCTGTTTGTACTTCTTAACAAAGTCGACTTCACACAGTACTTGGGAAAAGCAAGGGAAAGCTACTCATTTAAAGGAAATATAAATGACTGGAAAATATCTTTTAAGAAACAAAGTTGTGGCCAGGGGTACACAGCACTCAGGGCCAGCTCCGGGGGCCAGGCAGACTTGCCAAGGACCCCAGCACACTGGCTCCAGGGGTAGGGAGATGGCAGCGGCCACAGGGCATGCCAGGCCCTGGACAAGGGGCCAGTGTGCACGAGGCAGCTCTTGGAAGGCCTGCCCCAGGGGATGGGAACACAGCCAACTCAAACCCACAGGAGGGGCTGTCGACCCCGCAGGGGCTGCTGGGGAGGGGCAGGCTGCCCGGGACTCCGTGGGGCCAGGGAGCGGAGGGTGGCAAAGGGTCCCCAGGTGGGGCCACCCCTCACTCACCTTGAAGACCTCCCCGTAGGAGCCATGGCCCAGGCGGCCGAGCCTCTGGAAGTTCTGCTGGAAGAAGGATTCTGGCCGGCTCGGGTCGTACCCAGGGCTCTGCAGGGTCTCTGAGGTCTCGCTCCGAAATGACACCCTCCGGGGCTGGGGCTGGTGCCAGCCCGGGGTCCGAGGAGGGAAGATGCGACTGATGGGGATGCTGCCCTTGGCAGGGGGTCGGGGCGGGAGGCTCCGGCTGAGCCCCCCAGGCCTCTTGAGGGAGAAGCCAGGTTGTGCGTGGCGGAAGTAGGCCGGGACTGGGACAGGGGTGCCGCTCAGGGGCGGCGGGGTGCCTTCTGTGGGCACAGGCATGGCCAGTGCAGGAAGCCTGCAGGGGCAGAGACAGAGGCTGAGTGTGGAGCAGTGGGTCCACTCAAACTGCACCTGGCCTGTGGCCCCAGAGAGAGCTGCTCCTATAGCTGCCCCCGCTCCCCGCATGTTCTGCTTTCAACACCAAGGCTGAGAGGGCCCTGCACAGTGGCCAGTAAGGGCATGGGACAGGCATTCCCATCTCTACCTCAGAGCCATGGACCTGAGGGTCTCGCAGTTCAGGAGGGAGCCCAGAACCAGGCAGGCTCAAGTCAGATGCCCGCACAGACGGCCCCAGCTTGGCACAGCCAGCTGCTGCCTGCCAGCTGCACAGCCTGTCCGGGACCCAGAGATGGAAATGGTAACACGGCCCTCTGGCACAACAGCCTGGAGTCCCAAATATTCCTCCTTTCTTCTTCAGTGTGGTGCCAAGGCCCAGCCAGTGAGGGCTTTGTCATAATGGTGTGCAAGCCCCGGGGGCCTCTCTGCACATAGAGGCACAAGCGGTAGAGACGACCCAAAAGCAGGCATCGCAGTCTCTGGACATGGCACTGAGGGCACACAGTGGGTGAGCAAACACTTATGCAAGAAAATCAACCAAATCTTGCTAAGAACAGAGACTGTGTGGCACCTGATCCCTCCCCAGCCCCCAGCTCTATTGACAGGTGTGGCCAGTGGGGCTCCCCCAGCTCCCAGTCAAAGGACAGGGCATCTGCCCAGGAGGGCAGGCTCTGGGCACTTCTCAGCCTTCCAGCTCCACGTGGCAGGAAGGCCAGGCCCCGCTCATACAGCCCACACGCAGGGCTCCGCCTCTGGAGCTCATCTGCTGGGAACACGGAGCCCAACCACCCAAGTCCCTGCCCGTGCACAGCAGGGAGGTTCCGTGCTGGGAGAAGCGAGCAGAGAAGGCCAGAGGCCACTTTGTCACCCAGCAGCTGCCCCCGAGGCAGCAGCACCTCTCAGGGAGAAGTTACCACGTCCTTGCTGCCAGCTGCACGGTGGAGGGAGGTCCTAGGACAGAGCTGTGACGTGTCCTCCTGACCCCAACACGACGTTATGTGAAACAACGTGGAGAAATTTAAGCTCAAAGGCGCCGCTGAAGTCAGTGGAGGTTTGTGGGAGGCAAGCACAGGGCTGGTGTGCAGGGAGAACGGGGGACAGGCACCTGTAACCAGCCGTCCTGCAGCAGGAATAAGCCCCACACACTGCCCGCAAACACTGCGGTGTTAAGGAGCCCAAAGTGAACAGGATCAGTCTGTGGAACAATGTAAGCCCAGAGAATCAAGAACCCAGGGCAGGGGCCAGCGTTGTGGCAAAGTGATTAAGCTGCCCCCTGAGACACCAGTTCATGTCCTGGCTGTTCCACTTCTGATCCAGATCCCTGCTAATGCACCTGGGAAACCAGTGGAAGATGATCCAAGTGCTTGGGCCCCTGTACCCATGTGGGAAGTCTGGACGGAGTTCAGGATCCTGGCTTTGGCCTGGCTCAGCCCTGGCTGTTGAAGCCATTTGGGGAGTGAACCAGTAGATGGAAGTCTGTCTGTCTGTCTGTCTGTCTCTCTCTCTAAGTGTGCTTTTCAAATAAGTAAAAAATATAAAAGGAGGGGCTAGCATTGTGGCATAGTGGGTTAAAGCCCTGGTCTGCAGGGCTATATATATATCACAGTTACAGAGACAGCGAGAGAGAGACACATGGAGAGAGAGAGATCTTCCATCCATTGGCTCACTCCTCAAATAACTGCAATGGGCAGAGCTGGGTCAGTCCAAAGCCATGAGCTTCTTCCAGGTCTCTTGAATGGGTGCAGGAGTCCATGGACTTGGCCATTTTCCACCGCGTTCCCAGGTGCATTAGCAGGGAGCTGGACCAGAGGCAGAACAGCTGAGACTTGAACCAGCTCGATATGGGATGCTGGCATCACAGAGGGAAGCTTTACTCACTATGCAACAATGATGGACCCATAGATAAATCTTAAGAAATGAGAAGATGGGGCTGGCGCCGCGGCTCACTTGGTTAATCCTCCGCCTACGGCACCAGCATCCCATATGGGCGCTGGGTTCTAGTCCCGGTTGCTCCTCTTCCAGTCCAGCTCTCTGCTGTGGCCCATGAGTGCAGTGGAGGATGGCCCAAGTGCTTGGGCCCTGCACCCGCATGGGAGACTAGGAGGAAGTACCTGGCTCTTGGCTTTGGATTGGTGCAGTGCCAGCCATGGTGGCCATTTAGGGGGTGAACCAACCTTTCTTTCTATCTCTCTCTCACTGTCTAACTCTGCCTGTCAAAATAAAAATAAAAAGAAATAAAGAAAGAAAGAAATGAGAAGAAAAAGAATACAGCAAAGAACTGGCAACTGGTAGAGCTTCAGAGCCGGGTATTATCAGGGAAAAGAATCAGAAGGAGCCCTCGTGAAGCCACCGTGTCCCAGCGGAGGCGTGACCGCGTGGAGGAAATGGACTTCACCACGGTAGTCCAGCCAGCTGCCAGACAAGCAGCACAACAACCACAGCTCCAAGAGGTGGGGACCCAGCATCCAGTCACTAAAACCTGTTGTCCAAAATGTCCAGTTTTTCCCAAAAAACTAGGGACTGGCATTATCCTCTACAAGTTAAGATATCAGTCAGTTCCGGTCCCAGCTCCAGCTCCTGGCTCCAGCTTCCCGCAAATGCAGACCCTGGGAGGCAGCAGTGATGGCGCAAGTACTTTGCTTCCTGCCGCCCATGTGGGAGACCTAAACTGAGTTCTCAGCTCCAGGCTCTGGTCTGGCCCAGCCCTGGCTGGCTTAGGCATTTGGGAAGTGAAACAGTAGACGGGAACTATCTGGATAGAGAGCTAGAGCTAGAGCTAGAGCTAGAGCTAGAGCTAGAGTGAGAGCGAGAGCGAGAGTGAGAGAAAGATAGAGATAGAAAGAGATAGAGAGGGAAAGATACAGATTACATATAGAGATATATTTAAATGTATCTCTCTCACTCTCACTGCCACTCAAATAGTATCTTTTTTCTAAGATTTACATATTTATTTATTTGAAAGCAGTGGGGCTGGTGCTGTGGCGTAAGAGGTAAAGCCACTGCCTGCAGCGCCAGCATCCCATGTGAGTCCCGGCTGCTTCATTTCCTGTCCAGCTCTCTGCTATGGCCTGGGAAAGCAGTAGAAGATGGCCCAAGTCCTTGGGCCCCTGCATGCATGGGGAAGACCCAGAAGCTCCTGGCTCCTGGCCTTAGATCAGCCCAGCTCTGGCTGCTGCGGCCATCTGGAGAGTGAACCGGCAGATGAGAAAGGTCATGTGATTTTTTTTTTTTTTTTTTGACAGGCAGAGTGGACAGTGAGAGAGAGAGACAGAGAGAAAGGTCTTCCTTTGCCGTTGGTTCACCCTCTAATGGCCGCCGCAGCTGGCGCGCTGTGGCCGGCGCATCGCGCTGATCCGATGGCAGGAGCCAGGAGCCAGGTGCTTTTCCTGGTCTCCCATGGGGTGCAGGGCCCAAGCACCTGGGCCATCCTCCACTGCACTCCCTGGCCACAGCAGAGAGCTGGCCTAGAAGAGGGGCAACCGGGACAGAATCCGGCGCCCCAACCGGGACTAGAACCCGGTGTGCCGGCGCCGCTAGGCGGAGGATTAGCCTAGTGAGCCGCGGCGCCGGCGGTCATGTGATTATTAAGCACAGCAAAAAGCTCCCCATGGCACCGAAAGGACAGGCAGAAGGAGCAGGGGAAAGTGTCTGAGAAAGTCACTGCTGAACACTCCCCAGATTTTACCCTGAAAATCTGCTAAGCAACACACCCAAAAAGTCCAGGAAGCTTCAGGTGGGAAGAACACAGAGATCCACGCAGGAACACCGTATGGAAAGTGTGCAAAACCAAACACGAGAAAATCGTGAAAGCAGCAACGGAAAGTGACTCCTCCCTTACAGGGTGAATCAGCACCCAACAGGATTACTCAGCGCAATGAAGTACGGCCTGGCGTCAGAAGCAGGGAGGCCAGAAAGGCTAAAGGGTGACAGAGTGCCGGGGCAGAGACTGTCATCCCAGAGCCCTACATTCAGCAGCACTAGCTTCCCACAGTACAGGCGAGGGGCTGGCATGGTGGAGCAGCAGCAGCCCACCCCGAGCACAGGTTCAAGTCCCCGCTGCTCTGCTTCCAGTCCAGCTCCCCCAGTGAGCCTGGGAAAGACAAGAAAGACCACCCTGGTGCTGGGGCCCCGCCACCCACTTGGGAGACCCAGACGGAGTTCCTGGCTCCCGGCTTCAGCTTCTCTGTGTCTTGGCCCCTCCCCATCACTTTGCCTTTCGAATGAATAAATCATACAAAATGAAATAGAGGCAAAAGAAATACAATGCCACAAAAACACAAAGAAATCTCTGCTAGCAGGGGTGACTTACAAGAAATTCTAAAGTAAGTTCTTCAGGCTGAAAGCACATAAACTCAAATAGTAAATAAACCCCCAGTGAACAAAGAACGCAGGTGCAGGCGATTCTGTAATGATGAAACAAAATTGATGCATATTTCTTCTTTTAACTGATCTCAGTGTTGTGGTACAACAGGTTAAGCCACGGCCTGTTACTCTGGCCTCCCAGCTGGAGTGCTGTTTCGAGTCCTGGCTTCTCTGTGTCCAGCCCAGCTCCCTGATAATGCACCTGGGAAAGAAGATGGGCCAAGAGCCTACATGGAAGACCTGGATGGAGTTCCCTGCTCCTGGCATCGGCCTGGCCCAGCCCCAGCTTTGCAACCCTCTGGGAAGTGAGCCAGCAGACAACAACAAAAAAAATTTTTTTTAAGATTTATTTATTGGAAAGGTAGTTACAGAGAGACAGGAAGAGGTAGAGCTAGGAGTTTCATCTGGGTCTCCCACATGGGTGCAGGGGTCCAAGCACCTAGGCCATCTGGTGCTGCTTCCCCGAGTGCGTTAGCAGGGAGCTGGATTGGAAGTGAAGCAGCCAGAACACAAACAAGCATCCTATGGGATGCTGGTACTGTAGGTAGTGTTTAATACACGACACCACAGTGCCGGCCCCTGGAAGATCTCTTTCTCTCTTTCAAATAAGTCCTTAAAAAAAGTTATTGTATAAAACTGTATGTATGTAACTATATTGTCAGGCATAAAACATATAGAAATATATTTGCAAATGACAGTACAAAGGAGGTGAGTGTGAGGGGAACCGTACTGAACTAGAAGATGACACCAGATGGCACCTGAGACCACGGGGACCAATGAGAAGAAACGGAACAGAAAAAGTCAGCAGTAGAGCAAACGCACGCCTGTGGGCCCTGGCCCGCCCTTTCTTTATGCCAGCTTCTTCATCGTCGTCGTTTTTTTTTTTTTTTTAAAGATTTATTTATTTCTTTGAAAGAGCTACAGAAAGAGAAGAGACAGAGACTTCCCATCTGCTGGTTCACTCTCCAAATAGCCACAGTGATGCAGACTGGGCCAGGCCAAAGCCAGAAGCCAGGAGTTTCTTCTGAGCCTCCCATGTGAGTGCAGGGATACAAGCACTTGAGCCATCTGCTGCTGCTCTCCCGGGCACATTAGCAGGGGGCCGGACGAGAAGTGGAGCAGCAGGGCCAGCACCTGTGGTGTAGTAGGCTAGGCCTCCGCCGGTGGCACCAGTACCCCAGATGGGCACAGGTTTGTGTCCCAGCTGCTCCTTTTCCAATCTGGCTCTCTGCTATGGCCTAGCAAAGCAATGGAAGATGGCCTGGGTGCCTGGGCCCCTTCATCCATGTGTGAGGCCTGGGGGAAGCTCCTAGCTCCTGGCTCCTGGCTTCAGATTGGCCCAGCTCTGGCCATTGTAGCCATTTGGGGAGTGAACCAGCAGATGGAAGACATTTCTCTCTGCCTCTCTGTCTCTCTCTCTCTGTAATTCCATCTCTCAAAATAAATAAAATCTTAAAAAAAAAGGGGGGTGGGGAGCAGGCTAGACTGGAACTGGCACACATATGGAATGCTGGCCATGGCTTAATGCCCTGAGCCACAGTACTGGGCCCTCCCAGCTTCTTTAAGAAACTAAAGACAGCAATTTGTATCGTAATGTAGCAGGCAGGACCACTGTCAGCAGGTAAAGCCACCGTCTGCCACACTGGCATCCCACATGGATGCTGGTTCATGTCCCGGCTGTCCCACTTCTGATCCAGCTCCCTGATAATGGCCTGGGAAAAGCAATGGAAGATGTCTGGGGCCTCTGCTACCCACATGGGAAACCGGATGAAGCTCCTGGCTTCAGCCTGGCCTAGCCCTGGCTGTTGCACCCATCTGGGGAGTGAGCCAGCAGATAGAAGATCATTCTCTCTGTCTCTCCCTTTCATTCTGCAACTCCTTCAAATAAATAAATATTTTTTAAAGATCTATTTATTCGAAAAGGAGAGAGAAAGTCTTCCATCCACTGGTTCACTCCCCAGAAGGCTGCAATGGCTGGAGCTGTGCTGATCCAAAGCCAGGAGCCAGGAGCTTCTTCCAGGTCTCCCACGTGGGTGTAGGGGCCCAAGGGCTTGGGCCGTCTTCTACTGCTTCCCAGGTGCATAAGCAGAGAGCTGGATCGGAAGTGGAGCAGCTGGGACTCAAACAAGCACCCATATGGGATGCTGGCATTGCAGGCAGCGGCTTCACCCGCTGTGCCACAGCATCAGCCAAAAGCAAACAAAGAAGACAGAAGAGAAGAGAAGAGGAAGGAGAAGGGGAAGGGGAAGGGGAAGGGAAGAGATCAAAGACCTAACAGAAAGACCTTTTGTCATTGTCACCCAAAGTCTTGCTGTAGATAGCATGGCAACTCTCTCCGACTGATCTGGAGACCCACCACATGCATGCGAGAATCCCAGCTGGCTTCATTACAGGCACTGAGGAGCTGACCCTGACATTTAAATGGAAATTCAAAGGACTCAGAATTGTCACAACAACTGCAAAACAAGGAAAAAAATGAAAATGGAGGACTCATTCCTCCCAGTTTCAAAACTTAACCACAGGCCGGCGCTGCGGCTCACTAGGTTAATCCTCCGCTTTGCGGTGCCGGCACACAGGGTTCTAGTCCCAGTCGGGGCACCGGATTCTGTCCCGGTTGCCCCTCTTCCAGGCCAGCTCTCTGCTGTGGCCAGGGAGTGCAGTGGAGGATGGCCCAAGTGCTTGGGCCCTGCACCCCATGGGAGACCAGGATAAGTACCTGGCTCCTGCCATCGGATCAGTGCGGTGCGCTGGCTGCAGCACGCCAGCCGTGGTGGCCATTGGAGGGTGAACCAACGGCAAAGGAAGACCTTTCTCTCTGTCTCTCTCTCTCACTGTCCACTCTGCCTGTCAAAAAAAAAAAAAAAACCCAACCAAAAACAAAAAAACAACAAACTTAACCACAAGTCTCCAGTAATCAAAACAGCGTTGTACTCACACAGGACAAATGTGCAGCGTGGGTCAAGGCAACAGAACTGAGTTCAGAAATGAACCCTCATGCTCATGGTCAAGCAACCTTCAAAAAGAGTGCTGAAATAACTCAACAGCAAAGAACAGGGGCCGGCACTGTGGCGTAATGGGTAAAGCCACCACCTGCAGTGCCGGCATCCCATATGGGTGCGGTTCGAGTCCCGGCTGCTCCACTCCAATCCAGCCCTCTGCTATGGCCTGAGTGCTTGGGCCCCTGCACACACATGGGAGACCTGGAAGAAGCTCCAGGCTTCAGATCAGTGCAGCTCTGGCCATTGCAGCCATTTGGGGAATGAACCAGTGGATGGAAGACCTTTCTCTCTCTCTTTCTAACTCTGCCTTTCAAAACAATACTTTTTTTAAAAAAAATTAGTAAATAACAGTTTCTTCATAATGGTTCCAGGTTAACTGGAGATCCCCATGCAAAACTAATGCAGCAGAATCTGACATGACTCATTTTTCCCTGATTAGTGCAAATGTTCCTATGTTTCTTTTTTCTTTCATCTAACTTGAAAAAAAAAATTTTTTTTTTCATTTGAAAGGCAAGGTGACAGGAGGGGAGAGACAGAGAGAGATAGGAATTCCATTTCTGGTTCACTCCCCAAATGGCCAGAACGACCCAGGGCTGGGCCAAGCCAAACCCAGGAGATTCCTCTGGGTCTCCCACGTGGGTGCAGGGGCCCAAGGACCTGGGCTGTCCTCCGCTGCTTTCCCAGGCCATAGAACGGAGCTGGATCGGAAGTGGAGCAGCCGGGACTCGAACCGGCGCCCATATGGGATGCTGGCACTGCGGGCCTTGGCTTTAACCCGCTGCGCCACAGCGCCGGGCCCTGAACAGGGGCTCTGGGCCGCGACGCAGCCCTTGCCTTGATTTTCAAAAGAGCCCTGCGATGTTCCTGACACAAACACGGGCGACGGCCCAGCCCCACGAGCGCTGCTAGTCTGCTCTGCGTGCCCGCCGGGGGCCCTGGCCACTCACGCCGCAGCCACGGCCAGGCCCGGGCCCACGCCGCCCCGCGGGAGCACAGCAGGGGCGCCGTTACAAAGGTAACACTGAAACCCAAGGGTGAGCAGCCGCCTGGCGGGGCGGCCACAATGTAGCGGCCACAATGTACCCGGGGCGCCCCCAGCCCCGTTCACGCCCACTGCCAGGGGAGGAACAGCCTGGGGGTCTCCAGGCACCCCAGCGTCACTCAGGCCCCAGCGCGGGGGGCGCTCGTCTCAGGCTCACCCGGCCGGCCACGTCCGCTGGCCGCGGTCCACGCCAGCCCGCGAGCTGCCCCCGGTCAGCGCACGGCTGGACGAGCTCCGCGGGCGCGGGGCGCCCTGGCCGAGCCGAGGGGACCGGGCTGTCACCGGGGCGGGGGCCAGGAGGTGGGGGTCATGGGAGGGGCAGGGCTGGGCCCGGCTGCCCAGGCAGGGGTGCGGCCAGCCCCCGAGGAGCAGGCTTGAGGGAAAATGGGTGAGGCCAACCGAGAGGTCTCGTCAGGGGCCCGGAGCTGCCTGGAGCCGGAAGAACCCGCAGGGCGGGCTCTGGGCTCACCTGGGCTCACCTGACTTCAGCGAGGTCCCAGATTCCGCGTCGGCGGGGGCCTCGGGAGGCCCTGGGGTTGTCCGGCGCACAGGCGTCCGCGTCGACGGCTCCGGACGCCCGAGCGGAGGACTCTCCGACGGGGAACGGCCCGTGAACGCGCGCGGAACCGGCTCGCGCCAAAAATTCCAAACCGGCCTCGAGGCTCCGCCCAGAAATGCCCCTTGCCCCGCCCCCTGCCCGCCTCCACCCATCAGAGGCGCCCTGCACGCCGGACTCCGCCCCTCACGTTCTGCGTGCGCGCCGCCGCTGCCCCGCCCCCAGCCGTGCGCTCTCACTGCGCAGGCGCACTGCGTCTCCGGTGGCTGCTTGGAGGTGCTGCCCCAGGCTGACGCTGAGGCGCGGCGTAGGCTCCTGTCGCCCGCCTCGCTGACCGCCCGCCGGCCTCTCGGCCCCGGTGCGGGCCCCCGCAGCCCTCGCTGGGCTGGTTTAGCTGTCACGTCTGTGAAAGCGTCCGTCCCGCGACGCACCTCAGAGGCGTGGCCCCGAGGGGCGGTATGGGGCGGGACAGGAAGTGCCAGGGGCAGCGGGGTCCCCCTTCACGCCGGGGGTGCGGCGGGGCCAGTGGAGCAAGCTGCCCTGTGCCGGGTGCGCGACCCCGGGAGCCGGAGAAGGCCAGCCCTTCCAGGAAGCCCTCCGGCGCGGCCTCGCATTCTCCCCGCGAGTTTGAGAGTCATGCGTGGGTCAGTTCCGCCCCAGGTCCTGGCCGGGCGACCTTGGGGACGCGCTGGGCTTCTCCGAGCTTTGGATTAGTAAACATGGAGCCGATGACCCTGGAATGAGCTCCTTAAAGTGCTAAGCAGGGCCCGCCGGGCTGTGGATTGCTCCTGGCTCTGATCCGTTTAGCCGGGCGGCTGGGGTCAGGCTGCCAGAAGCCGGCTCACCTGTCCCCTGCTGCGCTTACCTCCAGGTCTATGGACCACCGGCCTCCTGGGGCCCTGGCGCCGAGCCCCCGCCGGCCTGGGGAGGCCCTCGGCCCGCGGCCTGTCTGCGTCCCTCGACATTAGCATCCCTGGCAGCCAGGGCCCTGTGACTCAAGCTGGGTCCCTGTGGACCGCACCAGGCCCCGCCCCTGCACAGGCCCCCTTCCAGGTCTGATTCACAGCGATTTTAAGACCAAAAAATAAAGAAGCGTTGTTTAAAATCCCAGTTCCAGCGCGTAGTTCACTGTGGAGCACACGGGGCTAAGTATGGGGCCGCATGTAATGGCTGGACGGTGACGCCGGGAACCCGGGCTGCCACTCTGCTCCCCGAGGCAGCTTCCACGGGGCGCGACACCCGGCGCGCAATGGCAGCAGCGCCTCCCGCGCGGGGACAGGAGCCCCGGGCAAGAGGATGCGCGCGGGGTGCGTTAGTACCCTCCGCTCCACGGGGCTGCGCGCTTTGCAAAGCAGCTGTCCGCGTGCCGGGCCAGGGCCCGCAGGCTTCCCGGCCCGAGCGCTGGCGAGGGCCGCGCGCCCCCGTGTGTTCCTTCGCCGCAAAGGCGCCGCGGGCTCCCGCCTGGGAGACGGAACTGACCGCTCAGTTGGAAAAGGGCCCTCCGGGCGGGCTCCTGACGGGCGCTCCTGGGGAACCGGCCACGTTCAGTTTTCCTTGCAGAGGCGTTTGCTTAATAGACGTTTATTCCATTGTCCGTTTGATTTCTCTGTGTGCAGGCGGTTGGGGCAGGGGTGAAGGAGCTAACGGACGGCACAGGGCAGCCTGAACAGGGCCGAGGGCACTGGGGATGCCCTGAGGCTGGCCTTGGGCACAGCTGCTGGGGGAAGATGTCTAGCTGCCCCTCCAGCTGTCCCCCGCCCCCGAATTCCCGCCCTCGCAGGCCTGTGTGCTCCAGCAGCTGGGAGGTTCTGGAGGCAGACAGGCTGTGCCATTTTAGGCAACACTTCCTGGGCCTGTGCACTGCACCTCCAGCACCCCAGCTGTCGCCCTGCCCCGGGCCCCCAGCCCCATTCCTGCATTCACAGCAGGACCCCAGTGTCTGGGGGCAAAGGCAGCCCAGGCTTTCCTGCCTCCAAGGGGTCCGTGTTCCCTCAGGACGGCCCTGCTTGGGTGGGGTGGGGTGAACTGAGGGGACAGGCTGTGTATGGGGTGGGGGTAGCATCGCAGGGGTGGGCTGGTGGGCTGGGCCAGCCCTGGTACTGAGCAGCCACAAGCTGGCCAAGACCATTTTCCACAGGCCCGTGCCAGCGCCCGGGGAGCCTGGCAGCGGCTGCACAGGATGGTTGCCCCGCCTGTGCCTCCCACAGGGCCCCTCAGGGTCCCCCCGGCTGCCACCTCCTGAGTCAGGCTTCCCCAGTGCCCGCCGTGGGCCATGAGTCTGTGTCTGGCTCTGTGTAGGGGGCCCTCGGCTCCCCCACACCCTGGGCCCGGACTGGCATAGCTGGGCCTACAGCTCCACCCCCCCAAGTGTGGAAAGGCAGAGAGCACAGGAGTGGACCTGGGGAGTCCAGACCCCAGCCCTACCTCTCAGGAGGTTACCATCTGGGCCAGGTCCCTTCCCCTTCCCGCCTCTGCTTCCCCCTCTGTACGAGGGGTCAGGAAGCAGCTCGAGGTCATGATTTTGGCAGAGAGCAAGCAGCTTCCTGCCCAAGGTCCCCAGCCTCACTTGAACCCAGCACCCAGCTGCTGGCCAATGGGCTACTCAGCTGCCCTCCATCAGGGGCCCGGGGGCATTCAGCGGCCTGCAGAGAGGGAGGTGGAGGGAGCTGTCCAGCTGCCCTGCACTCTCACGGGGCGGTCAGGGCCAGGGACGGGTCCAGGCTTCAGGGTTCAGGACAGGGAGGTGTGGAGCAGCCGGGTGTCATGCCAAGGTGGGTCTGGGTCCTGGGGTCCACAGACAAGCCGGTGTGTGCACAGGGGTTCAGGCGTGAGGGGAGGCAGAGCAAAGGGGCGCGCAGGGCAGTCTGAGCCGGGGTGCCCAGAATAGCCTGCAGTGGGCTGGCCGCTGGCCCCGACCCAGTGGGTGAGGTGGGCTCCAGAGCTCGGGCCAGCCTGGCTAGGCAGGGGACAGGCCAGCAGACAGGGGGCTGAGTCATGGCCATCCTTAGCCAGCTTGGTGGGGTCCAGACGCCCGTTCTGTGTTCCCCTGCCCACCACGCTCGCTCTCTGCCAGGCGCCCCATGGAGCCTCGTTCCAGACTCCTCTGCCCACCCCCCAGGCTGATGGCCACTCCCAGCCCCCGGCCACCTCCACAGCAGCCCATGCAGTGCTGCCCACCCCGGCCCGAGCGCTGGCCCCAAGGCTGGCCCTTAAAGTTAGAGTTGCTGCTGCCGGAGCGGGGCCCGCACCTGGCGAGTCCGAGGTGACCTGTCCCTGGGTGTTACCACCTCTCTGAAGGAGAAGGGGGTAGGGCTGGGGCCCTCTGTGGCCAGTCTATTCTGGGGGTCCATCTCCTGTGTGGCCCGAGGCCTGCACAGCTTGACAGCCTGGCTCAGGTCACACAGGGGACTGCTGCCTCTTTCTGGGGCTCTCCTGCCAGCTACGCCCACTTTCTGGCCCTAGCTCCCGCCCCCGCCCTTGCCCTCTCCCCCTCCCTTTCTCTCTCCAGCTGTGTCTGAGCTGTCCTGCCCACCAAGTGCTGGGGGACATCTGAGCCCTCCCGGGTTGGCGCCAGAGCCCAAGTGGCTGACAGGGGTGGAGCCTTGGGGGCCAGGTGGGGAACTGTCCCAGCTGTCAGCGCCCCCGTGATGGATGAGGGGTAGGGCCTGGAGAGCACAGAGCTCTACTCCCATCCCAGGGGGTGGGGGGGACTGGCCCCCCAGGGTGTACAAACAGAGCCTCTGCACCTCTGCACTCACAGCTGGGGGCCCCTGGTGAGGGCCCCCACCCAGCGGGAGTGCTTAAAGACCCAAGTGGATGGGGCCCCTCACTCCACTGGCATCATGGGCTCCTGGGCACTCCCCACAGCTCTCTTCCTCCTCTTCTTGGTCCCCGAGAGGAGCCTGCAAGGGGGTGAGGCCAGCAGCGAGGCTGGGCTCCCAGCAGTGAGATTGGGGCTGGGGTCTGTGTGGAGCGGGGGTCAGAGGGGAGGGTCTAGGCAGCTGGGGCTGGGGTCCGTGTGGAGCGGGGGTCAGAGGGGAGGGTCTAGGCAGCTGGGGCTGGGGTCCGTGTGGAGCGGGGGTCAGAGGGGAGGGTCTAGGCAGCTGGGGCTGGGGTCCGTGTGGAGCGGGGGTCAGAGGGGAGGGTCTAGGCAGCTGGGGCTGGGGTCCGTGTGGAGTGGGGGTCAGAGGGGAGGGTCTAGGGGGCTGGGGCTGGGACTGGAGTCTGTGTGGAGGGAGGGTCAGAGGGGAGTGTCTAGACAGCTGGGGCTGGGCTGCTGGGGCTGGGGCTAGGACTGGGGCTGGGGTCTGTGTGGAGCGGGAGCCAGAGGGGAAGATCTGGACAGCTGGGACTGGGGGTGAGGATGTCAGAGACATGATCAAAGAACATGGTTGATTCAGGCCTCCTGAATCTGGGTAAGAGTGAGCTGGGTGTTGGGGTTAAAAAGTGAGCGTCTATGCCACTGGGGCTGGGGTCTGTGTGGAGCGGGGGTCAGAGGGGAGGGTCTGGACAGCTGGGGCTGGGGTCTGTATGGAGCAGGGGTCAGAGGGGAGGGTCTGGACAGCTAGGACTGGGGCTGGGCACTGCAGAGAGAGGGTTAGGTCTGGTGGGCCCTGGGGGTAACCACCTGGTCCTGTCCCATTGCTGAGTCAGCCCTTGCTCCCCCAGGGCTGCCCCCATTGCCTCCTGGCCTGGGAAAAGGTAAGCAGCCCCCTTGGGCACTGGGGTGAGCAGAGAGGAGGTCTGGGAGCTCTCTGGGGGTAGCCCCCATTTCCCAGCTCCGAGACTCTGGTGTGGGGCCCTTGTCAACGGTCAGCACAGAGCGGAGACAGAGATAATCCCCTGCCTGCGGGGCTCAACCCTGGATGGGGGGCTTTGGGGCCCTGGAGGGGGAAGCATGGAGCTGGGTCCTGGGCGGTGGCAGGTGAGGGAGGAGACCCCCACCCTGGCAGCCTGGGGACAGGACAGGAGGGCAGGAGCCAGCTGAGCTGGGCTGAGACTCAGTGCCACCAAGGGTCTTCCCGTCAGGGCCTAGGGGTGGGAGGAGGCCCCCCCAGACCTGGGGGCTGGGAATCCATGAGAGTCCTGGAAGAGGGAAGCCCAAAGAGCTTCAGGCTGAGAATGGACGGGAGGGGTCCGCACCTCTGAGGAGGAGGGTGGGGCGGGCTCTGGCCCCCAGCCCCCAGGGCCACAGCTCAGACGCCTTCCGCCTTCCCCGTCCCTGCTGCTCCACTACCAGTGGGGAAACCGAGGCAGGGGTGATGCTGCCTACTCCTCTCTGACCCTCACATGTGGGAGCCCAAATGGCTACAGGTCAGGTGAAGCTGAGGGGGCCAGGGCTGCTGAGTTCCGCAAACAGGGCTGCAGCGCCCCACCTGCTGGCCCCTGCCCCAGGCTCAGCTCCCCAATCCCCCCACAGGCTACGCCCCCCCCAGTGGCCTGGGAGCAGGTAAGGCTGGGCCCGGGGCAGGGGCAGGGCTGGTCTCCCCAACAAGTGGGACTTGGGGGTCAGAGGAGGCAGGGTAGCAGTAGGGAAGTGGGGGGAGAGAGTGAAGGCAGAGCTGACCCCCAACCCTGGCCTGTGTGATCCGGGGCCTGCTAGGCGTCGGCTGAGGAGGGGGCTCACTGCCCTCCTTGGCAGGAGACGAGCCCCGCAGCCTGATGCTCAGGACACTGCAGGCCAGGCCAGGGGTTCTAGGGAGACCCTCCGGGAGGGGTCCTGGGTCCCTCACCTGCTCCCCGTGGCTCTCCCAGGAGAGAACACTAACCTCAGAAGCCAGGTGAGCCCCACTCCAGCCCCATGTCTCTCTGTCTCCCCGTCTTCCCCCCAGGACTCGGGAACGGAAATGGGCTGGGCGCCCAGCCAGGTGAGAAGCAGAGTCTGGGGGCTCCACAGTCGGGGGTCCATCACTGTCCCCCTCCCAGACCTCAGAGGGGACAGGATTGAGGTGACCGAAGGTGATGTAGGGGAGGTGGAGCACCTTCCCAGGGCTGCTTGGCTTCAACCAAGGGAGGGGTCTAAGGGGCTTGTGCCCCACCCCAGGCTGGGACCCCGGCTCCTCTCTCTCCCTGCAGGCCCTCCAGCTCCCAATGGCTACGCAGCAGGTACAGGTGGGGCTGGGAGTGGCTGGGAGCTGGGATTCTAGGGGCCCCCTGAGACCCTCCACTGACTCCTTTCTTTCTCAGGCATTGGAGGGGGTATGAAACCGCATAAGCCAGGTGTGTCTCACTCATACCCTGTCCCCCACCCCCCAACTCTGGCGGGCTCTGTCTCCCCAGGGCTTGGGAACAGGAACGGGGAGGGAGCAGGGGCTGTCCCAGGTGCTGCAGCCCCACCAGGCAAGATGGGGGAAGAGGGAGGGGACCCCAGGTCTGTGGTTCTGGGGGGGCGAGAGTGGCTCACGTCACAGGGGCAACACTGGGGACTCGCTGGATTCTGACGGTCCCTGGAGTCTGCTCTGGGGAGGAGAGCACGAGGACACCCTGACTCACCCCCACCTCAGCACAGGTGGCTCTGGGGCAGGGAGGAGGCCACACCTCCCCCTGCCCTGACTTTGGAGGGGGTGCCTGCCCCATCCCCTTAGACTTCCTCTGCTTCTGTCTCCTCAGGATATGGAAATGGAATGGGAGTGGGAGCCTTCCCAGGGCTGGGGGCCCAGCCAGGTGAGGACACCTGGGGCAGGACCCAAGGGGCTGGGTAGAGTTGGAATCAGGAGGGGAGAGTCGGGTCCTGCAGGGAGGGCAGGGGCTCAGGCCTGGGAGGAGCTGTGGACCCTGAAGCCAGGTGGGTGCAGAGCCCTCCTGCTCCTGCCCCCTCTGCACCCGACACGCCTACCGCACAGTTGACAGTCCTCACCTGTGTCTCCCAGGATTTGGGGGCAGCAACAGCGGCCCCCTGCTGGGTGAGGGTGATGGGCAGGGGCTGAGGGAGGGGTGGGCCAGGAGGGCTCAGGGCCCTCATTCCTAGGGGTGGGGTGGGGTGGGTTTGGGTCAACTCCCCTTCCTCCCTGCCCGGACCTCCCGTCCCCCAGCCCCACCTCTGCTGTAGTTTGTGGTCCCCTCCCAGGGACTGGCCCCTTTGCCAATGGCCTGCTGATGCACTCCTGTGGCCTGAGATGTGCTCCATGGCCAGGCTCCCTGGGAGGCCTGCGGGGGGCACCACAGCCTGGCCCCCGTACTTTGTCCCCACAGGCCCCATGGCTCAGAATGGTCACGGACCCAGAGGGCGGGAAGGGGTGAGCTGGGCGTGTGCTTGGGTGTCGGGGTTCAGCGGGGCTCCAGGCTGCCTCACCTGGCCCCACACACACCTGGTGGGACCTCCCCTTACTCCTGCTGGCTCTGTCTCCCAGGGTTTGGCAATGGCAATGAGATGGGAGCTGGAGCCTTCCCGGGAGGCCTAGCCCAGCCAGGTGAGAGCATCCCAGGGTCCAGCTGGGGTCTGGGAATGTGGGAGGAGGTGGCAGGAAACCACTCTCTGGGAGACAGGAGCCCCATGGGGTCTGCATCTGGCTCAGCCTCTCTGGCTCTTCCCCAGGCTTGGCAGGGGGCGCGAAGCCTCAGAAACCAGGTGAGCCCCACCTTCTTGCTCCACCCTCGCCTCGGCTCTGCCTGCCCCAAATGCACCCTCACAACCCTGCTTTCCTCTCCAGGATACAGCAATGGAAACAGTCTGGGGGCCCAGCCAGGTGGAGGCGGCCAAGTGAGAGGTTAGGGCCCCGGGCCTCAGCAAACAGGTTCTTAGGGGTTCACTCATTCAACCCTTGTCGCACCTGCTGAGCCTGGCCAGGCTGGGTTCTACAGACACTGTGAGGTTAAGGCCCACCGTGTTCAGCCCGCAGGCTAAGAACCAGAGGGCCAACTGCGGAGCGAGGTCAGGGTCAGGCTGGGGCCGGGTAGGGGGAGCCAGGCACTGGCTGGTGCCAGCTGAACTCCTGCTTCAGTGCCACCGGATCCCTGTGTCCCAAATCCGCCTGCAGCTCAGAGTGGCTTTGACCAACTAAAGAGGGGAGCCCAGGGCTGAGGGCCTCCCACCTGTTGGAAAACCCCAGAAGCCGGGGGGGGTGCTCACCCAGCCTCCATCTACCCCTACTCTTGCTATCTGCCCGTACTCCCCCAAGTCCCAGGTCTGCCCTTATTCCCTTTGCTGTCTCCCCAGGGTTTGGGAATGGAAATGGACTGGCAGCCAGGACCTTCCCAGGAGCTGGAGCCCAGCCAGGTGAGGCCTTGAAGCTTTGCGAGTGTAAGGAGGTTGCTAATAGGGGCTTAGCTCTGAGACAAGAAGGGGCCAGGCAGACTCCCAGAAGCCCCTCCCCAGGCCTTGGGGAGGATGGAACCCCCAGAAGCCAGGGGACAGCCATGCTCTTGCCTCCCGACTTGGCCTTATTAGAAAGCAAACAAACAAAACATCCCACGGACCACACTGCTGTGGGTCAGCCAGTGCTGGGAAACACCAGAACTGAACTTGGTGGCCAAGGCCACGCGCTAGAGTGGCCCCGGACTTTCAGGGCAAGAGCGAGTGGCAGCCCAGGAAGAGAGAATTACCTGGGGTCTCCTGACAAACGGATGGGGGTGGGGTGCAGCCAAAAGGATGAGAGAGGGCGTGGGCTGTGAAGGCACTGGGGGGCCAGGGTGCAGGAGCTTGATGGGGGGGGCTCCTCTGTGGCTGATGGGACGGTGACAGCGACTCCCCAGCACCCGGGCAGCTGGAGGAGGCCCTCGGCTTCCAGGGCCCAAGCAGGAGACAGCAGCCCTGTGAGGGTCTGAGAAGCAGCAGCAGAGACGAGAAGGCGGGGATGGGGTGGGTGGAGAAAAGCTAAAAGCAAAATGAAGACAACAAAACCCTTTCAGAAGGAGAAGGAGGCAAGGCCGAAAAGGGAGTGGCCAGCGGAGCCACAGGTGTGGGCATGGCGGGGCCCAGGGAGGCAGTGGCCGGTGGTGTCGTGCACCAGCGGGACTCGGGCGCTCGCAGGCCACCGAGCTTGCGGTGAGAAGGGGCCTGGGACGGCTCCCTGGAGAGAGAGAGGGGCCCACTGCCCTGCCCAGTGTCCCCCTCCCCAGGCCTGCAGCTGGAGGGGCGGCCTCAGGTGGCAGTCCAGAGAGCCAGGGCCTCAGAGCACCTTCTCCCCCAACAGGCCCTGCCGTTCCCAATGGCTATGGAGCAGGTAGGGCGGGGCTGGGGACCTGGAGAGCCCAGAGGCAGGGCCCCAGTAGGTGCCCAAGTAGGTTCCTCACCTGCTCCCTTTCCCTCCACCAGGCTATGTAGGGGTGGCGAAGCCCCAGAAGCCAGGTGAGCCCGACCCAGCCTATGCCTCTGCTCACCAGACCTGAGCTCCCCTACTTGCACTCACAACCCCCGCCCTTTGAAGGCAAAGCCATCTGGGGGTGGGCCACCTCTCCCCACAAGGCCTCAGAGGGGCTCCCAGGATCCCTGGCTTCTGGCTCGGCCCTGTAAGGGGCACCACGGGCCTTTGGCCCCCACCAGGCCTCCAATCCAACAGCTCATCCCTCCCACCCCACAGGACCCCCAACTCAGAATGGCTACGGAGCAGGTATGGGGGGTGGGAGAAGCTGGGGTTCTGAGGCGGCTGTTCCCCACACCCCCTGAGGCTGTGAGCCCGGAGCCCCTCTCCCCGCTCTTCTCCCCGTGTGGAGTGGACCCCTGGGATTCAGGGAGGGGAACAGGAGGCTAGGAGCCTGGCAGTGAGGACAGGGTGGGAAGGGGCCCCTGGGCCTACAGGATTTCCAAGAAGGTGGGCTTCACCTGCACCCCAGCAGGGTCCCAGCCCCGACTAACTTCTTGCTCTCTGTACAGGCCTGGCCCAGGGCGGATTTGGAGCAGGTAGGAGCAGGGTCAGGGAGGGGAGGGGGACCCTGGGCTGGGGGCCCTGTGAGTCGCTCACCTGCTCCCTGTATCGCCCCTAGGCTTTGGAGGGGGCAGGAAACCTCAGAAGCCAGGTAAGTCCCATCTGTTCTCACTCTGGCTGGGTAGCCCTAAAGCTACAAGCAGCGCACACGCCCACCTCTCCTGCCTCTCCAGGATTTGGCCTAGGAGCTGGGGTTTTTCCAGGGGCAGGGCCAGGAGGGCTAGTGGCTGCTGGGGCGGATGGGTGGGGCCGCCCAGGGGTCAGAGTCTGGGTGGGGCCATGAAACCACGCAGCCAGGTGAGTGGAGCGCCCACAGCACCCCCTATCCGCCCCGCGCCTGGGTGCTGCCTCCTCCACACCAGCCTAACAGCTTCATTCCCACAGGCTACGGGAATGGACAGGGAGCCCAGCCAGGTGAGTGCCGCTGGGCCTGGGTCCTGCGGGGTTGTGGGGGTGGGGGCAGAGCACAGAGGCTGGGGTCGGAGGGCTGGCTGGAGCCCATGCCGGCCACGCCCCATCTCCCCAGGTGCAGGAGTGAAGCCAGGCACCACACACCCTCCCCGCCCTGGCCCGTGGCCCTCCTGGCTCTGCCCCTGCTGCCCTTACACCCAGGGCATTAACCAGTCCTGGCAGCCTCAGGAGAGGGACCACAGCTGCGTGGCAGGGAAGGAGAGCCCTCAGGGACTCCAATTGCTCCAGTCATCCTCTCAAAACGGCACGGGCCAGGGAAGGGCAGGGCTGGGGCTCCTTGGAACCCCACCAGCTTCCTCACCCGCTCTCTGCCTCTCTGCCAGGCTATGGAGGGGGCCTGAAGGCCCAGAAGACAGGTGAGCCCCCCCAGCCTGCCCCTCGGTCCCCCAAAACCTGAGCTCCCTCCCCTCATTTATACCCTACCTGGTCAGAGCCTCCAGGGTCTGGAGTCAGGCAGGGACCCAGCCAGGTGAGGGGGTGTGGTGTGGGGTGGGGTGCCCTCTCCCTGTCTCCCTCCAAGGCCTATGTGAGGCAGGCTGAGGGTGGGTCCCCAGAACCCTGGTTCCTGGCTTGGCCCTGAAGCAGGGACCAAAGGCATTCCCCTCACCTCAGCCAGGGTCCCAACCCCTGCTCATCCTCCCCCACTGCTCACCCCTGCCCCCCTACAGGTCCCCCAGCTCAGAACGGCTATGGAGCAGGTACTTTAGGGGTGGGAGAAACTGGGGGCACAGCAGGGAGGGGTGCTGGGGGGATGGTGGGTCCCTGACCCCCCTGCCTGAGGTCCTCTCCGGGGTCCTGGGCTCCTGTCAGACTCAGAGAGGGCCAGGCTGGCACTTGAGTGGGAGTGGCATGAGGCAGAGGGAGGGGCAAGGGAACCCAGCTTCCCACCTCCCCCGACCCGCCCCTCCCCCACGGCTCTGTGGTGTTCACTGGCTGTGGGCCAGGGGGGGCCAGTGAGGTGGGTGGGGGTGGCCAGAAGCCAGGGTCAGGAGAAGCATGGGCCATCACCTGCTCCCGGTCTCTCTGCAGGCATCGGAGAAGGCGGAAAACCTCCCAAGCCAGGTCTGCCCTTTCTTTCCACCCCAGAAACCGCCTGCTGCCCCTCCCCCTCCCCCTCCCAACCCAGCCTTCCCCCCTCCCCAGGGTACCCAAATGGACTGGGAGTTGGAGCCTTCCCAGGAGAGGGAGCCCAGCCAGGTGAGGGAGCAGGGGCATGCCAGGGATTCTGGGAAGATGGGGAGAGGCGAAGGGGGTCCGGGCAGCGGAGCAGTCCTGAGGAGGGGCAGGGTGGCCCTGCTGCCCCTCAGCCACTGTCTGTCTCTCCCAGGCCTGGGCGGGGCCAGGAAACCTCCAAAGCCAGGTGAGTCCATCTGGGTCCCTCTTCCTGCGCCTGATGTCCCCTCCCGCCCCTGGCCTCACAGCCTGCTCTCCCTCCCAGGACACCTGCTGCCCGGGAATGGGCTGGGGCTCCCGCCAGGTGAGCGCAGCAAGGGCTCAGCCTGGGGAGTAGGGCCTTCTCTCCTGGGCAGGCCAGGCTGAACTGGCCTCTGTCTCTCCCCAGGCCTGGGAGCAAGCGTGAAACCTCCAAAGGCAGGCAAGTGAGAGCCCGGCTGCCCTGCCCCTCCTCCTGCCTGCCCTTCCGGAACACCCCCCTCCCCCACACACCACGGCTCTCACCTGTGCTTTCCTCTCCAGGGCACCGCAATGGCAACGGGCTGCTGGCTCAGCCAGGTGAGGCCACGGCCAGGCACAGGCCCGCAGGAAGGAGCGATGGCTGTGAGGTGGAGGGGCGGGTGGTGGGCGAGCAGGGGCCCCATGCTGTGGGGGCACCTTCCCCCAGCCCTTGGGAGCTGGGCCTTCTCCAGCTTGGAGTCACCGTGGGCTGAGGGGCTGCAGACTCACCCCTGCACCCTTAGGTCCCTGCAGGCCTCCCACGCCAGGGGTCCCTGCGGATCAAGCAGGAGGCTGGCGCCTGAAGCCCCAGCCCCCATCCCCCGCACAGAATGGCGAGTTCCCAGGTCAGCATAGTCCCCACACGCTCCACGCTCGGGAAGGGCAGGGGCCTGTCCTGAGGAGAGGCCCTGAGTCCCTGCTCTGCCTCCCCAGCACCCACCCAGGCCATCCAGTGGGGACCGAAGGCTCACAAAGCAGGTGTGAGTCTGTCCTTCCCCAAGCCCCACAGCCCAGCAGGACAGCCCCTGTGCCATGGCCCATGAGGGTCGCTCCACCATTACCCTTATTCCCCCACACACCGTGCCCCGCCCCCGCTGCTGCCTCAGCTGTTCCGGTTCCCTAAGGCCAGGAAGTCCCTCCCGGAGTCTACCCATGGTCTCTCTTGCAGTCTCCTGAGCTCCCTCCTGGTTGTGGGTAGGGAGTCCCTTAGGCCACCCTTAGCCCCAGGGAGCCCTCCCCTCACCCCCACCTTCCTCCCAGGATACCAACCTGTTCGTGGTTACGGTTACAGACCAAGAACAGAACTGGGTGAGCAGGCCCTCGGCTGCGGTCCCTCCCCTCCCCGCACTCCCTTCCTCTCCCCCCTCCTCTGTTCCGCCCCCCCCCACCCCGCCCTTCTCCAGGAAGGGGGCAGCAGAGCAGACTCTGTTCCCGACCCTGGCTCTGACCTACGGTTTCCTCCCCTCCCCCAGGCTTTGGTGGTGGCCTCAAGCTGCAGACAGTCGGTGAGCCCCCCGCCCCCCCCACTGTCCCCCAGCCCTCCCTGGAGGCAGAGCCCTCCTCAGTTCCTGCCGCTCCCTCCTGCCCGCCCCCCCCCCCCCCGCACGTCCTGACTGTGCTCTGGGCTGCACGGTAGTGGAAGCGGGTGTGGTGGTCTCAGGTGAGGGCAGAGCGCTGGACTGAAGCCAGGTGGGAAGGGAAGAGCGGTGGAGGAAGGCTTCCAGGGGCCGCACCGCGGGGCGGTGAGGGGAGACAGCTGGACGCAGTGCCAGGCCGTCTGGAGGTGACCGCTGAGTTCTGTGTCCGGGAGCTGGTCACCTGGCGTCCCCGTGCCACCCGCCCTCCTCATCCCCGTCCCCTCCAATCTCTGTCCTGCAGGTTTTGGTTACAGGAATGGCATTCTGGGAGCTGGACTCTTCCCCGAGGCCCGGCCGCAGCCAGGTGCCTGGGGGCTGGGGTGGGGACAGAGCGCTGGGCCGCGGGTGCGGGGAGCTGCCCCTCATGTCCTTTCCTCCTCCAGGGTTCCCGGACACCGACGGCTTTGGGAACGGTGAGTCCGAGCCGCAGCTGGTGAGGAAAGGGACAGGGGGCTGGGCAGGAGTGACGGGGGTCTCTCCTAGGGTACAGCGAGGAGGCCCCTGTGTACTCCGAAGTGGCAGCAGTAGCCCCTGGAGGAGAGGGTGAGAAATGGACACCGGGAGGGCCAAGGGGCAGGCAGAGTGGGCGGGCACTCTGGCGTCCTGCTCCGGGCCGGAGTACCCACCGCAGCTCTTCTCCAGCAGCTGAGGCCGGAGCCCTTCTCGACTCTCCCTGGCCTGCCGCCCAGCCCTGGAAGAGCAGCCGCCTGAAGCCAGGATATGCCTACGCAGGGCTCAGGAGCCGGCCCGGTACTGCAGGGGCGGCCCTTGGGCTGAGGGACCCAGATGGGGAGGGGAGGGGAGGGCCCGTATGTACGGCAGCCAGGGCTGCTCAGTCCTATACGCTTCCCAGGGCTCTACGGGCAGCTGAAGCCGGAGCTGGGCCCTGGGCCGCTGGGTGAGTGGCAGTCTCCCGTGCCAGGGCGGGGGGCTAGGGGGGCATTAGTCCCCCAGTGACCCTGTTTTGTCTGCCTGTGCCTAGGGGCCCCTGACATGAAGACAGGCAGCCGTGGCCAGTGAGGAAGCGATTATGGAGGTGAGAGGGAGGAGGGGGCCCAGCACCTGCTACCGGCGGGGCCATCAGCTGTCTCTCCTCCCGCTGCACTAGGGGGTGCCCCCAGCCCTGGGGAGGGACAACAGGCTCCCGGTTACCTGCAGGGGACCGCTGAGCAACCTCCAAGGCAAGAGGAGGAAGAGGCGCAGGGCAGGGCAGTGGGATCTGCATGGGGCCCTGCCTCTCCCCAGTCCTCGCCCTCCTTCTCCCCAGGCCCCTGACCTCCAGTCTCCGTGTCACAGCTGGCCAGAGGCCCAGGGAGTCCAGAGCCGGGCCTGGGGCTCCCCCAGCGAGAAGTATCAATAAAGGCGATGTGTTTCCCTGTCTGTCTCTGTGTGTCACCCTGATGGGGTGGGGGGCAGTGTGGGCCGCAGTCACCACCCAGAACCTCTCACTCACTCATTCAACAAGTGCCGATGCGGTGTGTGCCAGGAACCAAGCTCCTGATGGCAGAGACCCTCAGGACTAAACAGACCCCGCAGCGCCCTAGCAGGGCGGGAGCCATGCCCGAGTCAGAGGCCCTGTGCCGGGAGCACTTCATTACTTGTGTTTTGATTGGTAATCAGCTTATTAAGGTTGTTAGACAAAAAACCTCTTCCTCCTTAAGCCTTTACTATGGTTTTCCAGGTGCCATTAAATTGGCTGAGAATTTGGATATTAATCTCATTTTTTTATTTTTATTTTTCAAAGTTAGACAGTGAGAGAGAGAGAGAAAGGTCTTCCTTCCATTGGTTCACCCCCCAAATGGCCGCCACGGCCAGCGCGCTGTGCTGATCCGAAGCCAAGAGCCAGGTGCTTCTCCTGGTCTCCCATGGGGTGCAGGGCCCAAGCACTTGGGCCATCCTCCACTGCCTTCCTGGGCCACAGCAGAGAGCTGGACAGGAAGAGGAGCAACTGGTACTAGAACCCAGGGTGCCGGCGCTGCAGGCAGAGGATTAGCCTAGTGAGCCGTGGCACCGGCCAGGACATTAATCTCATTTTTACTTAAACTCTTTTTTAATTAATTATGAGGCAGAGACAGAGTGTTCCATGCACTGGTTCACTCCCCCAGTGCCTGCAATGACCAGGACCAACCCAGGCCGAAGCCAGGAGCCTGGCACTCAGCCCAGGTCTCCACAGGGGTGGCAGGAAGTCACCAGCCTTAGCCGTCACTGCTGCATTGACAGCAAGCTGGAGCCAGGAGCCAGAGCTGGGATTGGGACCCAGGAGTCCTATCTGCTAGGCCTGCCCCTACCTTCTTTTTATTTTTTTATTATTCAAAAGGCAGATGGGGGCGGGTGGTGATATCTTCCATTCTCTGGTTCACTTCCCAAATGCCCCCAACACCTAGGGCTGGGCTGGGTGGAAGCCAGGAGCTCCCCTGGGTCTCCCGTGTGGGTGGCAGGGACCCCAGCACGAGAGCCATCACCTGCTGCCTCCCTGGGGTGCTCTAGCAGGAAGCTGGATTGGAAGTCGGTTGCTAATCCCGTGTCCTAGGGCGGCTGGGAGCTTCCTCTCTCCTCTCCTGGTCGCCGCTTGACTTCAGGAAGCAAGCCCCTGTCCCAGGCAGGCTGCAGAATGGAAGACCCGCAGTTCTGAGCTCTGAGTCTGGCCGGCCCTGGGCTGGTCTCCAGGAGCCCCTAGGATCTGAGCTGACGGTTTCCAAAGCCTTGTCTTCTTGCAGCCTGGCAAGTTTTTGTTTTGTTTCCTGTTTAAAGATTTATCATTTGAAACGCAGAGTGAAAGAGAGGGAGAGAACAGATCTTCCATCTTCAAAAGCCTGCATGTGTGGGTGGCCCACGTGGGTGGCAGGGTCTGAGCTCTAGGGCCATACTCTGCTGCCTTCCCCATGCACAGCAGCAGGAAGCTGACGTGGCAGCAGAGGAGCCAGGACAAAGCGGGGCTCGGGTCTGGGATGTCAGGGCGTACCCCGCTGCACAACACGCAGCTCACCTGATGGCCTGATGCAGCTCACCGGGTTCAGGGGTGGACAAACCCTCCGTAGAGCACGGCAAGGCCCCCAGTAGGCCAACGTTTGGGCATTCTTGGAATTCCAGCCGGATTTCCCTTGCTCTTCCACGGAACTCGTGGTTCTCCTTAAATGCTGACGTGGTCTTGTGCGTGGAATAAGCCACATCCCACGGTCTCCCTCTACTGGGGAACAGCTTAGGGCCTCCGGGCAGAATCTCTCGGCCAGGACTGGGGCGCAGCCCTTTGCCCCTAGAAACGTCGCTCTGGGGTTGTTCGAACTGTCCCGACTTTGCACAAATCGGCCATCTTCTCCCTTCTTCCTGAGCTACCTGATTCTCACGCAGCCGGCGTTTACCGTCGGTTCTTAGGAATGCTGTGTAGACGGTGCCACCAAACCCTGCTTCTGAATCGCGATATCCGCTTTCCTCTAAGACCCCTGAACGGACCTCTGCCTGGACCTTAACCTGCCCTTCGGGGGCAGCTCTCGGGGTCACCAGGGATAAAGCGACAGACAGAGCCAGGTCGCGGCGGCGCTGACAGAGCGGCACCACGGACCCTCCGGCCACGCGGGGGCGCCCCCTGCGCGCGCGGCGCTGGCTCAGGGAGGGGGCGTGGCGTGGCCCCGCGGGACACGGTGATTGGCTGGGACCGGGCGAGGGCGGGAAGAAGCCTTTGACAGTGAACACTGACGGCTGAGTGACCGCCCAGGGTAGCTCGTGCCGGCTGGCGGGAGAGAAGCTCAGGCAGCAAGCGCACTGACCTCTGATTGGCTGGCGCGCGGCGGCGGGCGCCTCCTATTGGCTGGGCCGCTCGGAGGGCGGTGCGTGGCTGCCCCTGGGGGCACTCGGCGGCGGTGGCGGACTGCGCGCGCCGGGCCCCGGGGCGGCAGCGACGGCCAAGCTGGCGGTGCGGCTGCCCCGCTCCCGCTCGCACCCGCGGCTCGCCCGCGCCCACTCGCGGCTGGGCCGGGCTCGCCCGTCGCTGCGGTTGACCCCGCCGCCCACGCCGTCGCTACCGCATCCACCGCTGCCCGGCCTTCCGCCGGGCCTGAGTCCCGCACCGCCACCGCCCTCGGCGCTCGCCCTGGCCGAGCTGCCGCCGCTGCCTGCGCTGCCGCTGCGGCCGGAGCCGCTGGCGCCCTGGGGCCCCGGCCCCCACCTGACACTGCCGGAGCTGCCGCCTGAAGCCTGCGCGCCCGCGCCGCCCGCCGCCGCGCTCGCTCTGCAGGACCTCCCGCGCCTGCCCGCGCCCGCGCCGCCGCCCGCGCACCTGCCGCTGCCGCCGCTGCCCGAGGCCGCCGTCGCCGCCACCCCGGGGCCCGTGGGCGCCCGCGGCCGCCCGCCCCTGGTCGGCGAGTTGCCCCCGCAGCCGCTGCCGCCGCTGCCAGCACGGCCCTCGCCGTTCAACCTGCTGGCTCCGCCCGTGCCCCGCGACCCCTGGCCGCTGCCCGCCTTCCCCCCTCCCCTGCCGCCGTCGCCGCCGCCCCCGCCGCCCTTCTTCCTGTCGCCACCCTGCTGATTGCGCGGCCCAGGCGGGGCAGCGGACCGGTGAGTGGATCTGTCCGCGCGCGGACTCAGGAGGCGTGGTTCCGCGCCTGTCTGGGAAAGGGAGACAAAGCGTCAGGTGTGGGGGCGAAAGCAGCAAGCCTGAAGATGACCGCTGACCGCTTGACCGCTGGGCGGGACGCCTGCCCCCATCTTCCAAGTCTTATCTTAGTTCAGACTTTCAGCTGACACGGACACCTGTGTCCTGCGGGCTAGGCCCCCGGGGAGAGCAGTGGGGATGTCGGGCAGTCAGTGCTGGGCCTGGACAGTCGATACTGGGGGGGGGGGTGGGCGGGGGCGTCCCCAGCTGACAAGATTCCCACACAGTCCTGAGCGGAAACTCCTGCCCTTGCCCCTCCCCCTGCCCCCACCCTGCCCCGTCCGGTTTCTGTGCCGTGAACATCACTCATAGAGTTCTTTGTTTCTTAGGTGGCCTGGGCTCAGGTGACCTGGCGGGCGTCCTGTCTCAATGGGCTCTTCTGCAGCCGCTCAGGAGTGGCCCCGGGCAGCTAACCGTGACCTTGTGGGACCTCTGAGAGCCTGCCAGCCACCGGCAAAAGGGCCAGGGTTGGTTTCCTGGGACTGTGGTAGCGGATGACGAACGGGGTGGCCTAAGACAGCAAAAATGTCTCACGGCTCCAGGGGCCAGGAGGCTCCAGGGGCAGGGCCTTGCTTTCCCCAGAGACCAGGGGCAAGTTCTTCTCTCCCTGCCCCACCTCTGGTGGCTCCAGGCCTGCCTTGGCTTGTGGCCTTATCATCACTCGAACTTCTCTGTCTCTCAACTGCCTGTTTTTCTCCTATAAGCACACCTGTCACTGGGTGTAGGCCCCACCCTAAGTCCAGGATAGATCTTATCGTGAGATCTTTGTGTCTGCAAAGACTCTAATGAGATAAGGCTACATTCCTGGGGTCCTGACCTTACAGCTTGGTTGTATCTTTCGGGGGCCAGCATCCGGTCCATCCGGGCAGTGTCTCTGGGGCTGGCCCACCTCCCCAGCTGTCTTCCCAGACCTGTGTCCTTGCACAGGCAGGCAGTATGACCCTGATAACACACCCCCCGGCCTGGCAAGAGACGGAGTGTGGTCTTTCCCTCCCGCTCAGATGGGCCTGCCGCTCCCTGCCCGCCTCTGCGCTGTGTCCACACTCAACTAAGAAGCCAGGAGTGGCCAGCAAGCTCCAGGACTGTGCTCTCAGACAGCCCTAGCCGTGGGCCCATCCCCAAAGCTTGGCAGCCCAACCGGTGCTGGCTGACAATAAAGTGTTCCCCAAGGAACGGCGTCTGTCCGGGTCTGCGAATGAAACTCAACGAATCCTCCTGTCCTAGGTCACGCCTACAGCAACCTCAGGTGTGTGTGGCCCTCACCCAGAAGAGGGCCAGTGGCCACCCTGGAGGTGGGCAGGCCCTCCGGTCTTCACAGCAGGAGGCACCCAAGGCTCAGGCGGCGGTGGGGACTCCCTGGGGATCCAGCCTGCTGCCTGCTGCGCCTAGGACCCGGATGCAGTGAGGGGGAACTTCCCTTCTGATCAGATTCGGACTCAGTTCTCTTGGGGAACCCGGCAGAGCTTAGAGTAAGGAGGGGGTGGCTGTGCAAGAGTGTCTCCCCCCACCCAGCCAGGCTGTGCAAGAGTGTCTCCCCCCACCCAGCCTGGCTGTGCAAGAGTGTCTCCCCCGACCCAGCCTGGCTGTGCAAGAGTGTCTCCCCCCACCCAGCCTGCTGGGCAGAGGCAGCTGGAGCCTTGCTTAACCTGCTGTGGAGCCAGCCTTACATTCGGGCTCTGGGGTGGCCTCAGGCTTGCCCTCTTTCCTGTGGTTGAAGGTGGTCAAGTCCCTCCCCCAGGCCCAAGTGTGGCCCCCTGGTCTGGGAACCCAGGCAGTGAACCAGCTGCAGCGATACAGACCTCCAGGTGCCGCCCGCCCCTGGGGCTTCTCCACCTGCGGGACAGGCCCTCGGGCTCCCGCAGGGCACTGGGTGAGCTGCCCTGGGGGTTCTCAGAGCACCAGGCCAGCCCCCTCCCATCTCCCTTCCTAGAGGAGCAGGTTAACCCCCTTCCATCCTCCCAAAGCTGAGCCCCAGGCTCTGCTGCCTCGGTCCTCCCCAGGGAAAGGGACCATGTCCGGTGGCGTCACCCCTCGAGGGGCTGGTGGAGGGCGAGGCCCCAGCCTCCCCTGGGCATCCCAGTTGGGAGGACCCCTACCCCCAAGACTTCCTCCTAGGGAGAGGGCTGAGTGGGGACGCCCGGCAGCAGGTTTAAGTGCCATTGAGATGGTAATGGCGCCAAGGGGTGTCACCTCCATATCAATGGAGTTCCAGAGGCTTCAAGATCCCTCCCCCCAAATCAGGCCCCAGCTTTAACCCTTCAGTTCCCAGGATCCAGCTCAATGCAGTGGGAGCAGGGGCCTCACACCGGAAGGCTGAGGATCCCAGGACACTCCCGCCCCCCACCCCTCACCCCGGCAGCGCCTCTCCTGGTGCTCTGACTCCCCGGGCCTTGGGAAGGGCTTTCTCGTCTGGTCTCAGACAACAGGAGTGTGGACTCGGGGTGGGCGGCAGCTGAGTGGCCTGGGCCACCGTGAGGGCTGGATCACGGGGTGAGGTGCCCAGCTACTGGACGGCAGTGTGGCCTCTCCCGCCTTGCCTGAGTGCAGGGGTGCAGGGCCACTGTAGAACTCGTGGTTTGCAAGCTGACGGCCCTGGAAGGCCAGCTGGGGATGCCGCAGGCCCCGATGTGTGACCCCCTCCCCTTCGTGCTGAGGGTCCAGGCGGTGGGCTGACCCGCTGTCCTCAACACGCAAGCTGCGAGTGCCACGGACACGCTGGGCTGCGCGGCTCACCCAAGGCCCCAGGTGGGATGAGGGCTTTTCCTGGGGCTGCTGAGTGTGGTGGGGTGGCGGGCGGGTCGGTGGGCCCTCCCAGAGACCTGAGCTGCCCAAACCTGTGCAGCCGGATTCCTGGGGGAGCTTCTATTTGCCCTTCTGGTTGGCCATATCCCCCACCCGCCCTGTGAAATCCAAGCCCCCAGGGGCTGGGCCAGCTGGACTGGTCCGCCCCCAAGCCTCCCCTGCCCTCACCGGACTGATGACCCACCACCACCCTCCCACCTCTGTGGGGCCTCCATTCAGCCTCTGCTATGGGAGGAGCCCCTTCCTGCCAGGAAGCGCTGGGGGGGGGACCCTAACTTGAGGCTCCCTTGCCCACCAGATGACTGGTGCTGGCCTCTGTCTCTCTGCTGTGTGTGGGGGTGCCCTCAAGCTTTTTAGGGTCTCAGACCTCTTGGAAAATCTGATGAAAGCAGAAATCTTCCAAAACCCGCTACAGCCTGCGCCCAGAGCCACCGTTCGCATCCCAGGCCCCTGAACTTAGAGCCCTTCAGGAGGCCTTGCCCGGCCCTCAGGAGCTCTTGGCTCCAGGAGGCGCTCGCTCGAGGGGGTTCACAGACCACCTGGAACGAGGCACACGCATTTGTGGGTGTGGCTTCTGAAGTTTCTCAAATGGCCCTTTAAATATATATATATATAATATATATTATACATATATATATACACACACACACTCATTCATTTGAAAGGCAGCACAGAGAGAGAGGGAGAGACAGAGATCTTCCATCTGCTGGAAGATCCCCCAGTGCCTGCCTCAGCCAGGGCTGGGTCAGGCTGGAGCCAGGAGCCAGGAGCTCTACCCGTGTCTCCCACTTGGGTAGCAGAAGCCACCGTTCACTGCCTTGCCAGGAACACTAGCAGGGAGCTGGACCAGAAGTGAAGTAGCTGGGGGGCCGGCACTGTGCCTCAACGGGTTGAGCCGCCATCTGCAATCCTATGTAAAACACTGGTTCAAGTCCCAGCTGCTCCACTTCCAGTCAAGCTCCCTGCTAATGCACCTGGGAAGGCAGTAGAAGATGGCCCCAGTACTTGGACCCCTGCACCCATGTGGGAGACCTAGATGGAGTTCCAGGCTCCTGGCTTCTGCCTGGCCCAATGCCAGCCATTGCGGCCATTTGGGAAGTAAACTAGAGGTGGGAAGATTCTCTCTCTCAACTCTGGCTTTCAAATAGAATACATCTTTAAAAAAAAAAAAAAAAAAAAGAAAGAAAGAAAGAAAATACCTGGGGCTCAAACCAGAACTCTGATTATGGGATTCCAGTTTCAAAAGCTGCAGTTTAACCTGCTGTGCCACAATGCTGGCCTGTCCCAAGTGGGTTTTTGACCCAAGGAAGTTAGAGACCTTGATCATCTGTGATCTATCCCCACTAGGATCAGGAACTGAAGTTTGATCTGGTCTGTGTGACTCCCGGCCACCCTCCATGAGAGGGCTGTCTGTGGCCTGGAAGGCAGGGGGCCCACCTCCTCTGGGTGGTGTCTTGGCTGGGGAGGCCAGAGCAGCCAGCGGGAGCTGGGTCTGAGCTGCACCCTGAGTGGGGGGGGGGGGCGGTGTAGCCTCCCTCCCCTGCTGCCTCATCCTGCAGACCCCAGGGTGCCCCTCCCCCCTCCACAATGGGCTCTTTCTCTCCCGGACTGTGCAGACTGTCAGCCACTGCGCTCAGCCCCCAGTGTCAGCAGCGGAGGTAGGGAGGGCACACCTGAGTAGGGGGAGGGGGCGGGTTTCTAGGCCGTCGTCAGGGTGATGCCACCTGAGCTGGGCGCCAGGCACCTGTTGCTAGGGGAACTGTGTGGGCCGGGCCCTCCCCCGGGAGCTTCGAGGGCACTGGGCTGAGACTGGAGATGGATCGGATTCCGGAGTTCCCAGCGTGGGGGCCTGGGGCGGGGGTGTGCGATACTGGGGCACATTTGCATCACGAAACCAGGCAGCAGGGAGCAACGTGGCAGGGGCGGGAGGCCAGGGAGGAGGCAAGCTCGAGGGAGCAGAACCTGTGCCCACTCCTCTGTTCCGAGCTCACCACCTTTTTGCCCCCTGCCACCGAGTCCTTGTTCCTCAGCTTCTCCTGGGTCTTTCCAATTCCTTGGCCCCTGGGTTCCCACAGGCAGGGGAGTTCTTCCTCCACTGTCCCCTCGGGATCACGGTTTCCCCCACCCCCATCACACTCCCTGCCCACGCACTCCAGCCCCCGCCTCCCAGTGGCTCAGGTTTCCCGACTGGCGGCCTCCCAGCCTCACCGGGCTCCTCCCCTGCCTGAGCCTTAAAACCCCGCCTGCAGTGGGAGTCGGCAGAGTCCCCGGTGGCACCCGCAGAGCCTGCGCCACCACATAAGAACCGGCGCCTGGCAAGAAAGAACGGCTCTTCCCATCCCCGAAAGCTCGGCCTGGACCTGGCTGCTGGGCACCGGATGGACAACAGCCCCCGGTGGGGACGCAAACCACACTGCTGAGCAGGACGGTGAGACCGGCTTGTGTCCAGCGAGGGTCACACACCCCCAGGAGAAGCGCCTTCCTGACAGGCTGCAGATGGGAGTGCGCTCCTGACCTGAAGGCGCCAGCGGGGTCCCGCTTCCTGCTGGGTCCTGAGGCTCCCACCCTGCCCCTCCGACCCACTCTGAGCCAAGGAGGCCGCCGAGGGCCGAGGACACATAACTGAGGGGTGGATGGCGTCCGCTGGCCTGGAGCTCTTGGGCATGACCCTGGCCGTACTGGGCTGGCTGGGGACCCTGGTGTCCTGCGCCCTGCCGCTCTGGAAAGTGACCGCCTTCATCGGCAACAGCATCGTGGTGGCCCAGGTGGTGTGGGAGGGGCTGTGGATGTCCTGTGTGGTGCAGAGCACCGGCCAGATGCAGTGCAAGGTGTACGACTCGCTGCTGGCGCTGCCCCAGGACCTGCAGGCCGCCCGCGCCCTCTGCGTCGTCGCCCTCCTGCTGGCCCTGCTCGGCCTGCTGGTGGCCATCACCGGTGCCCAGTGCACCACGTGCGTGGAGGATGAGGGTGCCAAGGCCCGCATCGTGCTCACGGCGGGGGTCATCCTCCTCCTGGCGGGCATCCTGGTGCTCATCCCCGTCTGCTGGACAGCTCACGCCGTCATCCAGGACTTCTACAACCCGCTGGTGGCCGAGGCCCTCAAACGAGAGCTGGGGGCCTCCCTCTACCTGGGCTGGGCAGCGGCGGCTCTGCTTATGCTGGGTGGGGGGCTCCTCTGCTGCACCTGCCCCCCGCCCCAGCTGGAGCGGCCCCGCGGCCCTCGGCTGGGCTACTCCATTCCGTCCCGCTCGGGTGCTTCGGGGCTGGACAAGAGGGACTACGTGTGAGGCGGAGGCTGACCGCATCCCTGATCCACACCTTGCCTGCCACCACCGTTGGCCACACGCTCCCAACTCCCAGAAGCTCAAGCTGGACTCTGCCTCCAGTGGGCCCTCCCCAGTGGTGGGAGACCCACTCTTCATTCTGCTGGGTACCCTGGCCCAGCACTGGCTCTCGCAGTAACCACTTCCTCCCGCTGTCCAGGACACAGGCTGGCCCTCCCCTGCCCAGGCCCCTTGGATTCTAAAACAAGGAGCAGACTGTGTCCTCCTTGCCCTGCACCTGTCCATTCTGGCCTGGCCACCACCCGCAGGCAAGGCCCAGCCTCCCTCCTCCTCCCCAGGGAAGCCCTGCACACACCTCACCCTCCACCACCACAAAAGCATTTGCAGGTGGTGGCCTTTCTGGCACAGTGGGTTCAGCTGCTGCGTCCCATTTGGGAGTTCCTTGGGTTTAAGTCCCTGCCCCTGCTCTCCTGATCCAACTTCCTGCCAAGGTGCACCCCGGGAGACAGCAGGTGGTAGCCAAGTACTTGGGTCCCTGGGAGACCTGGATGTTGTTCCAGGCTCCTGGCTTTGGCCTGACCCAGCCCTGGTCGTGGTGGGTATTTGGGGAGTGGGTCTCTCTGTGACACTGCCTTTCCAATAAATCAATCTTAAAGCATTTGCAACTGGCCTTCCTCTGATCTGTGTACCCCAGCCGGGCAGGGACATCTGGTGGCCTTCCCTGGTGGCTGCCAGGTTGGGTCCTGCCCAGATGGGGACTCCGGCCATGGCATCTGAGCCGAGAAGCATGGGGCAAAGCATGGTGTGTGATGTGTACACACCTCCTCCCTGGCCCAGCTAGGCACTCAGCGACAAAGGCATATGAACGAACCAGACTGCCTTTATTCAGCCACACTGTGTGAGAGATGGGGTGTGGGGGAAACGTGCAGGCTGGAGGTGAGCGGGGTGTGTGTGTCCAGAGCTCTGCCTGGTCCTGACTCCAGGAGGAGACGTGTGAGGGACGGAGGAGCCGGGGTCAGACGTAGAGGTGGACAGTCCTCTGGTAACATTCCCTGCTCTTCTTCTGGGGTGACAGCAGAGCCCCGGGGAGGCATGGGGGTGCTGCCGTCCCTGCTGGTCCACGGCGGCGCAGCCTCAACGGCAGCAGGAATTTCTGGGCCAGGCCACCTTGTCACAAAGCCAGAACAGCAGCGGCTTTCACACTGGTCCCACAGCTCCAGGTTGGCTTCCAAGGTGTGGCTGTCCAGGGTACAGAAGGATCCAGAAGCGAGAAAGGCCCTGATGGGAGCCTGAGCCATGCTCCTGGGGGCTGGTTACCAGGCAGATGTTAAAGACACCCCCCTCCCCCCTGCAAAGAAAAGAGTGAACCGTGAAAACAAAAAGGCGGGACTCTAGAGCTGTCCGACAGCGTGGGCGGACTACTCGGGCTCAGGGCCCTCACTCCCCTGCCCGTCAGACGTAATTCTTCGTGGGGTACTCAGAGGGCCCTCGGGAGGCAGCATTCGGGCCAGACGCTGAGTAGCGGGCCATGTAATGGCTGGAGCCCCGGGACCCCCCAGAGGGGCAGGTGCAGCACAGCAGCCCCCCACCCAGCAACAAAAGGCCCGAGGCTGCCCAGCCCAGGTAGAGCGAGGCCCCCAGCTCTCTCTTCTGCGCCTCGGCCACCAGCGGGTTGTAGAAGTCCTGGATGATGGTGTGGGCCGTCCAGCAGACGGGGATCAGGGTCAGGATCCCCGAAATGATAAAGGTGATCCCGGAGGTGAGCACCAGGCGGGCCTTGGAGTCCTTGTCCTCCACACACGTGGTGCACTTGGCCCCAGCGAGGTAGACCAGCAAACCCAGCAGGGCCAGCAGGAGGGCGACGACGCAGAGGGCGCGGGCGGCCTGCAGGTCCTGGGGCAGCGCCAGCAGCGAGTCGTACACCTTGCACTGCATCTGGCCGGTGCTCTGCACCACACAGGACATCCACAGCCCCTCCCACACCACCTGGGCCACCACGATGCTGTTGCCGATGAAGGCGGTCACCTTCCACATGGGCAGGGCGCAGGACACCAGGGCATTCACCCAGCCCAGCAGTGTCAGGACGATCCCCAGGATCTGCAGACCGACGGAGGCCATGGCGAGGCGAAGCAGCTGCACTGCCCGGGCAGAGAAGCAGAGAAACGTTGGAGAGCAGCAGCCCGGGGCCCAGGCCACACAGGACGCCAAGGGCATGCACTCCAGCAACTGGAGGGTGGGCAAGAGACTCCAGGGCCCCGCTTTCTCACCCTGTCTGGGCTGTGTTGAGTGGGGAGGGCAGGTGCATGGCTCCTGAGTACAGGCAAATCAAGCAGCCAAAGCTTGATTTGAAGACAGCACAATTCCTGAGTTTCAGGGTCAAAAGTTGTCAGTTTCAACACAAAACATGGAGCTTTCCGGCCTCACCCCAACCTGTTTCCAGGCAGACACTAGCCTGCTTTTAAAACTCTTAGGTCCCAGAAAGCCGTCTCCCAGCGCGGCTTGGTGGGGGCCGCCCAGGCTCTTTCCAGCAGGTGGCTGCCGGCCGGCCCGGGAGGGGCAGGAGGAAGCAGTCCCTCCCCCAAGGCCACCTGCTAACTCTCCCTCTGCCTCCCACAGGGCTCAGGGAGCACACCTTCCACGGTGCGGCATTTTCTCATGTACTCTAGACCAAAACGCCACGCCAGGCCATTCCCCCTGCACCAACCTGGCCTGCAACTCTGCCCCCTCACATTCCCCTTGGTGCTGGAGCCGGCCAGAGGCTCAGTGCTCCCGGGGTTCTGCAGTGGCTCCCCATTACCCAAAGTCCTTCCGGTACACGGTGGGGGGTGACAGGGTCTCCACTCGCTTCTCCAGGAGGTCCAGCTCACGACCTCCACAGTGAGCGGCCGGGCAAGCCAGCACGCTGCCTTAGGGCCCGGGTCGCCCTCTCTGAGCGCGCTCCTGCCCTCGGCCCCTGCCCTCCACCCACTGCAGGCTCTGTTCTGTCCGACGGCGCCCCCGGCCACTGGCCCACCCCAGGCTGCGAGCCGCGCACCCGGGAGAGGGTTAATGGCGGCGCGGGCAGCAGGGTCGTATCCAGCAGGTGAGGGGGAGGGGAGCCCCGCCCTAGAGAGGCAAGGCAGGTGGGGGAGGGGCGCCCGAGGTTTCGGTGCCTTTGTCTCAAGGGAGGGGGAGGGGCGTTTAACCCCTCGGGAGCCGCCGCAGGACTCGGTGGCCGTGGCGGCTCGAGTGCAGCCCCCCCGCCCCGGGACTCGCCGACCCAGGTGGGCGCCGCCAGGAGCGCAGCCCAGGCTCTGCCCGCGCACCCTCACCTACGCCGCCCCAACCCCAGCACGCGGCCTCGAAAGGCGACCTCTGCCCCTCGGCACGCACACCTCTAGGCTCACCTGCAACAGGAGCCAGCGAGATTCCTAGGCCGAGTGCGCAGATAGGGCGGAGGCGGGGGTCTTAAAGGGGTAGTGACGTCACTGGCCCACCTCCCCGGGGAGGGGCAGAGACCCCGACCCCGGCGGCCTCGGCAGAGGGGGGCGCTCCACACGCGGACTGCTGCGCCCGCCTGGGCTCACAGGGGCTGCAGGTGCCGGAGCGGGGCGCGGAGCCCCGCGGGGCTCGAGGCTCGGCTCCGCCACCGCTTGCGCCCTGACCTCGGCGTCCACCCGCTTTCCTACTCTGCGGAGGGGACACGGGGCGCCGGCGCCTCAGCGTGTTACCCGTGCCCAGGGCACAACTTGAGGGGCGCATGATTACGCCGTCCTCACGCTGCCTCTCGGGCTTTGCGGCAGCTGCGGAGCTGCTGAGCCGTGGCCTTTCCCCGGGCCACTCCTCGGACTCGAACGCCCGGGGCTCGGGGCCGAGAACGCTGAGCGGCGTTTGTCGAGCGAATGAGCGAAAGTAGCGGGCCGGGCGGGCGGGGCGCCTCGGGGCGGGCCGCGGGGCGGGCGGAGGCGCGGGCCCGCCCCGGAAGGCGGGGGCGGGCGGCGGACTGGGTCCCCGCCGGCGGGCGGCGGGCGCAGACGGCGGCGGCCGCGGGACGCGCACCATGGCTCGGCACTCGCTGCTCCCGTGGCTGCGGCTCCTCGTGCTGGGGCTCGGGCTGGCGCCGCTGCGCGCCGCGTCGGGGGAGCGGGCGCCAGGTACGCGGGGTCGGGGGTGTCCGCAGGGTCTGGCACAACTGGGATGTGAGGTCAGATGGTTTTCGGACGCCGCGCGCCCTGAGAGCGGAGGTCGCGTCCGTCTCCGAACTTCACCCCAGGTCGCCGGCCGCAGCTGCTCGGCCTGTCCGGGTGGGGGTGGGGGTAAGGGTGAGGGTGGGGTCCTGCCCCCAAAGTCGGGACTAGACGTGGAGAGAACGTTCTTTTGAGGGTGAATGTTTGGTGTGGTGCGGGGCACGCCCCAGCCTCGGCAGTGCGGGGGTCTGCCCAGCCGCGGTGACCAGGGTTCCGAGCGCGGGGGGAGTGTCAGGAGACACGGGGGTCTGTGCCCTCTATACCATGTGGGGTGCCCCCTTCCATCCGGTGACTTCAGTGCCCAGATATGCGGGGGGGAGGGACCGGGGTCGGCCCGGTGCCCAGGAGTGAGTCACTCGCTCGAGGCGGAGGGGGGGATGGTGGTGGTGTGGGGACCTAACGCACCCCCCCCCCCCCCAGCGTCGCGGGTACGGCCCCCTCCTGCGTTGCCGCCGCCCGGTCGGCCGGCCGTGCGGTCACCTGTGAGGAATGCGGGGGGGGGGTTGAGGCGCCAATGACTCGCGTTACTCGAGCTGGCTGACCCTGACCTCAGCCCCCAGAATAGCCGCGCCCCACCCCCAGCCTCTGACCCGCGGCCCCCTCCCCAGGCACCGCCCCCTGCTCTCGAGGCAGCTCGTGGAGCGCGGACCTGGACAAATGCATGGACTGCGCGTCGTGCCCGGCGCGACCACACAGCGACTTCTGCCTGGGCTGTGAGTGAGGGGCCGGGCGCGGCGGGTGGACCCCAGGTAGGGGGGTGGGCTGTCAGAGGACCTGGGGAACCGAGGACGGCGGGTGTGGGGAAGGGGCTCTGGTGGGTGGGTGGGGCCAGGGCTGGTCCTGATAGGGGCGACTCTGTCTCCAGGCGCCGCAGCCCCTCCCGCCCCCTTCCGGCTGCTCTGGCCCATCCTGGGGGGCGCCCTGAGCCTGGTCCTCGTGCTGGGGCTGCTTTCTGCCTTCTTGGTCTGGAGACGGTGCCGCAGGAGAGAGAAATTCACCAGTAAGTGCGCCCCGGCCCGGCCCGGCCCCCAACACCCCCTCCGCGGCGCGCCGGCCAGTCACGACGCCGCTTCTTATCTTGCAGCCCCCATAGAGGAGACCGGCGGAGAGGGCTGTCCCGGAGCGGCCCTGATCCAGTGACTGAGTGCTCCCTGCCAGCCCGGGCCACACCCACTCGCCATTCATTCATTCGTTCCTTCCAGAGCCAGGCTCCTCCAGCCACAAGTGGGGGGGCCGAGTGAATCACCTCGGAGCCCGGCCCGGGGTTCAGAGGCTTCCAAGGTGTCTGGTTGCCCCGTCTCTGGCTCCCGGACAGCGGAGCAGCCTCCTGGTGGCTCACCCTAAACGCATGACACTACGAAATTGCAGTTTTGCACAAGAGGGCCAGACACACCGCTAGGCTCCACCCACGCCCGTGTCCTCAAACTCTTCCGCGGGGGTCCCAGCCTGGGGGCAAGGGAACCTGCTGGTAACACTAGGGGGCTGGCCCTCCACCGGGGCTGGCCCTAAGACTCAGACCTCCCCAGCCCCCAAAGGGGGAGGGAATATTTATTTTGGGGAGAAAGTTTTCAGGGGAGGGAGAATTTATTAATAAAAGAAATCTTTAACTTTAAATGGTTTGAGAGCGGCGTGGTCCCAGCTTGACTCCGCGGGCTGGAGGGAGGGAGTGAGTCAGTGGCGCGGGGGCGGGGGCGGGGCTCTGACTCACGCATTCTCAATGCCGGGACCTGGCCGGCCCCCACGGTTTTCCAGGGAAGCCCTGAGCGGCAGCCGGGGCCGGACGAAGCCTTCGCCTGCGCGGCATCTTTATTCTGCTCCCCGGGGACACAGTCTCCCTTCCCACGCTCCTGCCCCCGTGGGGCTGCGAGGTCCGGAGGCAAGAAGGCCGGGCAGGCGTCTGGCCCCTCCGCGGTGCAGCTGGGGAGGCGGGCACTCAGAGCTCCATCCCGTCGCCGGCTGGGGTCGCAGGGTGGGAGGGCGTCGGGGGGTCCCCCAGCCTCAGCAGCCGCAGGGCCTCGGGGATCAGGCTCCCCGGGTAGCGCCAGAGCAGCACCTCCGAGCTAGGGCGGCTGGAAGAAGAAGCCTCAGTGAGGACTTGGGGCCCGCTCCCTGCCCAGGCCCCCAGGGCACTGCTCGGGAGCCAAGACCCGGAAACGGCACGCTCGGAGGAGAGTGGCTGGACGCTAAAAATAGCACGATGAGGCAGGGCCCGGAGCGGCCCGAGGACCTTGAGCGATCCTGCCTACCTGGGTGGGGGGGAGACCCCGGGGGGGCTGCAGTAGGGGTGGTCGTTGTGCAGGCTGAGCCGAGAGAAGTGGGTGGCCATGCTCTCCTCCGACGGGGAGTGCTTGCGCACGGGCTCCCTGGGGAGATGGGGAGGAAGGCGGGCGGATGCGGGCCGCAGATGACGGAGACCTTGTGGGGAGTCCCCACGCTCGCCGCTGGCCGCTTGTGCGCGGAGAGCGGAGCTGAGAGAACAGCAGGGCCAGGCGCACCCCGTCCCCGTGGCCCGGTCCCGAGCAAGTGCGCACTCGCCAGGAGCGGACCCCTCGGCCACCAGCGGCACACCGCCCAAGTCCCGACCCTGAGCTCCAGCCCAGGAGCCGCCGGTCCACCCTGCTCCCAGGCCTCCCACAACACCAGCCCCGGGCCCCCGGCCCAAGCTCCTGCGCCGCTGACGCCCACCCCAGGGCCCCCGCACTCACCTGGCGTCCAGGCCGCGACTCGTGCCCGAGACGGCCCGGGGGTCGCGCAAGGCCCGGCTCAGGGGGCCCCGCTCCAGCGACTTTTGCAGGATCATTAGGGTCCGGGGTCGTGCGGGCAGAGGGGTGGGAGCCGGGCGGCAAGGGGCGGGGTCTCAGAGGGCGTGGCCCAAAGCGAGGGGTGTGGCTTTAGGAGCGCGCCGCGGCGGCCTTCTGCGCAGGCGCGAAAGACGCGGCGGCACGCGGCGGGAGGGAGGGCTGGTTCCGCGGGGTGGGGGAGGGGGCCGGGCGTAACCGGACTGCCGTGGGCACCGCTCTTCGGTATCGGGGGGCTCCGCGGCGCTAGCCTCTGTTGCTGGGTTCGGGCAGGTTCGCGGTGACCGCCTTCGCGCCGGGCCGGCCGGTAGTGGTGAGGCGGCGCGGCAGCGCAGAGAGGGGAGGCCCGCGCGCACGTCCGGAACCGGGAGGCCGCGTCGCGCGCACGGCACTCTGGGTCTTGTAGTTCCGGCGATGGAGCGGGCTGTGCCGCTCGCGGTGCCTCTGGGTCAGGTGAGCCGGACGCGGAGCGCGGTGCCTTCTGGGGTTCTGTAGTCCACGCCGGGCTCGGACGGGGCCGGCAAAGGGGCCTGCCGTGAGCCCTGTGTTGCGTGGCTGTGCGTGGGAGTCGGACTGTAGCTGAGGGCGGGAAAGGAGCCCAGGAGTGCCCCGTGGGGCTGACATGACATCCAGAGGAGTGGCTGGGACTGAGGACGGGATGGAAGAGCCGCCTTTTAAGTGCTGTCCGCGTGTGCCCAGCGCCCTGCGTGCAGTAGCTCGTCTCCGTGTCAGCGCCCCGTGAGCTCCACCTGACGGGGAGGCTTGCGGGCGGGGCGTGATGCTCGCCCGGGGCTCCCTCTCCGTCCTCTTGCAGCCCCCCTGGGACTGCCTGGGCAGGTACCTGCTTGGAGGCCGCCGCCCCAGAGGGCCGAGAACTCGGGGGCGGGGGCAGGGAAGCGGGTCTCATCCGGCCGCTCCCCCTAGATGGAGGTGTTCCAGGCCCTGCAGCGGCTGCACATGACCGTCTTCTCCCAGAGCATCTCCCCCTGTGGGAAGTTCCTGGCGGCCGGCAACAACTACGGGCAGATCGCCATCTTCAGGTACCCCCGGCGCCTAGGCCCTGGCACTCAGCTTGCCCCTGCCCCCGGGGGGCACCGCAGCCCTCTGCTTCCGGCCCCCTGAGCGCCCCCTCCCGCTCCGCTTCCAGCTTGTCGGCCGCCTTGAGCTCAGAAGCCAAAGAAGAAAGTAAGAAGCCGGTGCTGACCTTCCAAGGTGGGTCTGCCTGCGGGATCTGGCCCAGGGGACCCTGGTGGGGGAGGGTGCGGGTGGGCCCGCTCAGGCTCTGCATCTCCCCCTAGCTCATGAGGGGCCCGTCTACAGCATGGTCTCCACCGATCGCCAGCTGCTCAGTGCGGGGGATGGGGAGGTGAAGGCCTGGCTCTGGGCAGAGATCCTCAAGAAGGTAGGGGTGTGGAGCGGGAGGAGGGGCTGGGATGAGGAGGCCTTGGGGTCACCAGTGTTCCCCCTGTGCAGGGCTGCAAGGAGCTGTGGCGCCGTCAACCCCCGTACAGGTGAGCCAGGGCCGCGGGGGTGGGGGCAGGGAGGTGGTGTCCGGGTACTGACCCTGCCTCCCCCCCACCCCCCCAGGACCAGCCTGGAAGTGCCGGAGATCAACGCGCTGCTGCTGGTGCCCAAGGTCTGAGCCCTCTGTCCTGGCACGAGCTCTGCAGCTTCTCTGCGCCCCCCTCCCCCCGCCCCTGCTTCGCAGCCACTCCCAGCGCCCCCTGCCTCTCTGCAGGAGAATGCCCTCATCCTGGCCGGAGGGGACTGTCAGCTGCACACCATGGACCTGGAGACCGGGAGCTTCACCGTGAGCCGTGGCCTGGCATCCGGGTGGTCCCAGCGTGGGGGGTGGGCACCCCGGGGTCCGGGCCTGAGCCTGCGGCTCTCCCTGCAGCGGGCCCTGCGGGGCCACACGGACTACGTCCACTGCCTGGCGCTGCGGGAGCGGAGCCCCGAGGTGCTGTCCGGCGGCGAGGATGGGGCTGTGCGGCTTTGGGGTACGGTGGTGGCTGGGCGGGTGGGGGGCGGATGAGGGGGAGCCCTTTGGCCCCTCGCCCCCCTCATGGCTCCCTCCCCACAGACCTGCGCACGGCCAAGGAGGTGCAGACGGTGGAGGTGTACAAGCATGAGGTGAGGGCGGGGCCACAGCCTCCTCCCCTCCCCCTTCCTGGCTCCCAGCACCTTCAGGTCTCCCCCTCCTCTCTCCCAGGAGTGTGCCAGGCCCCACAATGGGCGCTGGATCGGATGCTTGGCCACGGACTCAGACTGGATGGTGAGCTGGGCGGGGTTCAGGCCGTGGGGGGGTGGGGGCGGGGGGGGGGGGTGGAGGCTCCAGGCTGTCTGCTGAGTGGCTGGGGCTGCTGTCTTCCTGCCCAGGTGTGCGGAGGGGGCCCAGCCCTCACCCTGTGGCACCTGCGGTCCTCCACGCCCACTACCGTCTTCCCCGTGCGGGCACCACAGAAGCACGTGACTTTCTACCAGGACCTGGTGAGGCCCCCATCTCACGTCTGCCTCCCTCACCGGCCCCCTCTGCAGCTGCGGCCCCTGAGTTCTCTCCCCGTCCGCCCCCCAGATTCTGTCCGCAGGCCAGGGCCGCTGCGTCAACCAGTGGCAGCTGAGCGGGGAGCTCAAGGCCCAAGTGCCTGGCTCTTCCCCAGGGCTGCTCAGCCTCAGCTTGAACCAGCAGCCAGCGGCCCCCGAGTGCAAGGTGGGTCCCCCAGGTGCTGGGGGGGCAAGGCGCCCTAGGAGGCCCCGGGGCCGGAGCAGGCCAGTCATGCCCGTCTTGCTGCCAGGTTCTGACTGCGGCCGGCAACAGCTGCCGGGTGGACGTCTTCACCAACTTGGGCTACCGGGCCTTCTCCCTGTCCTTTTGACGGCCGGACACCTGCACCCCCGCCCAGCAGCCTGCACCTTGTTCTGTTTTTTCACAATAAAGTTTGTTTTTTATATATTACTCTGTGGGATGCTGAAAACATAAGTACCCGAGTGGGGGGGGGGGCATGCCCGGGCAGGGGTCTTGGAGCTTAGAAGCTTAGAAAAGATAGACCTCTGTAGATTCCAAAAATAGACGGCTCTGCCCCACCCGCTGCTGCCACCTCCCGGCCCCGGCCCCAAAGCTGCTCCCCAAGAGCCCCAGCCCAGCTCCTGCGCGAGGCGGCCACCTGGGCCCCCCCGGTTCATTGCCGTTGGAGGAAAGGGGGCCCCGGCCGTCAGGTCCTTCGGAAGAGGTTGGTGAGGAAGCCGTCCCGCAGCGAGAAGCGCGGCGCGGCGCGGCGTAGCGGGGGCGCCGCTGCGGCCGCGTCCAGTTCCTTCTGGCGCTGGGAGCGCAGCTGCTGCCCGATCACCACCTGCATGTCGTCCTGCGGGGCGGCCGGCCCGAGGGGCGGGTCAGCGCGCGGCCCCGCCCCGGCCCCGCCCCAGCGCGCGGCCCGGCCCCGCCCCCGCGCACCTGCCAGGCCTCCAGCTCCTGCGTCAGCGCCACCTTCTGGCGGATGGTGCGCAGCAACTCCCGGGACAGGGAGTCTCGCTCGAGCGAGACGCGGCTCAGCTCCAGGGACAGCTCCCGGGTCCTGCGGGCGCGCGGGGCAGAGCTCGGGTCCGAGGGCGCCAGGGCCCGGCAGGAGGGGGCCCCTGGATAGGAGTGGGCAGGGCCACGGCCCCCCGGCCTTGGTGGGTGCGGGCACTCACTTGCTCACGGCCTCCTCCCGGTCGGCGAGGGCGCCGCTCAGGGCCGCCTCGGGGTTGTCCTGTGCCCGCAGCTCCCTCTGCCTTTGCAGCTCCTCTCGCAGGGCCTGGAGCTCTTCCCGCTGCAGCGTGACCTGCGGGCAGGGGCCGGGCAGCGAGGCCGGTGAGCCGTGGGCCTCCCAGGGGCCCCGCGATCCCCCTCCGAGCACCCCAGGCCGCTCTGGTCGGGGCCGGGAGGTGTAAGCCCGCAGGGGTGGGGTGCTGTCTAGGCAGGCTTCCCGGAGGAGGGGACACCAGACTGGCTCTCGAAGCATGACCTCAAGTTTGCTGAGGTGAAGCTAAGTCTAGGGATTAGCAGGCAGAGGCCGGAAGGTGGAGACGAGGAAGACTGACAGCCGGAGGGATGCTGCTGCCGCCTAGGCGCCCCCTTCCCCACCTCGTCCTGCAGCCTGGCCACTTCCGCCTCGCTCTCCTCCAGGATCTCGGCGGGGCTGCGGGCTGCTCGCTTCTTGGGAGGCTCCAGGCTCTCCTCGTGGGAGGCAGGCTGGAGGCTGGACACCTCTTGGGTCTCCGGGAGCACACTGGTCTGTGGAACAAAGGAATGGGGCTGAAGGTGGGCCCGAAGGGCTCTGTGGCTGGCCAGGTGTGAGGACAGTAGGGGCGGGGCCTGTGCCCTCCCCTGCGTCCCCGGCTCACCTGGGTGTCTCGGCCCGCGCTGGCGTCCGGGGCCTGGGCCTGGCCCGTCTCGAGGGTGCAGGCGAGCTCCGACTGCAGCGAGGCGCACGATGCGTCGGCGGCCTGGAGGCGCGACTCCTCTTCCAGCTCCGAGACGCGCCGCTGCAGCCTGCGCAGCGCGCTCAGCGCCTCCCCGGCCTCGGAGCGCGCCCGCTCCAGCTGCAGAGTGGCGGGCGCCAAAGCGCAGGCGGTGAGCCCCGCGTGCAGGACGCCCGCATCCCGCCGCGCGCCGCCCCCGCATCGCACTTGCCCTCAGCGAACACCAATCTCCTCGCGCAGACAGCAGGGCGCGGCTGGGCCTCGCTCGCCCCGCAGCCCCGCCCCGTCTGGTCAGCCAGCTCCCAGCCGTCCCGGCCCCTCCCAGCTCGCCTGCCTCCCAACCCCTTCACTGTCTGCTTTCACCCAGCACTTCGGGATCCCCTCGGGGCCTCCCGCCTTCTGCCCTGCGGGGCGTGTACCATTACGTCCCATCTCACGCAGGGGCTTCCCACACTGGTAGGAAGGGCTCTAGGGCCAGGCCTTCTAACCCCCGAGAGCAACTCCAGGAATCCGGCCATGTTCCCGCTCTCCCTCCCTTTTCCCCGCGGTCTCCCCAGGGTTGTTTCTGGTCTGAGCTCTGGCCATGGTCCCCCAGCGGCCACACTGGTGCGTTCCAAGCATGCACTCCCCTACCCAGCAGCCTTCCACGGCTCCCCCGGCCCTCAGACCATTGCCCACGCTCCTGCAGCACGGCCCCTCGGGTCCCCAGTGATCCAATTCTGGCCTCATCTCCCAGAAAGCCCAGAGGCCGCCCTCGCTCACCTCCAAGCTGTGCTCCCGCCTCTCTCTCCTCAGGAGCAGCAGCTCCTCGTGGGTGGTCTGCAGCCTGCCCTGGCCCTTCTCCACCTCCTCGCGGAGGCCCCGGATCTGGGCCTCCAGGTCCTGCCTGCGGCTGTGCAGCATCTGGTTCTGGAAAGAGCTCACAGCTGCAGGTGCGGGCTGGGAGCCAGCCCCGATGGCGCCCGGCCCAGGGTTGCTGGCTCAGCCAGGCCCCCCGCCCCGCCCCCGGCCCCAGCAGGCACTCACCTCCCCCTGCAAGCTCTCCAGTCGAGTCCTCAGCTCTGCCCCAGCCAGAGCCTGAGACTGGCACTGCCCTCGAAGGCTGTCCAGCTCCCTCTGAAGCTCTTGTTCAGTCTGGGAGGCCTGGGGCAGGGGTGGCAGTGGTGTCCGCAGCCGGCCCCAGCCTTCACGCAAAGCCCAGCCTAACCCTCCCCGCGGCAGGGCGCCCAGGCATTGGCCCTCATCTCTCCCAAGGGCCTGGGGTCAGGGCGCCCAGGCGTTGGCCCTCACCTCTCCCAAGGGTCTGGGGTCAGGGCACCCTGGCGTTGGCCCTCACCTCTCCCAAGGGCCTGGGGTCAGGGTGCCCAGGCATTGGCCCTCACCTCTCCCAAGGGCCTGGGGTCAGGGCGCCCAGGCGTTGGCCCTCATCTCTCCCAAGGGCCTGGGGTCAGGGTGTCCAGGCATTGGCCCTCATCTTTCCCAAGGGCCTGGGGTCAGGGCCGTCCCACCTGGGCCAGCTGCTGGCTGAGCCGGAGGTTCTGCTCGCTGAGTTCGCTCAGAGCACGCGCCCGCTCGCGGCCGCTGTCCTGCTGCTCGGAGCGCTGCTCTCCCAGCTGGGCTCGCAGGGCCTCCACGTCCCCCTCCAGCTCCACAGCTCTGGCCTCCCACTCAGCACCCCGGGCTGCCAGGCCCCGGCGCAGCTCATGGTTCTCCTGCTGGAGCCGCTGTGGGAGCCGGGCAGAGGGTCAGAGACAGGGAGAGGGAGAGAGAGTGGCGCCCGGGGTCCCTCACAGACAGGCACTGAAGCAGGAGAGGGGAGAGAGGGAGGAAGCGGACAGAGTGTGAACCCCGAGACTCAGAGGGAGCAGGGCGGAGAAGGCCCCGGGCCAGGCGGGAGGGGCTGACCGCCACCCACTCACCTCCGGCTGCCGCCTGGATTTCTGGACACGAGGTCGCAGGCGCCGTTTTTGGCGCCTGAGTCTGGCAGAATTGAAGCCCCGGCCCATGGCCTCCCACTCCTGCGGTGATCCAGGCTCAGCAGGCCCAGCCTCTCTCCAGCCCCTCTCCCCAGCTTCTCCAGCCCAGCTCCCTCTAATTAACCCTGGGCAGCCTCACCCTGGCCCCACGCCTCTGCTGCCCTCCCCCAAAACCTGTCGGACCAGCGGCGACGACGCGCCTGGCACACCCAGATGCCCAGCTTGGGGAAGCAGGCAAGTCGAGGGGGAGGGCATCCTCTTGCCCCACTCTCTCCAGGCCCTCAAAGGAAGAAGGGCCTCGGCCCACGCAGGTGCAGCCACGGCGGCTCCAGTTAGGAGCAGACACGCCCGTGCACGTGCTCCACCTGCATCGTCTCGGTTCCTCCACTAGGGGGAGATCCTCCCTCTCATGTTACAGTCCAGGAAACAGACTCAGAGGGGTTAAACGGCTCAGGCAGCCAGACTTTTAACCAAGTCCTGTCAGGACAGGACAGCACAGCCCCGGATAAGCCGGCAGGTTCAGGGTCCCACCGTGCCGGCCAGTGCCCTGCCGTCGCTGCCAGGGGAATGGACAAGTCCCCCAATGTCTCCCAGCCCCTGGCATGCGTCCAGCATCCTCTGCCCCGCCTGCGCTGGGGCACGGCTCTCAACAGTAAGTGAGGCCGAGTGCTCTACCTGCAGTCTAGGGGGTCCTGGGCGCGTGGACGCTTGCTTGGAAGGACAGTAAGCGCTCCAGACAAACCCAGGGCAGGGTGTCTGACCTTGGCAGTGAAGACAGGTTGAGATGCCCACATCCCACATCAGGGTGCCGGCGTTTGATTCTCAGCTCCGATTCTGATCTAGTTCCCCTGCCAATGCAGGCTCTGGGAGGCAGCAGGCGATGACTCAAGTACCCGGGCCTCTGCCGCTTGTGTGGGAGACCAGGACTGAGTTCTGGGCTCCTGGCTTGGCACTGGCCCTGTCCCAGCCCTGGCCACGGCAGGCATGTGGGGAGAGAGCCAGGGGATGGGAACTCTGAAACCCAGGGAAGTGACAATGAGTGAGGCGCAGGGTGCAGGTGGGGCTCCCCAAGGAGGGGGCCATGTTCCAGCTGACTCCTGCGGGGCAAGAGTGGACCAGAAAGAACCAGCAGGTGCAAAGACCCCGAGGGAACAAGCCTGAGTTCATCTGAGCTGTGTGAGGGGAGACTGAGTGAGGACCGACAGGCCCCGTCTGCAGTGTCTGAAGATCCGGGTGCCCCTGGCAGGAGGGGCTCCAGGAGGCTAGAGAGGAAGCGGGGGACACCTGAGGAGACACGGGTCAGGGGGCTACGGGGACGTGGATTTGAGCCTGGTTCAGAAGAGTCAGCAGGGCTTGCTGACGTAAGGGAGCAAGCACACGGCCAGCGGGATGCACGGTCTCCGGCCCTGAGGGGAAGCCAGCGTGGGGCCAGCAGGGAAGGGCAACACCGAGCCCACTGTGACACACTGGTGCCTGGCAGGCGCGGCCGCCCAGGCCAGCTCGGGGCTGACGACACAGGAACAGGGGGGTGTGGGGGCCCGAGGGGCACCCCAATGCGAGTGTAGCTGACAACAGGGCCTGGGCGGATGCTCCCGCCTCACAAGGCAGGGCAAGAGTGTACCCAGATGATGTACAGAGAGCGCTTAGCCCAGGTCCAGGTAGGGGCAGCGGCTGGGATTATGCCACACCGTGAGGGCGGGGCTAGCCCAGAGCCCCCTGGGCGGGCGTCCCGCCCCCGCCCGGCCCCTGCCCGGCCTGGCCCAGCCCGGCCCTCACCTCCTCCCGCTCCGCCTGCTGCGCGCTCAGGGCCTCCAGCTGGCGCCGCAGCTCCTCGTTGCGTTCCAGGAGCATCTTGCCGAGCTCGGCGGCCAGCAGCAGGTCCTTCTCCTTCTGCTGCAGCTGCAGGGCCAGGTCCTCGGGCCCCTCTGGCGCTGGGCCCCCTCCCAGGAATGAGTCCCGCCGCTCCAGCACGAAGGGGAAGAAGCCCTCGTCGCCGCTGGGGGAGGCGCCCCCGGAGAGCAGGCCCGAAGGGAAGCTCGGCCCATCTGGGGAGCTCATGGCCCCTGCAACATCTGTGAAGAGCGGGCGCTGCCTCCTGCCCCCTGCTGGCCAACACCTGGCCTCCCTGGGCCACCAAGGGTTAATGATCTATGTTTTGCCAATGACTCCGTTAGTGTCTCCAGGGTAAACTGAGGCAGGGAGCCTAAGGAAACCCCCTCCTGGGGCCGACATCCCTGCCTCCCCTCTCCCCACCACCCAACGGTTCCACTCCCCGCCCTCACCATCTGGGAGAAGATTCCCAAGCGATGGGTTGGTGGGGACTGAGCCACTGCCTCTCTCAAGACACAACCCTTGGGAACCTGGGCCCGGGACCCCTTTGCCCCCAGGAATCCAGCTCCGGGCCTCCGGGAGCGCAGGTCCCCCGCTCCTCACCGCTGCCCCCTCTTTCCCCAGGACCCAGGTGTTTGGACTCCACCCTTTCACTCTGGGAAGTTCTCACTCTCAGCGCTCACCCCTCCCGGATGCCCACCCAGGCCCCCAGGCCCCCAGTTTCCCTGGCCTCGGCTCCAGGCCCAGGCCGGGCGAGGTAACAGGTTGTGCCGGCCCGCGCGCTGGGGCCGCCGCTCCAGTGTTCTGTTTACTTCCCGACCCGCCCTGGGGATGGGAGCCCTGCGCTCCCCGAGGGCCGCCCCGGGCCTGGGATTCAGGGGCTTCGGAGCGAGGGCTGGGCGCGCAGGCCTGCCGACTGAGCTCCCCGGAGGGGGCCCCGGCCCCCGCCCCCGCGCACACACCTGTCTTCGGCTCCGTTCCCGGCCCGGCCCGCAGGACGCTGGCGTCGCCCAGCCCAGGGTCCGAGTCAGACCCTTAATCCTCCCTGACAAGGCCCCCGGGGCCCCGCCCCTGCCGCGGAGTCGCGGGCCCGGCCGTCCCCTCCCGTTCTCGCCGCCCGGCTCCTACCACCAGGGGTCGGCGCCCCGAGCCCCACGCAGCCCAAGGGTTCCGAAGCCGACGCCGCCTTACCTGCCGGCCCCACGCAGCCCCAGGAGTCCGGCCCGACCGCCCCAGGGCTCCCATATTCCCTTCCGACTCCTGGGTCCACTCCCGCCCAGAGCCTGGAGGGCCCCGCCCACGGCACCCCCAAGCTCTCACCTGCCGCCGCTGGGTTCCCTCCGAGGTCCCCGCGGTGCCAGGTCCCCTCTTCCGGAGGCGGCGCCAGGTGCGAGGCCGGCACAGGTGAGGGGGCGGGGCCGCGGGAGGTGCCGGGGCGCCCCCTTGTGGTCGGAATGACCAGGCGGGGGCCGAGAGGGTCGGAGGTGCCAGCCCATTCTCCCTGGGAAGTGGCCACCCCGGCAACTTTCGTGAGCACCTGCTGTGCGCAGACTCTGAGCGAAGCATACAAGTCAGCTCCTTTCCCCTCACAACCCGCGCCGCGGGACAGGGAGTTACTAACGAGGATTGATTACAAACCGCTGTGCTCAGCGAGGTGATTTTTTTAATAGTCAATTTTTAAACATTTTTATAAATATTTATTTTTTTTTCATTTGAAAGGCAGAGTTACAGAGGAGAGACAGGTCTTCCATCAGCTGGTTCACTCCCTGGGTGACCACAACAGCCGGAGCTGGGTCGATACGAAGCCAGGAGCCAGGAACTAGGAACAGGAGCCAGGAGCTGCTTCCGGGTCTCCCACATTGGCACAGGGCCCCAAGGACTTGGGTCATCTGCTGCTGCTTTCCCAGGCCATAGTAGAGAGCTGGATCGGAGGTGGAGCAGCCGGGACTCGAACCGGCACCCATGTGGGATGTCAGCACTGCAGGCTGACATCCGCTTTGCTACAGTGCCAGCCCCTCGACGTAGTGTTTTACTGTTTGCCTTTATGACATCCCAGTGAAGCAGGAAGTGCGATCTCCTCCCACGAGGCAACGGGTGCTCCAGGGTCCCAAGGACAGAAAGTGAGTGACAGCTGCAGAGGTGCGGTGTAGCCACCGAGCTTGCCACGGGGCCCTCGGGCTGACTGGAGTGGCTGCGGGACCGATGCTGTGGAGACAGCCCCAGTGCCGCCTGGGCCTGGCTCTCCGCATGCTCTCTGCAGGCTTCCTGAGTCCCCTGGGCCCCGGGGCGGGGTCCCTGGTCTGGAAAGCAGGGCCCAGGCGGGGCTGGGGCAGTGCCGCCCAGTCCAGTCCTCACGCGGCTCTCTGGGAGCAGCGGGTGCTGGGACTTCGAGGACAGGGCGGGGGGGGGGGGCCTGCACGAGGAGCTTTCTCTGGCCGCTCTAGCTGGGTCCCCGCACCTCTGCCTCTCTGGAGCTATGGGAGGCAGGGGGCCTGGTTATTCCAGCCCTGTAGAAGGATGGAGCTAGGAGTCCTTGGGAAACAGTGCAGTGGCCCCCGGCAGGGCCTGTTAGGGGCTGGGCCAAGCTTTCCTGCCAGCAGGCAGCACGAGGGGCCAGGACTCCTCTCAGCGCTGCCTGGCAGAGCAGGGCCACCGCAGCCGTGGGAGCAGCCGCGGACTTTGGAGGGGTGAAGACATCTCAGGCCCCCTCCTGCTGCCCCCCGACCCCTGGGAAATGAAAGCTCAGCATCCCCCCCTCATGCCAGAGACCCCCGATCCCGCTGGCACCCACACCACGCTCAGCACTCCTTCCCTGGGCCCCTTCCCAGGGGCAGGAGGTGGACAAGCCCCTCCTCCCAGGAGGCTCCACCATCCGCCCGGGCCTCCGGAGCAGCTGCACCTACAAACCGGAGGTGAACCCATCAAACCATAGGCTCACGTTGCTGGCACCACAGGGCTCCAGTCCAAATCCCAGGCTGGCCCTGTGGCACAGACGTGTGCCTGTGCCAGTGCTGATTCCCTCAGCCACCCTCGGCACCTGGTCCCGACTGCCCCCCCACAGCGCCACCAGCGGCAAGTGCCCTGCACCTTGCACTGTATGTCAGCCCTATGTGCTGCACCACCCACAGACGAGGGCACGAGTGTGTGGCTATGTGGCAGACCCCTCTCCCCAGCTCGTCTGGCCCCCAGCCCCAGCCTCCTCTGGACCCAGCAGCCAGAGCCTCCCAACCCTTCCACTCTTCGTGCTGCAATGCCCCCTGCAGGTCAGGAGGATGCCGGGCAGGCAGGAGGCTCAGAGGGGCCCCAGAGCAGCCCTGGGGAAGCTGGGTGACATCAGGTAACCAGGCAGAAGCTTCAGACAGAGCCACCAGACAGGCCAGGTGTGGCCTCAGCCCCCCATGTTCCCGGCTTGGCTGGGGGCGGTGGGGAGGGTCTCCGCCCTGGAGAAGCCTGGCCAGCAGAGCCCTCTGCCCGCCCTGCCCCGCCCACAGAGCAGCCCAACGAGAACGGCTGGTTCTGGACCAGGGTGCGCAGGCTTTTACAACACACGGGAAGTCTGTGAACAATAAGTAGTATTGTGTGCCGCACTAAAAAGCTGTATATAAAATATTTCCCCCCTGACTGCATTGTTCTGTAACTTGCTTGTTTTATTTAACCTTAGTGTCCAAGTTTTGCCCAAAAGTTTTAAATTTTTTAAAATTAAAAAAAAAATTTAGGCCAGTGCCATGGCTCACTAGGCTAATCCTCTGCCTGTGGCGCCGGCACCCCAGGTTCTAGTCCTGGTTGGGGCACCAGATTTTGTCCCGGTTGCTCCTCTTCCAGTCCAGCTCTCTGTTGTGGCCCGGGAGTGCAGTGGAGGATGGCCCAAGTGCTTGGGCCCTGCACCCACATGGGAGACCAGGAAGAAGCACCTGGCTCCTGGCTTCGGTTCAGCACAGTGCAGCAGCCACAGCACGCCGGCCGTAGCAGCCATTTGGGGGGTGAACCAACAGAAGGAAGACCTTTCTCTCTGTTTCTTGCTCTCACTGTCTAACTCTGCCTGTCAAAAAAATTTTTTTTAATTTTAAAAATTGATTTTGTTGAGATAGATATTGGTTTCCCGGAGCTGAAGCAACAACCCCACCTCCACATTGGGTGCCTTAAACAAAGGCTCTGTGTCATCCGCTGGGTCTGCAGGCCCAAGCCCAAAACCAGGGTGCTGCCGTGGTGGCTCCCCTCCCGCGTCTCTCCCGGCCTCTAGTGATGGCCCCGGGCCATCTGCCTCCACATTCTTTCTTTTTAAAAAAGGTTTTATTAATTAATTAATAAATTTATTTGAAATGCAATGCGACACACAGAGCAGAGATACAGAGAGGGAGAGCTCCCATCCGCTGCTTCACTCTCCAATGCCCCCCATAACCTGGGCTCAGCCAGGCCTAAGCCAGGAGCCAGGAGCTTCTTCCGGGTCTCCCACGTGGGTGCAGAGGCCCAGGTACCTGGGCTGTCTGCCGCTGCCTTCCCAGGATGTGTGCAGCAAGCCAGATGAGAAGCGGAGAAGTCGGAATGCCAAGCGGCGCCCTGATGTGGTGTGATCGGGCGACCCAAGCCATGGCTTAATCCGCTGCCCCCCAGGGCCCTCCCAGGTCTGGCTGCTTTGGCAGCACCATGCTTCCGAGATGCAGCCATATGCTTCGTTAGTGGACTCAGCAGACTCGAAACTTTCCAAGCCAAAGAAACCCGCGGCGGCAGTGCTGGAGTGTCCTCCAGTTAGGCACCTGTCAGTACACCTGCGCTTTCTCATGCCTGCACACATTGTTGTCCACCTCCTACTCGGCCAGGAGCCGTGATGACCTCTGACACAATCAGCACTGATAAAATGGAGCCATCATCTTTGTTTCCCAGGCTGGAGTCAGGAGCCAGAGCCAGAAACCGGACCCTGACACTCCGGGGCGGCGTCTTCACTGTAAGGGGCCAGCCGGCTCCGGGTGCTGCCCTTTCAATCACTTATCTGAAAGGCAGAGTGAGGGAGACGGGGAGAGGTGGGAGAGCTCCCCACCATCAAGGCTGGACCAGGAGGAAGCCAGCCAGCAGGTGCTGGTAGTCAGGTCCCTGCCGCCTCCCAGCGTGCACAGTAGCCGGAAGCTGAGGCCAGAGCAGAGCGGCAGGGACGCAACCCTCGGTCCTCCTGTGTGGGTGCACGCGTCTCCAGCAGCATCTCGACAGCTGGTTCACTCCCCAGTTGGCTGCAATGGCCAGAGCTGCATCGATCTGATGACAAGAGCCAGGAGCTTCTTCCAGGTCTCTCAAGCACTTGGGCCATCTTTTGCTGTTTTCCCAGGCCACACCAGAGAGCTGGATCAGAAGTGGAGCAGCTGGGACTCGAACCAGCACCCATGTGGGATGCTGGCATTGCAGGCGGCGGCCTTACCTGCTGTGCCACAGTGCCAGCCCCGCCACTTTTCTTTAGTCTCTCTTTCTCTCTCAAGATTTTTTTTAAGGGGCCAGGGCTGTGGCACAGTGGGTTAAAGCCCTGGCCTGAGGCGCTGGCATCCTATGTGGATGCTAGTTCTGGTCCCGGCTGCTTCTCTTCCAATCTAGCTCTCTGCTGTGGCCTGGGAGGGTAGTGGAGAATGGCCCAAGTGCTTGGGCCCCTGCGCCTGTGTGGGAGACCTAGAGGAAGCTCCTGGCTTCTGGCTTTGGATCAGCTGAGCTCCAGCCATTGCAGCCATCTGGGGAGTGAACCAGCGGATGGAGGACCTCTCTCTCTGTCTAACTATCTCTGTAATTCTTTCAAGTAAAAAAAAAATTTTTTTAAAGATTTTATTTATTTATCTTCTTCCATCTGCTGGTTCACTCCCCAATTGGCCACAACGGCTGGAGCTGCACTGATCCAAAGCCAGGAGCCAGGAGCTTCCTCCAGGTCTCCCACGCAGGTGCAGGGGCCCAAGGGCTTGGGGTATCTTCTGCTGCTTTCCCAGCCCATAGCAGAGAGCTGGATCAGAAGAGGGGCAGCCAGGACTCGAACTGGCGCCTATATAGGATGCTGGCACTGCAGGCAGCTGCTTTACCTACTACACCACAGCACTGACCCCTCCCTCAAGATTTATTTATTTATTTATTTGAAAGTCAAAGTTACAGGGAGACAGAGCAGTCTTCCATCTGCTGGTTCACTCTCCCAAATGGCCACAATGGCTGGGGCTGGTCTAGGCTGAAGTCAGGAGCCTCATCCTGGTATCCTGTGGGTGCAGGGGCCCAAGCGCTTGGGCCATCTTCTGCTGCTTTCCCAGGAAGAGTGAGGGAGAGGGGGACATTAGCATGAAGCTGCACTGGAAGTGGAATGCCTGGGGCTCCAGCTGGTGCCTGTAGGGGATTACAAGCAGTGGCTTCACCCCTTATGCCACAATGCCAGCCCCATCATTTGTTTTCTAAAATGTTTCTGAGGGGCCAGCACCGTGGTACAGCCTATTAGGCTGCTATTTGTGGTGCCAGTTAGAGTCCCATCTGCTCTGCCTGCTGGTCCAGGCCAAAGCCAGGAGCCAGGAGTTTCTTCTGGGTCTCCCACATGAGCACCTGGGCCATCCTGCGCTGCTTTCCCAGGTGCATTAGCAGGGAGCTGGATTGGAAGTGGAGCAGCCAGGACTCCAACCTCTGCTCTATCAGGGGATGTCAGAGTCGCAGGAAGCAGCTTCATCTGCGGCACCACAACGTTGGCCTAACCACAGGCTGAACTGCGGCCCCTCAACATTCACCTGTTGGAGCCGGAGCCCCTGGTCCCCCAGCGTCTGGAGGTAGGCCTATGAAGAGGTGGGGGTGCTGGAATGAGGCATTGCGGGCGGCCCAGTGGTCAGCGTCCTGACAGCTGTGTGTGCAGAGGGACAACCCGGAGAGGAGGCAGTAGGGGCCCCTCCTCACCGCTGGACCTTGGACTTCCAGCTTCCAGAGGATAAATGGCCTTTTAAGCCCCCAGTGGGTGGTATTTTGTTACAGTAGCTGGGGCAGACAAATACAGGATGACAATGTTTTCTTAAGATTTGATTTTATTTACTTGAAAGGCAGAGAGGGGGAAGAGAGCTCTTCCGTGGCCCACTCCACTCTAAATAGTGGCAACAGCCAGGCGTGACCAGCAGCTCCATCCGGGTCTCCCCCGTGGGTGTCAGGGGCCCAAGAGCGTTGGCAGGAGGCTGGACCGGAAGTGGAGCTGCTGGGACTGGAACCCGCGATCTGCAGGGACGGCGGTGTTGCTGAGCCCAGGGTGGCAGTGTGTTGGCCTGCAGCTGCAGCCGGCACGTCTGCTCCCTGTTTTGTCTGAAACAGGATCCCCTCGCTGTTGCCATCCCAGAGGCTCCAGCGGCTGCAGCCTCGCCACTCCCTCTTTACCCGAGCGCTTGCTAGGAAGCGCCCCCCAGCCGCCTTCCCGGTCTTTCTGCACCTGCCCGGCCTCCCAGCCTCGGCTCTCGGGGCGGGAAGCGTATGGCTCTGCGGGGCTGGGGTTCCTCCGTGGAGTTTTCGGGACAGGATGCGCGGTCCCCGGGGTGGCGCGTGCGTCTGCATCTGGAGATGCCCGCCGCTCTAGGGCCGGGGGATGGGCTCGGGCCGCACAGCCGGGCCGGGGCCGAGCCGGCGGGGGACGGCCCGGGACCCCACGGGAAAGAGACGCTTCCTTCCCGGCCTCCTGCTGCCCGGAAATCCCCCCGCGCTCGGACTGCCTGCCGCGCGGGGTCGCGGGCAAGGGCGGCGCGAGGGGGCGGGGAGGCACGGGCTGCACGATTCGGGGAAAGCAGAAGCGAGCCCCGCTCTGACGAGCTGGGATCTGGGAAGAGAAACTCGAGGGCGCCGCCGCCCCCACCCCAGCGCTCGGCTGACCGCTCCTCTTAGAAGCGCGCAGAAGAGGGTCTCTGGGGAGTGGACGGCTAGCCCACTGCTCGCACCTCCCGGCTCCACGGCGGAGGATTGGGCCACTTCCCCGCCACGCCCTCCTCTCGTATCGGGGTGCGCCCGCCCCGCCCGGCCCTCCACTCGCGCCGGTAGCAGCACTGGCCCACGGCGCAGGACCAGCCCAGGACCCGAGAGGCCGCCGCAACAGGCCCGTTATCCACCCACCCTCGGACCCGCTCCCGACCCCAGACCCGCCGGATCTTCTGCCGACACTGCTGTACGCCCCCAGCCCCCTACCCTGCCTCTCTGGACCCCTGGGAGGACCCCGAGGCTCCTGCCCGCCCCTTCTACCCGGCACGGGGTCCCCGAGACCCTCTCCTGGTCCCTGACGTCCTCCTGCAGGTCCCCAGAGCGGCCGGGGCCAGCACCCCTCTGAACCCCAGGGCTGCCCACGGCTGGAGCGCGCCATGCGGCTGCGGGAGCTCCCGCCCCGGTTCTGGCTCCTGGCCCTGCTGCTCCCGCCGCTGCCGCCGCCAGCGCGCGCTGAGACCTCGGCGCAGGACGTGAGCCTGGGCGTGGTGAGCGCGGGAGTTCGCGGGCCCCTGGGATCCGCAGGGAGGTTTGGGCGAGGGAAGCTTGGGCCGGACACTTGAGCCCTGAGGAGGCACGGTGAGGGTGGCTTCCAGTAGTCCAAGGGTGACTGGGATTGGGGTGCGGGGACCTGGATTCCTGGATCTGTCCGAGGGTTTGGGGCCCAGATTTAGGGTCTGGAAAGGAGCTGGAGGGTGGGGCACTTGGGCAGAGGAGCAGGGGGGCCTCTGTTGGGCTGGGGGTCCGGGGAGGGGCGGTTCTTCAGGATGGAGGTGGCAAGGGAGGGACCCATCCCTTTTACCCCCCCACCCCCACCCCGGAGACTCACCTGTGCTCCGTGGCGGCCTAGGACTGGCTGACCCGCTATGGCTACCTGCCGCCACCTGACCCAGTGCAGGCCCAGCTGCAGAGCCTGGAGAAGCTTCGTGATGCGGTCAAGGTCATGCAGAGGTTCGCTGGGCTGCCTGAGACCGGCCTCATGGGTAGGTGGACCCCGCCCTGCCCGTGCAGCCCCAGGCCCTGCCTCTGCATCCAGCCAGCCAGCGTGCACCTGAGCACAGGCAGCCCAAACCCAGAGTGATGGAGAATCTGTCACAGGCTGAGTGGTCTCAGGCTCCACCAGTGTGGTGGGAGACAAGGCCCCTGCCCCAGGGAGCGGCCGTTCTGGAGTGAGACTGGGGAGAGGTCAAGGATTTAAACATAATTTCCCACGAAGAGGCGCCAGCCCTGGGAGCTGTGGGGCCAGAGCACCCCCAGCCAGGGCCTGCCCAGCTGCCCGGGGAAGGTGCTGGGTTTGAGTCCAGGGGCAGTGAGCGGCCGGGAGGGTGTGAAGGCGGAAGGCGACCCCGTTGGGTTTGCAGTTCTACTCCTTTCCTGTGGTTGCTAACGGAGAACAGAGAACGGAGGGCAGGCGGCTGTAGCACATGGACAGGGGGTGATGGCCGGCAATGGGGATGGATGTGGCCAGAGGCTGTTGGATTGCAGGTGTCTGGGGGGTAGATCTGCAGGGTACCTCTGCAGTTAAATGGGAAAGGCAGAGGGGGCTTGTGGGAGCTGGGCTGGCTCACGGGACTCTACTGTGGTGCCCTCACTCGTGCGCCACCCACAAGCGGGTTCTCAACCCTGGGCCACCTCTGTGCAAGGGCTGAGGTCTGGGCCCCGTGTGGCCGCCAGGAGCGCAGAGGACGGCCCTGTGGGGTGTGGGCGGTCCCCCGCAGGCGTTCAGCCTCACACGGAGGGGTCCTCACTGCACCAGCCGCGGGCGCTCAGGGAAGGAGGACCACCTGGCTGGAGCTGGGTGACCCCGCCTGGAAGGGCAGCGCTGAGAGTCTGGTGTGACCTGGCTTCCACTCCGGGCTGCGGGGTCTCGGTTTGCTGACGCCACAACCGGGCCAGAGCACCCTGCCGCCCATGCCCCTCGCACTGTGCAGACCCGCAGTAGCTGGCCGCCAAGCGCAAGCCCCGCCCTGCGGCTGACGCACCCCCCCCCCCCGTCTGTCTCCCACAGATCGGCAGACCCTCGCCACCATGCGCAAGCCCCGCTGCTCGCTGCCCGACGTGCTGGGGGCGGCCGGGCTGGTCCGGCGCCGCCGCCGCTATGCCCTGAGTGGCAGCGTGTGGCCGAAGCGGACCCTGACGTGGAGGTGGGTGCTGGAGCCCGCCCTCCTTGGGGTCTGCACGGCGGCCCTTCCCCTCCGCGGCCGACCTGTTGCCCCCCTCTCCCTCCAGGGTGCGTTCCTTCCCCCGGAGCTCCCGGCTGAGCCAGGAGACGGTGCGGACCCTCCTGAGCTACGCACTGGCCGTGTGGGGCGCCGAGTCCGGCCTCACCTTTCACGAGGTGGATGCCCGGCACCAGGAACCCGACATCCACATCGACTTCGCCCGGGCCTACCACCAGGACAGCTACCCCTTCGACGGGCTGGGGGGCACCCTGGCCCACGCCTTCTTCCCCGGGGAGCACCCCATCTCCGGGGACACCCACTTCGATGATGAGGAGACCTGGACTTTCGGGTCGAAAGGTAACGGTCTTTGGAGAGGTCCTCTCCCCAGGTGTGTGGAGCCCTAAGAGTTGGGGTTACCTTCACTGAGTAATGGCAGCTGGATTGCTCAGGGTCTCCAGGGAAACCGCAGCTACAGAATGTGTGTGTGTGTGTGTATGTGAGAGAGAGAGAGAGAGAGAGAGACAGAGAGAGAGACTTGTGTGACATATATCTTTACAAATTTTTTCTGAAATTTTTTCATTTTTAAAAATCTATTTGAAAGACAGAGACAGAGGTAGACAGAGACATCTCCCATCTGCCAGTTTCCTCCCCAAATGCCTGTAGCAGCTGGGACTAGGCCAGGCCCAAGCCAGGAGCCAGGAACTCCATCTGGGTCTCCCGCATGGCGGCCACTGTCCCGTGGGGCCAGCCCCTGGCACGTGTCAGGCAGTTCATCTACACAGCATTCGTCGCAATGCCTGGGCTCTGGTCTGACCAAAGAGCCGGGCACGATGACCCGGCCAAAGTGGTGCCCACAGTCCACCTCCGCGGAGGCCGGCCAGGGGCCCAGCTCCCAGCTGGGGCTGAGGCCGGGGCACCAACAGGGCTCTGCACAGCAGCTGAGTCAGAAGAGTTACACCACACACGGTGACACAGCCGCACAGAGACACAGCACGGAAACCCTGAGCCACAGGTGCTCACGGGAGGGGCTGCTTCCTGGAAGGGTGCCCCCCCCACCCAACTGGGAGCACAAAATACCACAAGGCCAGGCCCCCTGGTCCTACCCCCCGGTGTACGCGCTGGGGGAGATGCAGGAAGTCAGCACCAGCCTCACCAGCAGGGCCGGGAGGAGCCACGGAAGGGAGGAAGGGCTGTGACGTGGGCGGATCGCGAGGAGGGCAGCTCCCACATCCCACAGTCTGGGGATGGAGTGGGAGCACCTGGACGATGCGGTTCTGAAGGCAGTGGGTTCATGGGAGAAAGATCCCTGGGGAGGCAGAGGCAGGATGCGGGGAGTGGCTGTGGGGTCCAGCACGAAGATGTTGGGGGTGATGGGGCGGGGAGGGACCTGAATTGTCAGGGCAGGCACAGGTTGGGGTCTGGCTGGTGGGGGGCGGCGCCGAGTGCAGTCTGGGTGCCGGCTCGCGGTGCTCTGCCCACTGCATGCAGGGCCTGGCACTCTTCCGTCAGAACAGGCTCCCCAGAAGTGGAGCTCCCGAGGGGGACTCATGCATGAGCCATCCCCGGGCGCATGCTGGGGGGATGGGGCGGAGGGAAGCAGGAGAAGCTGAGCCAGGATGTGGTCTGGCTGGACGAGTGCCCATCCAGGGCTCTGCAGAGGCGATGCCTGGGGTGTGGTCCTGCCCGGACGAGGCCCAGCTCCCAGCTGGGGGCTGCTCAGGGAGCTGGAGTGGGGAGGAGAGGCAGGGTTGGGGGGCAGCAGGGACGGTGCATGGGCCCTGCTGAGGCTTTGGGCAATGCACAGATGGCATCCACACAGTGAGGCAGTGTAGACAGACAATGTGATGGTGTAGACAGTAAACTGGTATAGACAGCCAGCTGGTATAGATAACAAGGTGCTGTAACAGATAGTAAGGTGGTGTAGACAGTGAGTGGAGTGGACAGGTGGTGTAGACTGTGAGGTGGTGTAGTAGTGAGGTGGTGTAGATGGTGAGCTGGGGTTGACAAGTGGTGTAGACAGGTGATGTAGATAGATAGTAAGGTGGTGTAGACAGTGAACTGGTGTAGATAGGTGGTGTAGACTGTGAGGTGGTGTAGACGGTGAGCTGGGGTAGACAGGTGGTATAGACAGACAGGTGATGTGGATAGATAGTGAGGTAATATAGACAGTGAGGTGTGTGGGTGCTAGGAGTAATTCGCCCATAGCTCTTGGCTCAGGCCTGGGTTCCGTGCTGGAGCTGACTGGCAGCAGGCCGTGGGGGGTGGGGGGGCAGGAAGGTTCCAGAAGGGCAGTGGAGAATGTGGAAGTCCAGTGCAGAAGCCAAGAAGTGGTGGCTGGAGGGACGGGGGAGATGCTGTGCTTGTCCTGGAGGGGGTGAGCGAGGCAGAATCCTCACCAGGGCAGGGCAGGGCAGGGCAGGGCAGGGCAGGGCAGGGCAGGAGGTGTGAAGACCAAGCCGGCTGCCCTGGGTGACCGGAAGTTGTAGGTTACACCGCCGGTCCTGATGAAATAGGAAACACTTTTGTCATCCCAGAGGAGGGGGCGGGGCCCCACGGCAGCTCAAGGGGCTGTGGGTCTGGAAGGGAGGCTGCGAGCAGGGCTGGGGGTGGGCCCTGGTGACCACCCGGGGCGTTCCGCCGGGCTGGGCTGCACAGTTGTGCAATTTCCCCCAGCTGCATAGCGTGACAAGTGTGCAGCAGGGGTGCAGGACCCGGAAGCCCTGGGCAGCCGGAGCAGAGGCGAGGCGAGGAAGGAAGGTGAGGGAAGAACCAGACCTGGTTTAGACACCAAGTTTCCTCCAGTTTCTCAGAAAGAAAGGAGAGCAACAACAGAGCCAGTGGTGCACGCCGACACGGTGCAGGCTGACCACACCCACCCCCGGCCGCTGCAGGAGGGCGGGGCGGCTGGCACCTGCCCTTGTGCCTCGGTTCCCTGCTCTGTGGATGGGCGGGAGGCCAGGGCTTTGGTCCTCGCTGGATGCACCCAGATGTCTCACCCTCAGGCTCTCACGCTCCCTATTGGGCTGCAGGAAAACTCGATTTCCAGTTCAGGTCGGGCAGACCTGTGTCCAGTGTCGCCAGCCCTAAGGAGATTCCTGGGAAGCAGAGCAGCGCCTGGGGTGGGGTCACCTGGCCCCAGCCCATCCGCCTGCCTCTCCTGCAGCAGGAGCCGGCTGGCAGGGCTGGCAGCCGGCGGATCGATGAGGAGCTGGGATTCGGCCAGCAGGGGAGCGAGAAGGGGCTGTGTCCTGGCTCTTGCGCTGGATCCCACAGGAGAGGCTGGGAGGAGGCGGGCCCTGGGCCAGTGGGCTGCGGCCTGAGAGTGCCTGCTGGAGCGGGCACGGAGTGGGAGGGGGGGTGAAGGAGCAGGGAGAGGGGCAGGGGGGAGGCGTGGGGAGCTGAAGCCACCATCAGCCTAGGCTCCTAGCAGGTAGGGTGCTGACAGGGTTGGGGGAGATGAGCGGGGAGGAGGGGGTTTCCTGGGCCAGGGCTTCCTGGAGAGACCCCCGTGGAGGGCCCCTTGGGCTCGCCTCCAGTGTAGGGACCAAGCCTTCCACATATCAGCGAAAGGTGGCCCAACCCCCATGGCCTCTGCAGCCCTGTAGCCTAGCACCATCCAACAGGGCTGAATGGTCCAGGAGTGAGCCAGTGGGGGTGGGGTGGTGGGGTGGTGGGGGGGTGGCCTCTCCTTCAGCCCCATTCTCCCCACTCCCCAGATGGCGAAGGGACAGACCTGTTCGCCGTGGCTGTCCACGAGTTCGGCCACGCCCTGGGACTGGGGCACTCCTCCGCCCCCAACTCCATCATGAGGCCCTTCTACCAGGGCCCCGTGGGCGACCCCGACAAGTACCGCCTGTCCCAGGATGACATCGAAGGCCTGCAGCAGCTGTATGGTACGGTGCCTGGAGGCGGCCCCTGTGGCCTGTGCCCCAGGGCTGGGTGACCCACACCTGCCTCTCTCCCCACAGGGAAAGTGCCCCAAACCCCACAGGGCACGCCCACTCGGAGACCCCTGGCTCCTCCCCCTCTGCCCCCGACCCCGCTCCCAGACAGGTGAGTCCCAGGGCCCCGCCTCGGCTGGCCAGCTCCCCGGTGGAGCCCTCATTTAGGGTGGGAGGAGCTCACCTGTCCCTTCCTCCCTAGCCCTACGTGGCCCATCCCAGACCGGTGTGAGGGCCACTTCGACGCTATTGCCAACATCCGCGGCGAAACCTTCTTCTTCAAGGGTGCGTGACCTGGGATGGCCCTCGGCCTCCCCTGTCTGGCTTTCTACCCACTCAGGGGCACTCGTCTGGGCTAGGTGGGGACGTTTCTGGGAAGTGGGACCCTGAGCGCTAGAAGGGGGGGGGGCACGGTGGTCCCCCGAGGCTCGCCGCGTGGTTTCCAGAAGTCTCTGCCCGTCTCCTGCGCCCTCCACACAGGCCCCTGGTTCTGGCGCCTGCAGCCTTCGGGGCAGCTGGTGTCGCCCCGGCCCGCGCGGCTGCACCGTTTCTGGGAGGGGCTGCCCGCCCAGGTGACGGTGGTCCAGGCCGCCTACGCGCGGCACCGCGACGGCCGCATCCTCCTGTTCAGCGGTGAGTGGGGCTGCGCGGCGGGGCCGGCCGGCCGGGGCCCGCGCGGGTCACTCACACCCGGCCGCGCCCTCCAGGCCCGCAGTTCTGGGAGTTCCGGGACCGACAGCTGGACGGCCCGGCGCGGCCGCTCACCGAGCTGGGGCTGCCGCCGGGGCTGGAGGTGGACGCCGTGTTCTCGTGGCCGGCCAACGGCAAGACCTACCTGGTCCGGGGCCGGAGCTACTGGCGCTTCGACGAGGAGGCCCGGCGCGCCGACCCCGGCTACCCCCGCGACCTGAGCCTCTGGGAGGGGGCGCCGCTAGCGCCTGACGACGTCACGGTCAGCAACGCAGGTACCGGGGCTGGCCCGGGGGTGGGGTCGCGGGGCGCCCGCGGGCAGCCGGGACGCAGCCTCTGACGCGTCCCCCGCCCCCCGCAGGCGACACCTACTTCTTCAAGGGCACCCAATACTGGCGCTTTCCCAAAGGCAGCGTCAAGACCGAGCCGGACTCCCCTCAGCCCATGGGGCCCGAGTGGCTGGACTGCCCCGCCCCCACCTCGGGCCCTCACGCCCCCAAGCCCCCTAAAGCGACCCCCAAGTCCGGAGCCTGCGATTGCCAATGCGAGCTCAACCAGGCGGCGGGCCGGCCGCCCACGCCCTTCCTGCTGTCCCTTCTGCCCCTGCTGGCAGGGGGCCTCGCCTCCCGCTGCGGGGGGTCGTCCTAAGCTGGGCACTCCCTACCTGGAAAGGGGCCGGACGTGGTAGGGGTTTGGGAGGCGCAGCCCGGCCCCTTCCTGTTGCCAGGGACGATGGCTCCCGCGAGGACGAGCCGGGGGATTCTCCGCAGAGGGCGGCGCCACCTGAGACCTGACCGCCCTGGCGCTGGGCTCGGCCTCCCGGGACTACGGCGCTCCACAGCCGCCTCCGAGGCGCGCCGCCAGGGGGCGCCCGCGCGCAGCGACCCCGCTCCGCTCCCGCTCCAAGCGGCCGCCAGGGGCGGTGTGGACCTGGCCCAGCCTCGGGGGGATCCAACTGGACGAGGCAGCCAGGGACAGAAGGCTGCTGGGCTGCTGGAGGCCCGGATGTGTTCTGCCCGCCCCCTCGCGGGTCACTGGAAGGGGATGCTGCCCCCACGGGACTCTCCCCCCCTTGCCCCATCCGGAACAGCCGGCCTGACCTGGAGTGCCTGTACGTGTCTGTGGGGGACAGGCCTTGCCCACCTGCGGCTCCCTACCCCTTTCTGCTCTCCTGATGTCCCAGTCACCGCCATGTGTTGGGGACCCAGCTCCAGCCCGGAAACCCCTCCCCAGGGACCTACGGACACCACCTGGGTGATGTCAGCAGCCTAGCGATCCCGTTTCCACTCCCCTCTATCCTGGTCACACAGCCTGGATCACCCTGGTCCAGAAGTGACCCCACTGCCCAGTGAAGCCCCTCTCATCCGAAGGTCTCCCAGCTGCACACTGGGGCGGTGCCAGCTCCCTCCAGCAGAACGGGCTGGGTGGGTGGGAAGGTGGGGGCTGCGCCCTTTCTTAACCGGGTCACTGCCCCCTTGGCAATAGGGTGGCCCTAGTTCAGGGTGAGGGTGAGTGGAACCTGGGCCAGCTTGTTCACTCCCACACCCACAGATCCATAGCCTCAGCCATGGCCTCTGGAACTGTGCTTCTGGAATCTTCCGAGTCCGAAGAGCATGGAGAACTTCAAAACGGGGATACCATCCTCCGAGTCCACATTGTGGGGGGGCCTGGGTCTGCATTGTCGCACGCTGTGGGGAGGAGGTTGGGGAGCCGGAGCTAGCCCTCCGCCATCAGGTCTCTGCCTTGGCCTGTTAGGGACCAGCTACAGGACCATGGTCTGAGAGCTGCCCACCCCCATGGGTGGGGCCGCCCCGTGGGGGCCTCCTCCAGGCTGGCCCCCAGACCCTGAGGCTGTGGGCAGCCATCCCAACGGCCAGGGGGAAACCTGCCCCCAGCTTTTCATGACCAAATGGGCCAATATGAGCGTGAGAGCTAGGGGTCAGGACCAGTGGTGACCTGACGGGTGTCAGCGCCAGGAAACCTCGTGGACCTCTGTTCAGTGCCTTTCCAAGTTGGAGGACGGGACAGCTGTCCCCCAGAGACGTGCAGCCCTGGCTGAGAAGACACGGCAGGGTCAGCAGTGATGGCCCTGCTGTGCAGAAGGTGGATCCAGGCCCTTGGGATGAGGAAGCTGAGAGCGGGGGGTGGGGGGGGCAGCGAAAGCTGCCGATTGTGCAACGGGTGCTTTCCAGAGTTGCAGGGACTGCTGAGCCTGCTGCCGGGAAGGGGCTTTGGGGAGACACCGTGAGGGCAGGCGCAGCCGCAGTCAAAGCTGAAACCTGTATCCTCCCAAGGACTCCAAGGAATTCATTGCAATCAGGCGTCTGATAAGGGGCCTGCACCCAGGGTGTATAAAAACCTCTTGCAACGTAACAACGACAGGGCCCGTTTCCGTGTTCGTCTTCCTTGTGCACACACGCACAAGGGGTCAAAGAGCACCTGAACGGATTTGTAAATAAGCCAGTGGCTGGCTACCCTTTACAACAGTGGACTGGGGCTGGAGGGGGCGGGGAGAGTGCGCGGCTGGGACCCTGGAACGCAGCAGGCACCTGCTCCAAGGCCCAAACCCACAGTGCCTGTGGCCCAGGATCCCACCGTGGCTCCCGGGGAGGGGTTCACAGCAGATCTGCTCGTGGGCAACGCCAGGTGGCTTCAACCCCAGTGACCGTCATCGGGAAACCACGTGGCCCAGCCCACTGTATTTAGCCAGGACAGGGAAGGCTGCGCGGCCACGCCAGGCACAGAGACCACATGCACTGTGACTCCATTTCTATGACATGTCCAGGAGGATGGGGGGTGTTGGGGGCAGGACTTCTTCCTGAAGTGATAGCAAACTTTGCACTGTGTTGTACGCTTCAATGGGTGGGCTGCTTTGCGATGTGAATTCTAGCTCAATAAAGCCACAGAAACACGGGACAACACCCAGAGGAACTCCTGGAGAGGGCCCAGTGCTGGGGGGTGCCCAGTGTCGGCTGAGGCCGGGGCAGCTCCCTTCTCTCGCACTCTGGAACTCAGATTCTGGACTTCCTGGGTGTGGAAGGGGAGAGGTATCGGACATCCGAATGGGCTCCTGAGTGACTGGAGGGTGACAGCTGGCATCTGCCCAAGCCAAGTGAGACTTTCTCTAGGGAAGTGTCAGTCATGGCTGAATCCCTTAAGGAGGTCTTACTGGGGGCTGGCGCTGTGGCGCAGCAGTTACGCTGCTGCCTGAGAGGCCGGCATCCTGCATGGGTGCTGAGTGGAGTCCTGGCTGTTACTTCTGATCCGGCCCCCTGTTAATGGCCTGGGAAAGCAGCAGAGGATGACCCAGGTGCTTGGGCCCCTGCACCCATGTGGGAGACCTGGATGGAGTTCCAGGCTCCTGGGTTCGGCCCGGCCCAGCCCTGGCCCTTGTGGCCATCTGGGGAGTGAACCAGCAGAGGGAAGGCCTCTCTCCCTCTTGCTCTCTTCCTCTGTGTGTTGCTCCGCCTTTCCAATAATTTTTTTTTTTGACAGGCAGAGTGGACAGTGAGAGAGAGAGACAGAGAGAAAGGTCTTCCTTTGCCATTGGTTCACCCTCCAATGGCCGCCGCGGCTGGCGCGCTGCGGCCGGCGCACCGCGCTGATCCAATGGCAGGAGCCAGGAGCCAGGTGCTTTTTTTCCTGGTCTCCCATGGGGTGCAGGGCCCAAGCACCTGGGCCATCCTCCACTGCACTCCCTGGCCACAGCAGAGAGCTGGTCTGGAAGAGGGGCAACCGGGACAGAATCCGGCGCCCCAACCGGGACTAGAACCCAGTGTGCCGGCGCCACTAGGTGGAGGATTAGCCTAGTGAGCAGCGGCGCCGGCTCCAATAAATTTTTAAAAATAAAAATTAAAAAAGGAGCTGCTGGCAACTGACCTCACCACTCCCAAGAGCAGTGGTTTTTCTGGGGACCCCCGGTTAGACCCCGGCCCCCGCTGCCGAGCACCTACACTGTCGGCAGCCGCCCGCATCCTCCTGGGAAGGGCGCATCCCTCTGCTTGCTGCCCTTTCCACCTCCAGGAGCCCTGTCCCCCTGAGTCCCCCCAGAGCCCTCTGTTGGCTTCCCTGGCAGCTCCAGGCTCGAGAGGCTGCTGGTGGCTCCTCCGTCCCAGCTCAGCACGCTCAGGGTCCCGGGCTCCTGGACACAGAGAGTCTGCAACCCCTGACCCAGGGGAGGCCCCGTTCTAAGACCTCAGAACAGGGACGGCTAAGAAAGACCACGATGAGGCCAATGCTGTGGCGTAGCAGGTAAAGCTGGTTCCAGTCCTGGCTGCTCCTCTTCTGATCCAGCTCCCTGCTAATGCGCCTGGGAAAAGCAGCAGAGGACGGCCCACGTGCTTGGGCCCCTGCACCCATGTGCAGGAGACTGGAAGGGGCTCCTGGCTCGGGATTGGCTCAGCTCCGGCCATTGCAGCCATTTGGGGAGTGAACCAGTGGATGGAAGACCTCTCTCTCTCTCTCTCTCTAACTCTCTCTCTCTAACTCTGCCTTTAAAATAATAAATAAATAAATCTTTTAAAAAGAAGAATAGGGTGTCACGGGGTGCATGTGTCCCCCCACATGTGTGTGTTAGAGCCCTCCCCTTCCCAGCATGTCATAACATGGCCTTCTTTGGAGATAGGTTGTCAAGGCACAAGGAAGTCTTTAGTGTGGGCCCTAATCCAACAGTGGGGGAGAAGCAGGTGTTTGGCCCAGTGATTTACACCCTGTCCTATATCCCAGGGCCAGGGTTCAAGGCCCGCCTCTGGCTCTTAATTCCAGCTTTCCACTAAAGCAGACCCTGGGAGGCCGCAGGCGATAGCTTAAAATGATTGAGTCCCTGCCATCCACAGAGGAGGCCTGGATTCAGTTCTAGCTCTCTTTTTTTTTTTATTTTAATTAATTAATTAATTAATTAATTTAAAAGTCAGAGTTACACAGAGAGAAGAAGAAGGAGAGGAGAGAGAGAGAGAGAGAGAGAGAGAGAGAGAGAGAGAGAAGTCCTCCGTACACTGGTTCATTATCCATTGACCACAACGTCTGGAGCTGTGCTGATCTGAAGCCCAGGAGCTTCTTTTGGGTCTTCCACGCAGGGACAGGGGCCCAAGCACTTGAGCCATCTTCCAATGCTTTCCCAGGTCACAGCAGAGAGCTGGATCAGAACCAGGGCCCATGTGGGATGCTGGCACTGCAGGCGAGAGCTTTACCCGCTATGCCACAGCACCAGCCCCGAGTTCCTAGCTTTTGGCTTCAGCCTGGCCGAGCACTGGACATTTTGAGCATTTTGGAAGTGAACCAAACAGTGAGAACACTCTGTCTCTGTCTGTCTCAAAAAAAAAAAAAAAAAAAAAAGAAAAAGAAAAAGAAAAAAAAAGAAAGAAAGAAAAGAAGCGGCTTTTGGAGCTGGTGTTGTAGGTTGTAGTGCAGGGGTTAAACCACCAAGTACAGTGCTGGCATCCCACATGATCCCACATGAGCACTAATTCAAGTTCTGGCTGCTCCACTTCCAATCCAGCTCCCTCTAATTGCCTGGGAAAGCAGCCCAAGTGCTTGGGCCCCTGCACCTGCGTGGGAGACCCGGATGAAGTTCCAGGCTCCTGGCTTCGGCCTGGCCCAGCCCAGCCTGTTGCAGTCCTTTAGGGAGTGAACCAGCAGGTAGAAGAGCTCTCTGTCTCTCCTTCTGTGTAACTCTGCCTTTGAAATAAATATATAATTTTTAATTAAAAAAGTAACTTAAAAAACGGACCCAGACACACGGAGGAGACGGCCAGTGTGGGGAGGCCGGATGCTGGCAGGAGACGAGGTGGCTGGGCTCCTGCCCCCCAGGAGAGAAGGCATTTCCAGCTGGTGGCCCTGGGAAGCCTCCGTGATGGCAGTGCTCCGCCGGGGAGGGGCTGTGGTTTCAGGAGGGAGGTGAGACAGGCTGAATGCGGCAGGCCCTCAGGGTGGGGACCCAGACTCCCCTCAAGCGCCCTTGGCACTGGGAGGGGTCAGGAGAACCCGGTCAGTGTCTGCCTTGGGCTCCCCCAGCAGACCCCCTGCCCTCTCCAGGGCCTCAGGCTTAGTGGCTGCCACAGTCTTGTCAGAACTCTGAACTTAACGTGCAGCTCCCAGCAGAGTGCCAACCCTTCCCCGCAGACCCCGTCACTCCCCTGCACGCTGGGAATTCCCGCCTGCTGGGCTCAGTCTGGCCTTCCCCACCAGCACCCCACCTGCCTCTCGAGCTGGCTCAGCACAGGGTCAAGGCCAGAGGTCCAGAGATCAGGGGGAGACCCCCCCAACTCAGGCACCTCAAGTTTATGTCTCTGTCTCTCTAACTCTGTTCCATTCTCTTCTCTCTCTCTCTCTCTCTGTCCCTTTAAAGATTTGTTTTATTTATTTAAAATGCAGTTACACACACACACACACACACACACACACGACATACACACACACAAATCTGTCATTCTCTGGTTCACTCCCCAAATGGGCGCAATGGTCAGGTTGGGCCAGGGGAAGCCGGGAGCCTGGGACTCCATCGAGGTCTCCCATTGGGTAGTGGGGCTCCAAGTACTTGGGCCAGCTTCTACTCTTCCAGGAGCAACAGCAGGGAGCTGGATCTGAAATGGAGCAGCAGGGACGGGAATGGGGCTCAGAGGAGCTGCAGGACCTCAGGCAGCGGCTTCACCCGCTGTTCACAGTGCCGGCCACCCCACCCCACTTTCCTTTCCTCATTCTTTCTCTTTCTTTTCTCCCTGCCCCCCACCCCGTGTGCTCCCCTCCCCCACCCCCACCCCGCCGTGCTAAGGGAGGCTCCGCCCAGGCCAGCTCCTCCCTCCTCCTCTGCTCTTGAGCCTCCTCTGCTCTGTCCTCCCAGGCAGTCCCCTGCTGGCCTTAGTACCAAGAGGACAGGGATGAGCGGGTGAGTGTCCCTGAGGAGTACAGCTGGGGTGGGAGTCAGGGGTCCCCAAGGCCTCGGCACTGCCTCTCTGAGACCCTTTCTTCTCGCCAGCTCCTCTCCAGCGGGCTGGGCTCCTGGACATCCAAGCGCCATGGGCTACTCCCAGGTGAGTGCAGCAGGTGGTGGCTGGGCCCCAGCCAGCTCCCCACAGGGTGCCTCTCCCTGGCTGTGCCCTGCTCGCCCCAGTGCTGGGGGCTGAGTGCTGGGCTCTCTGCTCTTGCTGATGGGGCTTGCTGTCAGCTTCACGTTGCTCTGCACATCGCTCAGCAGGAAGTGGCTGCGGGACAGACTCCCTTCCGGGAGGGGCTGTGGGAACAGCTCTGTGAGCCGTGAGCGGCACCCGCCGGGCAGGGCAGGGCGTGGGTGTCTGTCACAGGAGGGCTTATACCTTCTGTGGGTGTGGGGAGCTGGAGACAAGGATGAGGGGGGATGCCAGGCCTGGGGTGGGGTAGCACAGCCCTGGACTGGACAAAGACCCTTTGAGGGCTGGCCTGGCTGCGGCAGCCCAAGAACGGCCCAGGCCAGTAGACCTGGATTCCCCACTCTCCCCCTGCAAATGGGAGGCTGGCCAGGTCCTCCATGGTGCTCTGTGGGGTCCTCCCTGCCTCTGTGGGGCCAGCCCAGAGCCTGGGGGGGTGAGGAAGGCGGGGTCAGAGGTCTGAGGGGCAGCTGAATGCCACAAGGCCCTGCCTGACACTCGGAGAGGAGTGGCCGTGCTGCCCTTCCCCAGCCCAGCCCAGCAAATCCACCCTTGGCCGCCTCTCACCGGGCCCCGGAGGTGTGAGCTGCCGTGCTGAGCAGGCACAGTGTCCATGCCTGTGTGTCGGGGGTGTGTGTGTGACTTGAGGCCACACGAGGCCTGAGTGTTCTCTCCTTTCCACAGTTACCCTGTGATGACATTGACACAGCCTCGTACAAGATGGTAAGGCGATAGGCAGGGGGCCTGAGTGGGCATCCTGAGGAGGCTCCTGCCCACCTGGGATCCAGGCCAACTCTGTGCCTCTTTACAGCACAAGGACCTGGACAGATTCATTTCTGTTGCCCAAGGCCAACATTTAAGAGGTGAACAGGTGGGTCGATGCTCACATGTCCCCACCCCCAGGCTCTCCACATTGGGTGGGGGGTGAGGATGAGGATGGTGATGATGATGAAGGTGCTACGTCAGGCTTGCTCATCCCTTACCTTGGACAGAAACTACAGCCCACTAGCTTCTCAGTTCACACCTGTGGCAGGTGAGGCACAGGTGGGAGACGCAGAGGGAACTCAGGGCTGTCTTCGTGCCACATCATACTGCTGGCAGAGTAGGTTCCCAGGGTGGGCGTGGAGCTGAGAACAGGCTGGGCTCCGGGAGAAGAGTGGAGTGACAGAGGCTGCGGGTTTGAACCATGTGATTTCCTCCCACCCCCACCCCACAGCTGGACGAGTCCAGTCTGGAGTCACTGGAGGTAATTTTGGCTTTGTTGTTCCCTATGGTGTAGTCCTGGTCTCCAGGCTGTGGGGTCTGGGCTCACCCGGATGTGCGGGCAGCACCCTGGGGCCCAGTAGGAGGAGTGTCTGTGTTGCCCACACTCTGTCTCCCCAGGACAGCATCAACGAGGTCTTGTTGGACAACGTAGAGAGCCACTTTCGTAACAACCTGGTGAGTTGGGGCACCTGTCACAGCCCTCACTACTGCCCCTACCTCCCCGTCCCCTGTGTGCATAGCTCCCCAGGGATGGGCTAGTGGGCTCAGGAGGTGGCTGCCTGGCTGGCACCCACCCCTGACTCCCCCCATGTGCACACAATGAGCCTGCTAGAGCCCACGGGGGCCTGGAGCTGGGGTCAGAGCCGTCAATGGACAAGCACATACGAGGGGTCTTCAAAAAGTTCATGGAAAATGCATTCATGCAAAAACCATGCCTGGACTTCAATTTTGGGGGGCCTATGAAAAGCTGATCTTTTCATGGCACCCTCCATGGATGTGAAGACCCCTCCTCTTGCAGCCCTCATGGTCTCTGCCACAGAGGGCAGCTGAAGGCGAGGGCTTGGGGAGAGCCTGCTTGTTTCTGCGGGCTTCTGTCTCCCAGACTCCCTCCATTCCAGGCAGCAGCCGGGGGGGGGGGGCGGGTTTGGGGTCTGGGCCTGCACCCCCCACCAACCGCACCCTGAGCAGCACTGGTCCCCCACAGGAGACCATTCCTTTGTCTTCTGACATGCAACTGGAGTTGCGATCTCGGGTCAAGAGGCCGTCGGGCTCTGGGCAGAGATACGAGCAGTTAGGCGGCGAGCAGTCCAGGCAGAGCTTCTGGGAAACGCTGCGGCGGTGGTTCCGGGCAATGCTGGGCCGGCTGCAGCAGCGCTGGCAGCGTGCGTTGGCCTGGCTGCAGGAGCTGGTGGCCGCCGGGGTGCAGGCCTTGCGCAGCGCCGTCGAGCTCGTGTGGCGCACACTGAAGCGTTTCCGCTGCTCCCTGATGAAGTGGCTTGGGCTGCCCCTTGGGGTCTAGGGAGCTCAAAGCCCTGCGCTCCCCGCTTCTTAAAGTCTTTGAAGTGTCTACGCCTTCCTGCGCACCCTGGGCCCATCATTACCTCCCGCCCCCAGCCCCTTCCTGCCTGACCTGCAGAGCTGACCGGCTACTCTCGCTCTACTGCCTTAATAAAAGATGCTGGAAAGAAACCCACGGCCTGCCTGGAGCTCTCTCTGTTAGGCACAACAGGACTGGGCCTGGGCGACATGGTCCCAACCAGAAACAGTGGGGCCAGGGCTCCACCCGACCTCTGTACTGGGGACACCGGTCACCATGAACTCGGACTCCAGAACTGCAGCCTGGCGCATTGTTCTCACAGTGCCCGGCGCACCGCAGGTGCCCACTGGCTGCCCTTTCCTGGGCTCCAGGCACCTGACAGCCAGGGCTGGGCCAGGCCAGGCCCAGGCGTCTAGAACCCCCTCTGGGTCTCCCACATGGGTGGCAGGGATCCAACACTTGGGCCACCTTCTGCTGCTTTTCTCAGACCAGCACAGGGAGCTGCATTGGAAGTGCAGCAGAGAGACACAAACTGGCACCAGTATGCGATGCCGGCCTCACAAGAGACAGCTTTACCACCATGTCACAACAACCCCCCCACAGCATTTCTGGCTTGTCTCCCCCCAAGATCACGTGGCTGGATTGGGCCTTTTGGACCAGGATGGAGGCAGTGGAGGGACAGGGCAAGGGCAAATCTCTGGGCCTGAGACTGACCCTGCCTACAGAGATTGCAGAGTGAGGAGCAAGAGGAAGTGAATATTATCACTGTCTCTGAGGCCAAGTTCAGGAGCCCTAGAAGACGCTCCCCCTTCCCCCCAACCCCCACCCCCCGCCAGGTGGACACACAGAGATCAGCTTCTTCCCGTTCAGCCAGTGACCAGCAGCTGCTGAGACAATGGGATGGGAGGGCTGACCTGATCAGTCCTGGGGTTCTAGGAGGAAATGGGCGGGGGCTGGTGAGGAAGCACCTGCAGGGTGGCCCACGTCTGGGACAAGTGCTGGGCTGCATTGGCCGGGGAGCACTGGGAGGGTGTTGACCGTCTTTGTGGGTCAGAACCCACTTCCTCCTCTGACACTCTTGGAAAACAGCAATGAACTCTGGAGCTTTAGAACTGTCCCCATGGGGGCCACGCTGGGATCCCAACAGGGGAACGGGTGGACAATGGACCTGACATCAGCCCAGCCACTCCTGGGGGGTTGGGGAAATAACCAAGGGCACAGCCCTGCCGGACCTTAGGCCTCCACCTTTCACTCCCACCTTCTAGACATCCCTCTGGCCTCCCTCTGGCCTGAGGCCTCAGCTCCAGGTGCTGCCCAGCTGCAGGTCCTGACCCAGCGTTTTCCTGTCTTTGGCCATGACCTGGGAACTTCTCTCTGCCACTATTTTGTCACAGCCCTCCCCTGTACTTCCCAAGTGACCCCGTGTCAAACCTCCACTTCCCCTCACCCCTTCGCCTGCCACAGGGCTTCTCCCACCGCACGGCTCACCCCGTGCCATATTGAGGGCTCCTTCACTGGGAGCCTGGACAAGTTCATGGCCTCCTAGCTGCTCTCTCCGGCTTGGCCTCCTTCAAGGCATTTCCATCCATTAGCCAGAGCTAAAGGATTTATTTTGAAAAATGAAGTGACTGGGGGCTGATGCTGTGGCTCAGTGGGTTCAGCTGCTCTCTGCAGTGCCGGCATCCCGTATGAAGCAGCTCCTGTGTGCCCCGCTTCTGGTCCAGCTCCCTGCTAATGTGAAGATGGCCCAAGTACTTGGGAACCTGTCACCTACATGGGAGACCTGGATGGGGTTCCTGGCTTCAGCCTGGCCTGGCCCTTGCTGCTGTGGTCACTGGGGAAGTGAACCAGCAGATGGAAGATTCCTGTCTGTTACTCTTTCAAATAAATCTAGAAAGAAAGAAGGAAATCAGCCCCTGCCCACCAACCTCAGCAACCGTTCCGCGGTAAACAGCCTCTTACTCTTCCTGCCCGGCCAAACACATTGTACATCTTTTCTTCCGGACAAATGTTGTCCAGCTGCTCACCCAGCCACCTGCTGCTCCGGCTGCCGGGGGTGCCATCTCCTTAATTTGGAAACTGCCCCTCAGGTGCACTTCCTGCCTCGCTCCCCCCCAATAACCCAGCCCACAGCAGGTGTCCAGGAAAGGGGGCCCTCACTCCTCAGTCCCTTACTGGACAGGTTCTTCCTCTGAAATCCCCTCCCCCACGGTCCTGGCTGAGATGACCCTGCTGCTGACATCTAGTGGCTCTCGGTGAAGCCCGATCCTCCCCTCAACCCCAAAAGAGCCGGACCTTCCCCAGGCCTGGGACGTTTCTGATGGCCGTGTCCAAGGTTCATTTGATTTCCTCCTGGAGTCTGGATCAGTTCTCCCTTGGCTAAGTCCAGTTCCTTTCAAGGAAGAGTTAGGAAGGTGTGGACATAACCGAGACATGGAGCTGTTTTTCTTGAAAACCATCAGACCTCACAAACAGGAAGGGTGGGTGCCTCTGGGCTTTGACTCTCTTGTGGCTTCATGGAAACCACCTGATTTACGGGCACCCAGAGGCAGGGCCTGTGCAGGAGCCAGCGAGGGCTGAGGAGGTTCTGTCAGCCCAGCCCGACGTGAGCTGCAGGCAGCTCATGTTCCTTCAGTTTGAAAAGTTAGCAAGGTTCCAGAACAAGAGGTTTTCCACAATAATCTACCATCCAGGATTTTACTTCTCATTTGCCTTTTTTTTATTTTATTTTTTTTATGTTTTTGACAGGCAGAGTGGACAGTGAGAGACAGAGAGAAAGGTCTTCCTTTGCCGTTGGTTCACCCTCCAATGGCTGCCGCACCACACTGATCCGATGGCAGGAGCCAGGTACTTATCCTGGTCTCCCATGGGGTGCAGGGCCCAAGTACTCGGGCCATCCTCCACTGCACTCCCTGGCCACAGCAGAGAGCTGGCCTGGAAGAGGGGCAACCGGGACAGAATCCGGCGCCCGACCGGGACTAGAACCCGGTGTGCCAGCGCCGCAAGGCAGAGGATTAGCCTAGTGAGCCGCAGCGCCAGCCTCTCATTTGCCTTTAATTAATTTAAATGTAAAGACCCATGGAAGGCTGGCCGCTACCGGATCAGACTGCTCAGGTTCAGGGGTTAGACTGGGCAAGAAAAAATTGCAGAGTGAGATTCCTTGGGCCTCCCTGCAACTGCCCGGGGTCAGCTGGCCCCCTCCCCACCCAGCTCCCACGGAGCCCATTGGAGAAGGGCTGGGATGGGGACATGAGAAAGACTTCGCCATGGCCTTGTGGTGGCTTTAGGAGGAAACAGGGGTACTGTTTTCTAAAGGCCTTTTTAGTGGGGGCATGAGGTGTCACAGAAACAGAGGCCCAACGTGAAGCCAGAGAGAGGCGTGCGTGGCAGGGGCGGTGCCGCAGGCAGGGGCGCGTGTGGCGAGGCTAGTACAGGGTCTCCCAGGCAGGGGTGCGTGTGGCGAGGCTAGTACAGCGTCTCCCGGGTGTGGGTCCGCAGGTGGCGCAGCAGGTGCGAGTTGCGGCTGAAGCTGCGGCCACACTGGGAGCAGGGGTAGGGCCTGGCGCCGGTGTGCACGAGCAGGTGGCGCAGCAGGTTGCAGCTGCGGCTGAAGGTCTTGCCACACTCCGGGCACTCCTGGGGGGCCTCAGCCTCGTGGCCCGACCCCGCGTGCGTGGCCAGGTGCCGCTGCAAATGGGCGTTGCGCCGGAAGCTGCGGCCACACGTTGGGCAGCTGTAGGGCCGCTCCCCGGTGTGGCTGCGCCGGTGGCGGGCCAGGTTGGAGCTGTTGCGGAAGCGGTGGCCGCACGTGTCGCAGGCATGCGGCTTCTCCCCGGTGTGGATGCGCTGGTGGCGCGCTAGGTGCGCGCTCTGGCTGAAGCCCTCGCCACACTGGCTGCAGCGGCAGGGCTTCTCGCCCGTGTGGCTGCGCAGGTGGCGGGCCAGGTCCTGCGTCTGCATGAAGCTCTTGCCACACTGAGCGCAGTGGTGGGGCCGCAGGCCGCCGTGCGTCAGCAGGTGGCGGGCGAGCCCGGCCCGCCGCACGAAGCTTTTGCCGCACTGCGCGCAAGTGTGGGGCTTCTCACCGGTGTGCACACGCTGGTGGCTGACCAGCTGGGAGCTCTGTGTGAAGCTGCGGCCGCAGGCCTCACACGAGAAGGGCCGCTCCCCTGTGTGCAGGCGCCGGTGGGTCACCAGGTGCTCACTGCGCCGGAAGGCTTTGCCGCAGTCCCCGCACACGTAGGGCCTGCTCTTGGTTTTCGGGCTGGGGCTGCTAGAGGGTTCGGAGCACCGGTGGTCTTTGCCCCTGGCGTGGATGCGCAGGTGGCGCTTGAGGCTGGAGCGGTGCTGGAAGCTCTGGCCACAGTGGGTGCACAGGATGACGGTCAGCTCCGGCACCTCTGTCTTGGCCTCCGGGGCGCACGCGGGCTTCTGGTCCTGGGTGTGCGCCAGCAGGTGCTGCACCAGGCTGCTGCGACGCTGGAAGCCCTGGCCACACTCGGCACACAGGAAGGCGGGCTCGGAGGAGTGCGTTAGCAGGTGTTTGGTCAGGTGCGAGCTCTGGCGGAAGCGGTGGGTGCAGAGGTGGCAGGCGTGCGGCCGCTCGTCCGTGTGAGTGCGCATGTGCAGCTTGAGGATGGAGCTTCGGCCAAAGCTCTTGCCGCAGCACAGGCACACGTAGGAGCGCGCCTGCGGGTGAGAGCGGAGCTGGTGCGCCTTCAGCCGGGACAGCTGCCGGAAGCTTACCCCGCACTCGGTGCATAGGAACTGCAGCTGTTCATCGGAGGAGGCGGCGGCCCCCGGCGCAGTAGCCTCTAAAACTTCGCCACTGCTGGAAGGGGAGCCCCCTGCACCCGTGCAGCTCGCCTCCGGGCCTGGCCCCGGCGACTGTGCGGGCGGCTCTGGGGCCTTGGAATCTGCTTCGGTGGCAGGGGGCCAGGCCGCCCCGCTGGGTTCTTCCTTTTTAAACTCATCCTTGTCCGTGGTTGTGCCTCCGAATCCTAGGACAGAAGCAAGACAGGGATGGCCAGGCCTCTTCCAAGGCCTCTAGGGAAGGGCCAGGATCTGAGCCCTGGAAGTTTGAAAGAAGCTTGGGACCGTGGAGCTGGGGGCGGGGCTCCGGCGAGCATGCCTTCCTCAGCCGCCTGTTTTATTTTTTCTTAATTTCAGCCAAATACAGAATCTATCACGACAACCACTGTAAAGTGTGAAATTCACTTGCAGCACCGTGCAAAGTGTCCCCCCCATCACCCACATCCGTGGGCTGGCCCTCCCTTCACCACCTATTTTACGGGTTCAGTCAAAGGTTGATGATTACAACTGGACAAATGGGCCTTCAAGACAGCCCATCAAAGAGCCCAAAAGGGGCCTTCGAGGCCAGCATCTCACACCGGTGTCAGTTTGAGCCCCGGCTGTTCCACTTCCCATCCAGCTCCCTGCTGATGAGCCTGGGAAAGCAGCAGAGGGTGGTCCATGTGCTTGGGCCCCTGCCACCCATGGAGGAGACGCAGATGGTTTTCCAGGTTCTTGGCTTTGGCCTGGCACAGCCCCGGCCCTTACAGCCATTTGGGGAGTGAACCTGAGGATGGAAGACCTTCCTCTCACACAGTTCAGACACCATCAGCATGGGGGGAGGCCATTCAGTGAGGTGGGTTGAGCTTTAGGTAAGGAAGAGCCATGGGTGGCCTGCCCCCGAGGAGGGGTCCCTTACCCAGAGGGTGTGCAGGTCCAGTCTTTTTCTCCTGGACATCCTCAAAGGTCAAGGACTCCTATAACAAGAGCGAGACGCTGGGTGAGCGAGGAAAACCGGCATCTGCCGAAACTGCAGAGGCAGAGGAAGTTCGAGGCTTTCAAGCCCCTGGGGTGAGGCCTGCTCACCAGCACGGCTGCCAGCTCCTGATCCCGGGAATTCTGCTCCGACCACAGTGCGGGGCCCTGGGGCTCTGGAAGCGGAGGGGAAGGAAGGAGACGCTCTTAGCCTGGCACAAACATCACTGGCTCCTCCCCCACCCCACACCTGGGGGCTGCTGCCCCACCCCACCCCCAGCCGCCTCACCCGCACACATCGGATCCCTGGCTTCACCAAGCTCCGGCTCCTCACAGCTGTCGGGCGAGACCTGGAGCGTCCACTGGGGAGCCGGGCTGGATGGCTGCCTTGAACTTGTGGCCCGGCTCCACTCTCCCAGGTCGGAAGGCTTGGTGGGCCCTGGTGGGGCCAGAGCCGGTTCACTGGGTGGAGCGAGGGCTGCGGGCTCTTCGGAGGGCACTTCCTTTTTGGGGCTGTGGCCGGGGGCCTGGGAGAGGTCCCCCTGTTCACCCGAGGGGATGTCTGCGCGGGGACAATTTTTGCCAGCACTGAAACTGAAATCCTGTTGGAAACACAGGGTGTTAGGTGTGAGACAGGGCCTCGGGGGCTGCCCCGGGTGGGACAGGAGATGGGAGAGGCACCCAGGGAAGGAGTCAGGAGGCTGGGGAGGCACTGGCAGGCCGGGGGAAGCGGGGTGTGGAGAGCCCCTCCCAGGGCCGTCCCCTGAGCTCCGTCCCTCCCAGGGCCACAGGGCCGTCCCCGAGCTCCGTCCCTCCCAGGGCCACAGGGCCGTCCCCGAGCTCCCACGCCCCTCCCAGGGCCACAGGGCCGTCCCCGAGCTCCCGTCCCTCCCGGGGCCACAGGGCCGTCCCCGAGCTCCCGTCCCTCCCGGGGCCACAGGGCCGTCCCCGAGCTCCCACGCCCCTCCCAGGGCCACAGGGCCGTCCCCTGAGCTCCCGTCCCTCCCAGGGCCACAGGGCCGTCCCCGAGCTCCGTCCCTCCCGGGGCCACAGGGCCGTCCCCGAGCTCCCGTCCCTCCCGGGGCCACAGGGCCGTCCCCGAGCTCCCACGCCCCTTACCAGAGGCCACAGGGCCGTCCCCGAGCCCCCACGCCCCTCCCAGGGCCACAGGGCCGTCCCCGAGCTCCCACGCCCCTCCCAGGGCCACAGGGCCGTCCCCCGAGCTCCCGTCCCTCCCAGGGCCACAGGGCCGTCCCCGAGCCCCCACGCCCCTCCCGGGGCCACAGGGCTGTCCCCGAGCCCCCACGCCCCTCCCAGGGCCACAGGGCCGTCCCCGAGCTCCCACGCCCCTCCCAGGGCCACAGGGCCGTCCCCGAGCTCCCACGCCCCTTACCAGAGGCCCCGAGTGGCTGGCCTCCCCAGGGATGCCCTCCAGCAGCAGCACCACCTCCTCGCCGTCGCGGAGCTGCTGGCCCTGCAGGCGGTGCAGCAGGTGCGGGGGCAGCACGCTCAGGAACTGCTCCAGCACCAGCAGCTCCAGGATCTGCTTCTTGGTGTGCAGAGCTGGCCGCAGCCAGTGGCGGCACAGCTCCCGCAGCCGGCCCAGGGACGCCCGCGGCCCCATGTCCTCCTGGTACTGGAAGCATCTGAACAGCTGGTGGGCCACCTCGGGCCGGGGCCTGGCCTCTGTCCGCCGGGGATCCTCCTGCCCGACCTCCTCTTCCTCCTCCAGCTTGACGGCGCCCAGCTGCTCCTGCTCCTGGGCGGCTGGAACTGGCTCTGCGAGCATCCTTCACCGCGGCGGACTTCCCTGTGGCCGGTCCTACTGCCAGGTCCCCACGCCTGTGGAGCTGAAGACCCTGGGTGAGATCCCGCTGCAGGGCCATCGGCCCCCGCCTGTGTCATCAGTGCTAAGAGCACCCAGGGGGCAGAGGCAGCGCCTGTCCACGCACGGGCTGGACAGACCAGGTGTCAGCTTGAGCACCAAGGGCAGCAAATCCGGAGAGTTCTGTGTGCTCAGCCCTCCTACAGCTCCCACAGCCTCCTGTCCCCCCTCCCCTGAAGTCACCTGCGGAGCACACAGACGTGCAAGGTGGCCCCTGGCCATCAAGACCAACTCCACCCGATCTGGTGTGCAGAGCCAGTGTCCAGTTTACAGGGCATTGCCAGGAATAAGTTCCAGCTAGACGCTCTCTGGCACGAACAACTGGAACGAATCCCTAAGACGGACAAGGGGACTGGGGGAGGGTGGCCACGTGAGGGCCTCATTTCCCTTTCTTTCCTGCTGTAGTTTCCAATTTGGATTTTCCTTGGTGTAGTCCGTCACCCCTAGGCGGCAGGCGGGGAGGGGGCTCCCCATTCCAAGAGTCTGACCAGCGATAAAGGGAGTCGAGGGCCTCCAATAAGGCCACCAGGGGGCGCCGGCTCTGCAGGAGGGCTCCTCCCGGCCCACGACGGTGGCGCTAACTCTCGGGCTAACTCTCGGTCGGCTCGGCCGGAGGCACCCAGGGAACGCCCCCAAGCTCAGTCCCACCCACAGCAGACTCATCCCCAGGGCGGGGCTCCTCAGAACAGTCGCTCACACCACTCCCCACCCCCACCCTGGGCCTCCCAGGCAGAGGAGTCGAGGAAGGCCTGGCCCACCCCTCCTCACCACGCAGACACACCGGATATCCACCGCCTCTACGTGCTGGTTACGCCGGGTCCCACGGGCGGTGCCGCCAGAGGCCACAGCAGCGACTAGGCCCCGGCGTCGGTGCATCTCTGCCATTTTACAGCCGGTGGCTCCGATGCTGAAAGGCACAGCCACCGGCCCCAGAGGGTAACCCGCTCTCGGGACAGTTTGTGGGGCCCTTTATAAAGGAGAAGGCGCCACCTTTCTTCTCCGGTGGGGGTAACTAGCGGAGAAAACCCAGAGTGATGTGGCGACTCTGACTCAGGTGTAGCTGCTGCCTGCCTGCCCAGCCCTCCCTTCCGCCCACAGCTGCTTCCTGGTCTCTCCAGCCTCTCACCCTCCCCTTCCCCGTCCCCATGCCCCTGCACAGCCAAGTCCAACCAGGGCCTTTCCCACAGTTTGGCATCTGGTCTCCGGCGCCTCCCTCCTGGATCCCACAGCACAGCAACCCCCTCTCCCACCAGGGAGCACTTGCAGGGACCCTGGACCGGTTTCCTCCGCTGGCCTGCTGGTGGGAACTGTGTCTAGCTCAGCACTTGTTCACCAAGCACTTGAGTGCTTGTTAGGCAGATGTTGCAAAATGGCAATGGCCGCCTCCAGGTTGCAAGAACGGAGGCATGCAGGCAGCAATGTCAGGCAGAAGTCTGAGCTTTTAGTATTAAGTGCAAAGCAGACTCCCTCACTCATCCTTGCGGATGGCAGGGACCTGGTGCTTACCGGCCCAGGCGCTGTAATGGGGCCTGATGGTCTTGCAACAGCCTGGGTGCTGAAGTATAATCGCTTTATTTTCAAGTGCAAAGACCAAGCTCAGAGATGATGGGTGCCTTCATCAAGGTTGGGTGGAGCCAACATTTGCTGAAGGAGGAAAGTGATTCTGGACCACTGTGCAAATGGCTGCTGCTGTCGGTGACATCCCCGGCCTTTGCCAGAACGCCACAGCAGGAACCAGAAGAGGATTCCAAATTCCAGCTCTCAGTCCTAGCCACAAGCGGGGGCTGGAATCCCCAGGTGAGGCCTCACCAAAAGGTTTTAATGAGGTGGAACTCGGGCGGTCGGCCTCAGAGAGCCTGTCCCTCCCCCCAGGCCGCCAGCACAAAAGCCCTATTAACATGCACCTCCACGGGGGGTGGGATGGCTGGGGGCGGGGGAGACGCCAGCCGCAATCCCACACTTGACCAGCTTAACTTCGAGCCCAGAGAAACCCAGAGGCAAGGGCTGGACCAGCCGGGGGATGGGGGGGGGGGGATGGGGGATGGAGGGGCTGCCCTGAGACCCTCCTAGCCAAAGTTGAGGAAGGGGCAAAAGGCGGATGCCTCTCTCTCCTTGCGTCCGGTGCAGGTGCCAGATTGGCCCGTCTCTGTTGGTCAGGCTCCCCTCCTGGCGCTGGACGGGGTGGACGAGGCCGGTCTGTCTACCTGGGTGCACGTGGAGCCTGGCTCCTTCTCCAGAGTCACAGGGACGCTCCTGATGCCGGCAACGCCAGAGTCCCGCGAGCTGGCTGGCACCAGGCCTCCCAGCACAACCCCGCACAGCCTCCCGAGACTCTTCCAACGCCCAGCCCACCACCAAGGCCTCGAGCCCCCTCCCTTCTCTCTCCTAGCTGTTGTGAGCCAGGCCGCCCTCCAACTCACCACTCCAGGGCCCGCACTGCGGAGGCAGAGGTGTTGAGGGGTTCTTGAGGATTCCCGGGCCAGAGCCAAGCTCAGCAGCCTGGGGAAGGGCTCAGAGAAAGTGGGACAGGAAGTTCCCTGCCCCGTCCCATTCAGGTGAAGGGCGTCCTAGAGTTAACCCTTAACTGCCCAGCCTCGGGGAGGGTGGGGCCAGAGAGAAACAAAGGGATCGTTCTGGATCCCAATCCCAGTGTTGCCTGTGGGTCTAGAGCTAGAACTAGCCCCCTCCCCAGGAGGGGACCGCCGTGCCCTGTGTCAGGTGCTGAGCTAAAGGTGGGGAAGCAGGCCCTGCCCACGGGGGCCGACATTCCAGGGCACATCGGTGCAGAGCCTGGAACGGGAAGATGGCCGTGGCAAGACAGGTCTCCACGACATTGGCACCCGAAGTCCTTCCAAGAATCCTAGGAAGTGGCTTTGGTCCCAGCTCGATCCTGGGAGGGGACCTGACCATACCAACCCCGGGGGCACCCGCATCCCATGTCCGAGTGCCTAGGATGCAGTCCCACCTCCACTTCCCGTTCATCATGCTGCTGATGCACACCCAGGGGACAGCATGTGGGTCCCTGCCGCGTACAGAGGTGCAGATGGAGTGCAGCTCCCGGCTGCTCCTGTTGCAGCATGTTTGTGGGGGGTGTGGGAGATCTCGATCCCTTTCTGTCGTTCTGCCTTCCTTCCATCCAAATCAATAAATGAAATGTAGAGTCAAGTTCTGCCCTCTGCACTAATGTCCCCTCTTGGTTCGAGTCCTCAGCTGCAACCTGGAGCCCCACCCAGTCCAGAGCTCCGGGCACGCCCCTGCCCGCCACACCTGTCCTGGGGAACCGGGACTGGCCGGCCTCGGCCCGCGAGGCCAACGTCTTAGAGCACGTAAGCGCACCTGGGTCTACCCCATTCCTCCATTTTAATAGCGCTATCTGGGGACAGAGGTCTGTTCCCTTGCTCCTCCCTGCATCATGCGCTCCCGGCCCAGCGCCCGACACGGCCGGGACGGACAAACTGGAAGAGGAACCGCGGCCCGGGCCTGTCCAGGGTTTGCTGCACGCGCCCAGACAGCAGCTTTGGGCACTGGGCCCCGCCCCCAGGGGGTGGGTCCTACAGACGGGGCGTGGCCCGGAGGCGCGGGCTGGAGAAGCGCGAAGGGCGCCCGCGGGTCGGAGGGGCCCTCGCCCGGCCCCGCCCCGCGTGTTCCGCGGAGCCGACCACCGTGGGGAAGGGGCCCGGCTGCCCCTCTGCGTGTCCGTGAGAGGGGAGGGCGCAGGAGTCTGTGCAGCGGTGGGATGGGGCTGGGCCCGCGCGCCCCTGGCTCCCGCGGACCCTGCCCCAGTCTGGCCCCGCACATGCGCACTGCTGCACCCAGGCCTGGTTCGGACCCCTGCCCTCGCTCAGAAATGGAGCCGCGGCCCCACGCCGGTGGCCTTCGAGGGCGTGGCCATGTCCCTAAGCCCTCGGGAGCTGGGGCGGCGAGCCGCGGGCTCTGTGCGGGACGTGATGCGGGCCAACCAGGTGATGTGGCCTCTGGGTAAGGGTCCGACCAGGTGGTCGTGCTGCCCCTGGCCTGGCGGCTCCGCAGCTGAGAGGCGGGACGGCCCGAGGCCCGCTGCCACCGCGGACTCGACGCTCTCCGGCCCCGCGCGTGGCCTTTCCTGGGAGCGCGGACTGCGGCTGCACCGAGCGCCAGGAGGAGCGGGAGGC